TTTTGGTAAACAGATCCTTAAGCAGCACATTGAGGAGTACCTAATTCTCAACTAGGTCCCCCCTTGCCCATCTGTAGTATAAGCTAGGCAAGTTCAGGCTCTCCAATCTCTCAGGGTAGCTGAGGTGCCGAAGTGCAGGCACCAGTCTGGTGGCCCTCTTTTGAACATTTTCAACCAACTGACAGTCCCTAGCATATCTCGGGGACCAGATGGGGAAGCACTTCGCTCCTGAAGATCGTTACAAGGGACGGACCGTCTAGATATCTGAACGACCTTCTTATAAGACCCAATAATTTATTTGCCTGATTTACCTTCTTCTCGCAATGGCCCGAGAACTTCAGCTCATTGTCAACATACACACCTAGGTCCTTCTCACATACAGTCTCAACTAGTGCAGTTTCATCATCCTGTTGGGACATATGATACGCCTCCTTACCGTTGGTACGCCCCAGGTGCATCCTTTTACACTTCGTGATATCAAATCTTAGCAGCCATTTCTTCTACGTTCATCATTTTGGAGGTAATGTTGAAAGTTGAATTATTTACCATAAATACTCTTCAGAAAAATCTGCCAAGTCGTTGTGTGTCGTCTGCTTGTTTACAACCGACCCACCATCCGAGCATACTGCCCTCACGACCACCAAAAAACGTAAAATTATGCCATGGCGCTTCAACAAAGTTGCTTTCATTAGTACCAGATATCAAAATAAGTACTTTCTGTTTAATATGGCAGAGGGTCAGGGGGGCAGAGCCCCCAGCTAGGACATAAGGTAGATAGGTTTCTTTGGTTGGTTAGTTCTGTATGTCTCTGACATTTGCTCATAAAGGTAAATTTTCCAAAGAAAATGAAGGTCAGATGTAAAGAGCACACCAAAATACACCCCAAAAATATATTTCCCTGTAAAAAAAAACGGAGACGTTAAAATGAATCTTTACCCAATTCGTGATTAATTATTCATCAACCTCCTTAAGTTATTTACCATCCATCAATATCCATTCGTGAGTCATCATCTATCAGTGACTCGTCATCCTTCCATGAAATCATACGTCGAGTCGTCGACACCCATCAATGTCTTATCAGTTAGGCACGGTAATCTGAGGGTGCCCAGGATGCAAGTCAGTGACCCCTCACGGTAGGAGGCGAGCATCTGCCTATACGGCCACTGCTCCCTTATAACCGGGTCTAATTTTCACCAGTATAGTACATCATTATTCTTGGATAACTAAACAATCTGAGTTTGTAACTGACCTGGTGCCGTGATGACGCCATAATAACACATCACACTACTCTCCACGTCTTGTTTCATCCGACACACACCTGGAGGAAAAAATTATTGATGACTTTAATACAGTACAGTATACCTAAACTGACCTTTAACTAACGTACCAATAACCTAAATATCTTTGTGGACCGCACGCTATAGTAGCACCGAATTTTTTCCCATTGTCACCTAGAAACACTTAGAATTATAAAAAAATAAAAAAAAATGGCTATGACTTCATAAAAATAGCATACGTAGGCCTTTGCATTCTTAATATATATATTCTTAATATATATATACAGTGTATATATATATATATATATATCCCGTAATTATGAAAGTGAAAATGTTATACACTATAAGGTTTTCAAACACTAGTAAAGTGTGTACATGGCCAATATACATTAAGAACCTGCTTAACTAGCAAATTCCATTTCTGAAAATGTTCGCTGGGTGGATTTTGGTTCAGTTGATCCCATTTTAAAACCTAAGCTGCATTCCTGCTCACAAATTTTCAACCCAAAACTTAGATGCACTTGCCCACAAAATTTTGACCCTGTAATCAGTTGTTTGTGTGGCACGTGCACCTGGAAAACACTAAAAATAACAATACAGTATATCACCTGTGGTGCTGGGGACATTTTGAAGAAGTGGCCACAATGACATGAACACCATTACAAACAATTACAATACAGAAACCTTCTCAATAAGGGACTTCTCAGTAAAGGATATTCCCGATAAGGAACGTTTTTTGTTAGGTACAATTAGTGGACTCGGCTGGTAAGATCCGATATTAGGAATATTGTCGACTATTAGCTCGGAGCACTTTCATTAAAATGTCTCAAAAACAAATACTGAACGGAAATTTTTTGGGATACTTCAGATGATTTTTTGTAGAGAAACACATGGAAGTAATTTGGCCCTTGTAAATTTACAATAAACAAGGACTAACTACACAAATACTGTAATGCGTTACAGAACAGTACTTGTTTTTGATGGAGATACTGAAGTACACTAAGAGGTCGATTCTTGAAAACATGAGCCATGAAAAGGAAAGCAAGACTTGCCTAAATCTGTCCTCTAAGGTTTGATAGAATAACATTAAATATATTTCTAAGATTATACAATATTTATGAGAAAAGAAATTTCATTGAATGATGAAAAATATACTGGAGTAAAATTCTACTTACAAGTAACTATTGAAGGTAGCAGTTAGGTCATGGTGTGGCAAGGCCTTCCTGCACCATCCCTGTCAGCCAAGATGGTTATAATACTGTACTTCCAACATTGTTTGTCATTCTAGTTTACAGTTGCAGTATTATAGTTTAAATGTCTTTATATACAGTACAGTATACAGTAGTATTATGTATTCTATTGTGTGTTTTGTAAAATATGGGAAGTTGGTAAGATTTCTACATTCATTAATTCTTGACAAACCTTTGATTCACAGTGTATTACTATTAACTTTTGCATAACTATCCATGATCCATGTAATCATAAAAGCAAATTGGGTTCTAATTGCAATGATGCATATCAGCTGAGGAGCGCCTTCACTGAACTAGGTCAGATGTCACAGAAATACACAATTAAAACAATTATTTTTGCATAACTCCCCATGTAATGTTCATCCTTATCGAATCTGTAAATAACACTGACATTCCACAGTAGGAGAAGATAAAGATAACACAGAAAAACAAGAGCACTGTATATTTCGTTCATAACCTGAGAATAAACTAAACCTCTGGATTTCAATAAAAATCAGAAGTGGGGTTTGCCTTTTTGAAATGTCAAAATTACCCACTTGAGTTTGTGAAAACACCCACACTATCTTGACAAAATTTCTGAATTTGCCAACCAAATTTGGACACTTTGGATAATTTGATAAGGAGCCCCCAAGTCGTTAAATTCGAGGGAATCGACTGTATAAAAATTATTTATTGGTTACAATAGTTGCTGATTGCAGAATTTCTAAATACTGCATGTATGATATATAATGTACAGTGTGTGACAAAACTATCTTTCCAGTTTTGTCTGATGATTTTTTAAAGCTGGCCAAACATAATCAAAGACATACCTTGACAACCATGAATATTTGGCATGCCTGACTGGGTAGCACAATTCACCCGAGACGAAAAGCCTGGAGTCTCTATATAAAGAACAAGAAGCATATCATGGTTCCAAACCTCCCCAAGTGGTTAATGTGATAAATGGACAAGGACACCATGGAAACTCCGAAACAGTCCTCTCCAGGCCGCCAACTGTTCATAAGGTTCCCAGAGACCAATACATTCATCCTAAACTGGGAAGATAATTGTCACTCACTGTACAACTTCACATTATATAAACACAGTACAGTATGTAAACAATTAAAACAGTGGTGTAGAAACATAAGTTGGCAAGTATTACAAAATTTTCAATTCTTATTATAATAAATGTTGATTTGGCTAACATATACCGGTAACTGAAATATTAGTTTGTACATAATAATGTTTGAAAAGAACGAAAGTAAAGTCAGACAGTATTAACAAAAGGATGCATAATATAAATATATGGATAGATAACATAAGGAGATACAATAATTGCAAGCTTACCTCCCACCATTGCCTCCCAGGTTTGATACCGTGGTCAGATGCGAGATGGTTGTTTATCCAATGCGACCCTACCAAATATCACCACTTTTCTCCAGGTATTCCTGCTTCCTTCTAAACTAACATTAGACAATGGAGGTCTTAACAAAGAACAGAACTGACTGCCCAAAAGACAAGACCAGTAAGCTGACAAGTAAAGGAAATGATAACATTCCCTTGATCACTTACAGGAGGTTGGTAATGCTGTGGAGGAACAAGCATTACTTCTCATGACCTTTGAAAACATTTAACAAGATCTTTACACTTGATCCAACACGTCAGATCAGTGTTGGGATTTCCAAGTCCTAGGATGGCACTCCAGTAACAGTAAGGGGCTTTGTCTCTGAATAGATCCTGGTACGTAATTAGAGGGAGCTTCTTGTGCAGTGGTGGGCAACCTGCAGCCCATCAGGCTCCTGGGTGTAGCCCTTAAGACATTTTGTTAATTGTTGTCCTCCACACATACATGAATCATACAAGAGGCATTTGACTAGTTTTTGAAATTTTTACAATTATTAAGTATTTTATGTAATCTGGGGGTTTATATTAATACTACTTTATATTGATAACCCATTGTTGATTTTGAATAATTTAGCAGTAATTCCTTAATAGAATTAGATTCACACGTGCAACAGACCTATTCATTTTTCAATGACACCACGACATGACTATGCTACTTACTTACATTTCAGCTGTTACTGCCAGTGGTCATGGGAGATTTGAGCTTATCCATGTTGTATTGGGAACAATAGTGAGCAAGTGTTTTGGCAAAATAATTTTTTCTTTTACTCATTTTTTGTTTGCTTGTTCGTCCGGGTATGTCATAGGCACTTCTTGAACTGGGAAGTTGAAATTTGGACACAACAGCAGCCAAGTGTCATTGTAAACCACTGTCATCTTCCATTGTTGCATGGTGTACACTGAATGTACTACTTCTTGTTTCTTTTGCTTTCATCATTTGAACTGATGAAAATTTTCTTAATAGTTGAATAAATAAATATTTTCTATAAATCACAATGTAATATCTAGCCTGTAATAAAAGCATTGAAGCTTATTTATGGGGACATGATGAAGTCACATGCCTGATTTCAATCTTTTGGCCCACTGAGATGAAGGAGGTCCACTCAAACAGCCAACCTACTAACTGTTGGAGACCATAAGATCTTTTTTCTCTCACGAAGATATCCATTGACATCTTTCAATTTGCTCAAGAATTTCCTGTGTCGTTACTGACATTTGAGGCATGTTTAACATGAGTGCAACAAAATGACAGGTCCCTCATATTTAAGGCTCCCAAAGTAATGTAAAAAAATCATGGAATGGGAGGATTTGAGTGTGTTATGCTCTTGTCTTATGTTCATCAGTGGAAAATAAAGCTGCTGTGTATGAATGAATGCTACACATACACTGATGTATTCATGGAACTTGTACAGAATTATAGCTTGAACTACTGTATGGACGGGGTCACTAAGAATACTGCATGAAGTAGTATGAAGTTTTAAAAACACATTAGAAAGCCATATCTGTTGCAGTTTACTAAAAAGTAAAGCAAATGATTTACCAAGAATCAAGATGATGCTATGGAAATGGTTGGTAGTTCTGGATTCTTTAACTCGGACAATATGTATAGGAACAGGGCTGGAAATAGTAATCCAGGTGTTTGAAATGTTTGACAATCATGAACCCAATTTTACATCTCTGTTCTCTTTAGATGTTAGAATAGAGATTTTATATTATTAATTGGTAGAGAAAAAATACATTATAACTTTTTGTTCCTCTTAGTTATATGACAAGAATTCAAGGTACTGCTAATTACAAAGGGCATCTTCCTTTTACCCAGTAAGATTGGGTTCCTCTCCTCAAGTTTTGTCTAAATCCTGTTCGTTTCATTCTCTGGTTCCAATCCCATGAATATGAAAAAAAACACTTGTTTATTTATCTTCACTGCTACAACTGAATTGTCAAAAAGGGATTTCTTCCACCAAGTACGTAGAAGGCTATGATACACTTTCTCTTGAGTAGTACTGTACTTTTAGTTTACTTATAGACAATATTATCCTCTGGGATAATATTGGTTGCCAAAAAGAAAATGGGATTTTAGGGTTAAATCTTCATTCTTTTACCCATTTTTGTACTTCTCTTTACTTACACTTGTACCATTTATCTTATTCTTACAAACTTCCACTTTACCCTCTTATTTACTTGATGAGTCAACCATAATTCTATTCACACATCTCTGTATAACAAGTCCCCTTCTTCTGTTAAAATATAAAAATGTCAAGTCAGCATGCAGTGCACAGCAACTGTTTAAAATTTGAAAACCAACTAACATGTTTGGCAAGACCTACATGAACATTCTGACCGTCAGTGTAATAAAAAGTGGCATGATAAACAGTAATTAAGGGATACAAGAGTTTTCCAACATAAGCCAATCTATTCTCTAGCACTACAGATGAGTATAGAAGAAACTTTTATTAATTAAAAAACCCCAAAAAAATATTTATCAAGATTTTATATTAAAATTATGTTAATTATCAATACAGAGTTAGTAAACTTTTCCTGTCTACACATGATAGTTCATTTGATGAAGCAGATATGTTGTTACTAAAATTTTAAAGTTTGGCTTTGACTCCTTCTTTCAGTAAAACATCCTGCATATCCAATAGGCTTTGTTCAAGAGCCTCACGAAAAGTGGCCGAGTCTGTTTCTGGGGAGGAGTTGAAAGCTGATGTGCCAAAGAAAATGGAATCACCTCGAGGATTGTAGCAACAACCGTAGCCATCAGGCACTACAGGTCCAAAGCACATAAATGCATCACAGCGAGCAGGAACCTGGAACAACAAAAACTGAATAAGTATGATCTAAATGAGAACTGTGAAATAAATGTGTCAGTAAACAGTTAATTTTATTCTAAGGGGTACTTATTAAATAAATTAGTAAATACCTGCAGTCATTATCCAATTTACTTTTTTCTATATACTGGAAGGTGGACCACAAATTTCAATTAAGTGACTTATCCAGAGCACAATTCTGCAGTTTCCTCCTTTTTTTTTTTTTTTTTTTTTTTTTATTGGGCACTCCCCTACATCCTAGTGTAAGGTGAAGCGCAGAAGCGTTTACAGCACCCAACAGGGAAGCATGCTAAGTTCATGCTTCCCTTTATGTCTCATGAGTTAAGGGCGTAGAAGCCTGAAGAGTCAAGGGCGCTGAAGAGTCAGTGGTTTATGTCATCAAGTTATTGGAAGCTCCAACAACTTGTCCCTGAATACGAATTCGCAACTTTCGACTTACAACAGGTACCTACTTTACTGCTAGGTGAACAAGGACTAATGGGGGCTAGGAAGTAAGTCCAAACAACTTCCACCGGCCCGGGAATCGAACCCGTCACATCTCGCTTGCGAGGCAAGAACGGTACCGCTTCTACCACCGGTCCCCCTGTTTCCTCCATTGATACACTTCTGTCAATCATACTCTCACTGTCATTCTACTTCATCTTCAGCCTCCCACTATATTCACCCTTGCTCACCTCATCCAAACATATGAGTATTATTAAAATCAGACTCACTGTAGGTCCACAGCATCACGCTATATGTTCTTTTATCAAACACAGTCAAAAGTTATGGCTTCTTACTTCTCTCTCATCCATCCTCTAGATTCTACATAAACTTTTAAACATCTATCTGAACTTCTTGAACTCTATTACATTCCATTGTTATATAGTTATATATTAATGAAAAACCATAGGTGTCGAGTAATTAGCGTTAGAAAAGTAATTAAAATATTTGAGAAGACATTTGGACAAGTAATTATACAGATAACACACTGCGGACAACAGATCCTTAATCAGGAGTACATATACATGATCTGAACACATTAGAATCAGAAGCTCAGAGCCCAACCATAAACAGAAGCAGTCACCAGTTACCCTGAACAGTGGCAACTTGGCTCCCTTATAATCAAGATCTGAGGCGTGTACAGCCCTGTAAGAAAGCATATTATCGCCACTTTCACCAGTGTATAATAGTTCACTTCCATGTACATATTGAACAACCACAGCGACACAATGCATCCCTGTCTAACACCCACATTTATTTGAAATGTTTCACTTTCTTTGCTATTTACTCTTACTATTGCCCAGCTGTTCTCACAGAATGCTTTTACTGCATTTAATACCCTTTCTCCCACCCCATTAACTTGTAATGCCTCCCACAATGCTTTTCTGTTCACAATCATATACCTTTTCCAAATCTACTACAGTATATATCATTAAAATCATCCCTAAGAAAAAAAAAAATAAATAATAAAAAAAAAATAAAATAAAATAAAACCAAGAAAAAGAGGCACAGATTAATTTTTTGTTTGTTTACTTTAACCCATTGGTTTAAATGGGCCAAGCCTGCATATTATACTCCTATAAAAGATGTCCCTGAGCCTTGAGCAGGATGTTGTTCGTCAGATGTGTGGTTGGCAGAGCCGTAACCAGCCTTGAAGGCGCCCAGGGCAATGGCTGAAATTACCCCCCTCCCTTTACGGCTCCCCACAACCCCACTTCCACCACAAATAATTATATCAACTAAATTTTAATTCATATAAATAATGTAGCATAATAGTAAATAAGGGATTGCTGAGACACTGATGATGATGATGTGTAATTTTATGGTTGTATCAAGGCTTGAACAAATTAACTTCCAGAACTGGAATAATTATCTATAAGTAATCACCAATTCATAGGCAATTTGGTGCCCCCCTTATCTTGGCACCCAGGGTGGCTGCCCCTTCTGCCACCCACTAGGTACGCCCCTGGTGGTTGGTAAGTAAAAACAAGAAAGAATATCAACCTTTATAAGTCTTTTGATGCAACCTGGAGCCTTTTTACTTGGTATAATGTACAGTATTTACTGTTTCACTGGACTTTAAAACAACAACTGGTTCAAGAATATCCAAGAACCTGGAGCCATCTGGGTTCAAAAGTCTACTTGTAGTAATTTTGTCATTATCCTGACTTGTCTTCCTAGACAGTATGACCTGCCATTAAATCATATACCTTTTTCTGAAAACAAAGAAAAGCTGTTTAGCAGTATCATTCTCACAGGCTACTTACAGATGACCCACAAGACATAAAGCATGCAAATTCTTCTTACTTGACTTGTGGAGATACGCATATGTGAGCTGCGTAAATATCCAACATCCATGAAGAGTGTTGGTACATCCATTCCAGCTTCAATAGCAGCCAATTTCAGCCCAAGAAGGTGACGGTCAACTCCATGTGCATTCACAGCCTAACGGTATATCAAATTATAAATTAAATTTACATGCGGTTCCTAGTGAAGTACCGGGTAGTTAACATTTAGTTCAGGTTTGATAACTTAGCAAGTATTAGTCATAACAGTAAAAAATTCTTACTTTGACCTGAAACCAAGTTCTATGATTTCTCATTTAATGTTTCAATAAATCAAGACAGCTAATACTTACTGTAAAACACAGTTGTAAATGATGATATATGATTGAAGGCAGTTCTGTTAACACAGTCTACACTTCACAAGTTTAATACAGTAATTTCTCTCTAACATCTGGCTAAGTGTTGAGTAAATGAGGTTTACATATTATATAGGATCTTACCAGGTACTAGCAACACAGTTTTGTATTAGACAGTTGTTTTAATCATGAAAAATGAAAGACTGATGAATTATGAAATCCTGCAGTATTTTCTGGAGATGTAGCCTGACACCTCTCGTAGTACAGGATGCTTACAAGGGTACTACAGTCTCCCTGACCAGTGCACCAGTCATTTTTTTTTTTTTTTTACGGGAATTAGCCAACCCGGGCACAGGTCAAACGACCCACAACGGAGCCTGGGGGGCGAAAAAAAAAGAACGGAAAGAAATTGAAAATATAGAAAAAAAGGTTATACTGTATTGATCTACACCACGAAGATGCCCGAAAACCAGCTTTTTAAAGTGAGACAGATTGTAAGAGCATGGAAACACAGAAGAAGGCAGAGCATTCCACAGTTTGGCTGTGTGAGGAAAGAAGGAGGTACTATAACGGGCTATTCTCGTGTGACCGATATCAACAGAGAAATGGTGGGCACCGCGGGCAAGACGTGTGTTACGAACCCACGGCCTTACCGGCGGTACACAGGATGCCAAATCCCCTGAACATTGCCCGTTAAAGTACCTGTAAAAGAGAGAGAGTGAAGCAACATTGCGGCGAAGAGAAAGGGGAGAGAGATTGTCGACTAAAGAAGGAGAGTTAATAAGACGAAATGCCTTTGATTCCACCCTATCTAATCGTTGGACAGAAGAAGAGCCACCCCAGATATGAGAGCAGTACTCCAAGTTAGGACGAATGAATCCCTTATATACTTGGAGCAACTGCTCAGGAGTGAAGTAGCTGCGGCATCTGTACAGCATTCCCAACTTTCGGGAGGCAGCTTTAGTTATACTAAGGATGTGTGATTTCCAGGACATATTGGAGGAAATGGTGAGGCCTAACATATTTATTTCAGAATTTGGGGGGATGATAGCGTCCTGAAATGTAATTGGTGGGAGATCGTCTACTTTACAAAGTGTAATTGGTAAATATTGAGTTTTGTTACTATTGAACTTAACCAAGTTTGTATCTCCCCATTCAGAGATGCTGCACAGATCCACGTTGATAGAAGTAATGATATCAGTTCTAGAAACAGATCTAGTTTGAGAGTTAGGAGGAAGGGGAAAATGTGAGGAAGAGTGAAGAGTAGAATCATCGGCGTAAGAATGGATAGAATTAGTTGTAGGTGAAGTAAATCATTGATAAAAAGAAGAAAGAGAGTTGGTGAAAGAACAGAACCCTGTGGGACACCACTATTGGTAGAGAAAGAGCGAGAAATCGATCCCTCGACAACAACTGCCATGGATCGATTCTCAAGGAAGCTAGAGATGAGAGAACAAAGTGGGGGAGAGAAACCAAAAGAGGGAAGTTTAGATAGTAAAGACTTGTGCCATACCCTGTCAAATGCTTTGGAGATGTCGAGGGCCACGACAAAAGTTTCCCCATAATCCCTAAGAGAGGATGACCAAAGATGGGTGCAATAGGAGAGCAGATCACCAGTAGATCTTGCCAGGCGAAAGCCATACTGGTGATCCGACAAAAGAGAAAGGCGTTCAAGGTGACGGAGAAAATGGGAGTTGAAGGTAGTTTCGAAAATCTTAGAGAGGGATGAAGTTAGGGCAATGGGGCGATAGTTAGAGGGATTAGAATGGTCACCCTTCTTCGGGATGGGCTGAACCAAGGCATGCTTCCAAGAAGAAGGAAAAGTTTTCGTTTTGAGGCAAAGGCGAAAGAGGCGAGCAAGCACAGGGGCCAGGGCTTCAGCACACTCCCTCAGAACACGAGGGGGTATTCCGTCCGGTCCATGCGCCTTACTCACATCCAACCTGGATAACACATCGGCAACGGCAACCCTGCGAGTGGAGATTATAGGAAAGTGCATAGGTAGGAGATGCAGGGGTAGGAGGGGTAGAGTGGGAATCGTCTAAGGTGGAATTAGAGGAGAATAAGGTGCCAAAGAGGTTGGCTTTCTCAGGGGGAGAGTTGGCTATAGAGTTATTGGGATGGAAGAGGGGAGGAAAAGAAGGAGTGCAGAAGTTGTTACAGATGTTTTTAGCTAAGGACCAGAAGGATTTACTAGAGGAAGAATTAGTCAGGACAGCAGTCTTTCTTTTAATAATATTCCGCTTGGCCCTACGAAGAATAGCCTTACAACGATTCCTAGAAGTAATGAAAGAGGTGTGGGTAATAGGAGAAGTAGATAGTTTCATAGCTCGATATGCCCTATCTCTCACCCTGCAAGCAAGAGAGCAGGAGCGATCAAACCATGATTGTAATGTGAAAGTTTTGGTAGAAGATGGGATAAATGCACTCATACCGCCCTGTATAACCCCAGCAATGCTGTCAGCACATACTGAGGCATCCCGAGTGGAAAAGCAACATTCATCCCAAGGAAAGTCGGTGAAGAATTCTCGCAAGGATTGCCAGCTTGCCCTCCGATAGTGCCATAGTTGACGTTTAGAGGGGGGTGGGGGAGGTGGTCGTGCCCAGTTTGATTTAATAGAAATAAGGTTGTGATCAGAAGACCCTAAGGGGGCAAAAATTGAGTATGAATAGTGTGAGGGGTTAGAGGTAAAACAAAGATCAAGAATGTTAGCAAGTTGATCGTGTCGATCAGGAACGCGTGTAGGGTGTTTGATTATTTGTTCCAAATCATTAAGTAAGGAAAAAGAGAGTGCCTCAGCTCCACCTGGGTCATCCTTGTTGTTCCTCAATGCCTGCAGAGAGGATGCGTACCCTTCTCCTCCACAGTAAGTTCAATCTACCCTGGAAACCTTATGTACTTCTTCCCACTGAACCAAAGTACAGGGTGTACTGTATAAATGCAGAGAGCTTGCTGTATGTTGTATTTACATTTATGTATTTTTTGTCATTTCTGCTGGGATGACATTGAAAAAATACTGTATATCAATTTACATGATATAATGATACAGTACAGTATTTTTTGTTAATACAGACCCTTGAGTCACCATCACTTGATACGTCACTGCCATTATTTCATGGCATCCTAAGTTACTCTGAATTTTCTGTACAATGCAGTCAAGTCCTTTATTTCATGATGCAAGCCCAGAAAAATTTAATTAATATAATTAAAAAATGTAAAAAGCCATACATAGTTTCTTTTAATCATCAGAGAAAGATACTTACAACCTTTACATATTGTTTGTGTGCTTCAATTGCAGCACGAAGAGTTCTTGTCTTTTCAGTAATTGGACAATCCTCATCAAGCATGGCTTTGGCAAAGGCAACAGATTCAATGGAACAGGAGCGGATTGTCTCTGTGCGACCGAGGAAGAACTTCCTTGTTGAAGCAGACTCATAATGGGCGCCGGGTTCACCATGAATTCTGAGGAAAATTCAATATTACAAGTACAGCATGCTCTTCAATTCGTGGGGTTTAGGTTCACACAATGGTCGCAAATTGCCAAATCTGCAAATAAGCAAATAACATTTGCTGACCAAGGGGGGGGAAGCGGGTTTACATTTTTACTTGTGTACAAAGAAATGTATATTCCCTTTATGTGTTTGCCTTACGGCAAATATTTTTTTATTTGTATATATTACACAAAATCAGAATATTTACTCAAGCCTACCCATGCTTTGTTATTAATAAAGCAAGGAATAGACTTGAGGGTAGACCCAACACTTTTAATACTAAATTTGTTTCTGATTTTTTGTGAGAGGATTTTCCCATTATTTAATTGTATGGGTTTTGTATGTGTGTCTACACACACACACACACACATATATATATATACAATACAGGTAAAGGAAATTACTGTCTCTAGAACGAATGGCACCCTGTCCCGACCGCGAAAATACCGGCAACTTTAAAACTACCCGCAGACATTATTGGGTACATCCAGGGTGTCATCTGTGAATAAAAGAGGACCGCGAAATAAAAATTTGCGAATTATTCGGGCCTACTCTATCAAGTTCAAACTTTTCTCTGTAAAAAATTTTCTATGAAATTCATTCTAAGTAACAGAAATACCCTGTACTGTACTTGTTAAATGTACAACTTACAATTGTTTAGTGAAAATTTAGTGTTAATATCAGTTGAAAAGGAAGCCATACAAGTGTTTGTCTTACCTGTAGAATGCGAGCTGAATGGCCATTTGGATGAAACTGTCTGGACTTAGCTTTTGAGATTTGATAAAGTTCTTGCCAAAACCAGAAAATTTGAAACAAGTCATCTCTAGGTCACCAACCAGACTGTGGAAAAGGATAAGTAGCTACATTGTACAAAAGATTTGAGAAAATGGGACGGCAATAAACAAATGATAGGCAGGAGTAAAACCTGCAGTAAAGGTGGTTTACTGCAATATCTTATTAAATTTCTGTTAATTCCTCACCTTTCTAGAGCAACTTTAGCATCTTCAGTGTCTTGCTTAACCTCAGCACAAATATTAAACATCAAACGTTGAGGTCTAGAGAGTTCTACTGCTGGAGGTTTTGTGTCATTCATGTCATTCCTGAAAATAAAATGAATAATCACACATTACCATCATGAAAAATGTTGCTAATCCTACACTGTACACCCAAGATGACTTATTTACCAACCCCATGAAGAGTAAAACTCCTATTTAACTGGCTACTGTACTGTATATGGAGAGTAAGTCCGTTACATCGAGGGTCCATTAGATATGGAACCTCCATCTAATGAACTATACAGAGATGACAGTCCGTTATATCGAGGGTCTGTTAAATTCGAAACCCCCATATGGAGTAGAAGTCCTTTACATGGAGGTTTCACTGAAATAAAATACACTACATCTACTTTAATAACATACCCAGTACAGTTTATATATTTGCTACCTATTCACCATCAAAGCATATTTTTCCTACATCACATATATAACACGCATGTTAAGTAAAATTCTAACAAACCTTGTACCCTTAAATATGAGACTTACGTAGAAAACATCACAGACACACCGGTAATACGTACAGTACCAAAGAAATTGTTCTGCCTATGATGCACCATTCATTGTACTGTACCCTGGAGAGTGAGTGTGCTGAGAATGGCAGGGAAGATGAACAAATTTATCACTACTTACTACAGTGAAGGTTGAGGATCTCATTTAAAACTTACTCTGACCCATCTCTTCCTGACGTCCTGTAAAAGAAAATTCAACATGCTTAAACTGCTTTAGCATTAACGTTACAAAAAAAAAATGAATTTTAAGTTACACAAAAAAAAAGCAAAAAACAAACATGCACATTTACTTAGTGTTCACATCATCTCACTCAAGACATGGGACATTAGGTGTGAATCACAAAATTTCTAATATCATAAGGAGTTGAGCCAGATGAGGCGGTCAGTGAGAGGTTTATAAGAAATAATTGTACTGTACTCTTATAAGACATCATTTACTCTTTACCGAGTCATTGTACAGTCGGGGTCAAAAGTCCTCTCCCGCCCAAAATTAAACAGCATCGACCCCCAAATGAGATGAAACAGTTAGGGTAATTCAGTTCAGAGACTCATTCCCGTGACCCAGTTTCACCACGGGGAGCGAACTTTTGTCCCCATCTGTACATACATGGATCAGCTGAGAAAACAGATTAGGGAACTTTTAACAATGAATTTGACTAAAGATTTCATAGTGGTGGGAAGAAGGAATACTGTACAGTATTATATAAATAATACTGTACTGAACTATATTTTATTATAGACTGTGACTAAAAGATTTATATTGAAATGAACCAATTTTAATGAGTTCACCATTTTTCTTCCCTCCTTACAAGTTAAGAGATTATGGCTATCCATTTAAGTCTGTGAAATATTTGCAACAATACTGTGCCAATTTCCATGCAAACATATACTGCACAGCAGCATAACTAAACAAACAACTACAACTTATATTAAACAAAGTGGATACTGCAGAGGGCAAATAAAATCTTAATCTACAACACAATCTTAAACATCTGCACTAATAATGATTAAATAAGCTCCATCTACAGTGTGCAGGTAGATTTATGCCACACCACCTCAGGAAAACCAAAACTTCTTTAATAATTAAATCATACAGAACTTAAAACTAATATGATGACGTGTTGTGTTCAGCTCTTTAGAGTGCTCAGTTACCTTAGATTCACTGCTCTTATGTGAACACTCGCCCACTCATTCTTACTTCCATTCACCTGTGAAATTGTAATGAGTTTGAATTCACCTCAGCTATGAACTTGCAACTACACAATCAGACTCACTTCCCAATAACCAGCAAAACACCTGAAGGACGGTAGGAATAGATTTGTTCTATTGAGCTACACGCCTGAAGAAGGAGGGCGGCAATAGAGTCGCTCTATGATGGTTTCAGGATAAAGGTCACATTTGTAACCTAAGCCTATCAAGAATAACTCGGATAAAGTTCAACAAAACTAGCTAATGTAAACGGGCAAAAGAGGTACAAGTGTTGGACCTCTCTGGGAGAACACCAAGCTTACCCAGCAGAGGGACAGATCTAACCTAGCTTATGCAGTTGCTTGTATCTTCTACAGAGATCAGGAACTTGAAGATCTTAGAACATCCAGAATTAAGGATCATCATGTTGCAATTTAAAAAAGAATACAAAAGAGAAAAGACAGAAATGATGTTAAACGTGGAGATTATTGAATTAAGCTTTTTAGAATTTCTTTATGCCGTAAGGCAATTGATTTATCCAGCATTAGTGCAAGAGGAAACTGGATTCTGGGAAACCTGTGATGTTTGGTAGTGAGGGTCACACTGGATAACCCTAAACTGAACATTCAGATTTTTTTAATTAGTAAATTTGATAACAGTTTATGGGAAGTGAATGTGGTGTTACCCTCAGTGTACTACTGTTACCATAAATGATGTTATGGATTATGCTGCTTCACCCCAAAGATACATGGATTTCAACTCATTAAAAACTATGAATACTAGAGGTCAGAGGTTGTGTATGGTGAATAGGCATACATTTACTAAATCATGAATCCTCAAAGTATGCAAATCTAGAAACTGCAATGTTGAGGGTTTTTCCAATAGTGATTTGCAGCCTTGTGTGTCAGGCTAACCTTGTAAGAGACAGAAATGTGTGGAACTGTGGAAAAAGATGACAATAATACTGCTTTGTATACTAGATTATAATGGATGGTTATTTGGATTTTTAACACAATCGTCACTGTCACAGTGAACGCCTCCAATCAGCATTCACAGAGAGTGTTAAACATGTCCCAGTAGGCTTTCAGTCATGATGGAAGAAACACATTTGTTGCCATCCCTAAATTATATAAAATTAGATGAAGAGATACTCTGAAGTGAATCAATATTGAAGTATAATTAGTGTAAACAATAAAAAAAGATAGTAGGAGCGAACAGATCGACTACTGGTCACTCATACACTCGCTCCTCCCCCACTACTGCATCGCTCAACTGGGCGGCCTCAAGATACTCACTTTAACACCCCACCAGATCAAAACAAAGGTATATAAAGGATTGTTTTCTTTTTTCATTTTTCATACATCTGTATGCATGTCTTTAATTTTGTAAGTAGAGTATATTATGTTTTTAAGTTTAATTATTTGTGTGTTTTTTGTGCACACAGCAGTAGCCAGCTTTTCCCTTATTTGCAAATAAAGGGTTAAAGAAGAATAAAGGCCACAAACAAATACTGTATATTCTACTTTTTAGCACTTTTTGGGGAACACACATGATATCAATGCATATAGCTGGGTAATGTGAACTGATGTGGGCAAAAAATTTATAACTCGACTTTCTCATGTGAGGGAACACCATAGCAGAACACATCAACAGCACTGAGAAAAAATGACAGTGAATAAATGAATGTCTATTTGCTCTTGGTTCCAGCCACTCTGTATCATCCAAGTAAAAGGCTTGCATGACTGGGATAAATAAGTTACATTCACTTTTATATAAAGAAATACCATCCTTTACCCCAACTGTAAAAAATATAGTAGGACAATACTGGACAGTATCAATATAATTATAGTAACAGTAAATCACTTCAAGACACATTACAAAATTTGAAGTAAAGAATCATAAAATTCACTTGGTATTTAATGTGATATACTCACACAACATCCATGATATGGTCCATCAGGTTAGCTACTGGAGGTCCCTCAGCTGGAGTGTGTTCATACGTCAACCCAACTGCACCCTTCTTGCCAACAATGAACTGTTGAATGAGTTACAAAAATCAAGGACTGATCCTGGAAGCCTCATTTCACTGGCGAGTTGTTCCAAAGAGACTTGTGATTTCTTCCATCAAATTTATCGGTTGCAACACAGGCTAACACATAAAACTGACAAATGGCAATAATTTGAACAATTAGTACGACCGCCATTACAACACAAGTTTTCAAGGGGATCTGGGTGGCACTTAACATTGAGAGATGATCAAGTCTTGGCATTAATGCAGTTTCTGCATGAATGCTTCCTTGTTCGTAGTCATCCATACTGAATATTCAAAATCCAAGATCAGTCCAGGTAAACTGCACACAAAAACTCAAGGGAGGAGGGAGGATTTAGTCTCCTGGACCCAACTCAGTTTTGAAACAAACATAACTCTTAAAATGTTATAATGCTCAATGTTCTGGGGGAAATTTTTACTAAGGTATATAGTAAACCCTCTCAATAACAAACTTCTCAATACAGTACTGGATATTCCCAATAATGGACAGATTTTGGTCTATAATAATAAACGGACTCAGCCGGTAAGATCCAATAATGGGCACACTGTCCACTATTGACCACATGGTCAGTTGGTGCATAATTACAGTAAAACAGAGAAATATGATACAGTATAGTCTGGATTTACGAGGTCGATTGAACCCGTGGAGGTCAGCGTAAAACGAGAAACGCGTAAACAAAATAACAGAACATATGGAATTAATTGAAATAGAGACTGGGCCGACCCCCAAACTACACTTTTTCCGACACAATACGTATGTTGTAATAAAAATCACATCTTAATTTTATGATGGTATGTTCACACAATTAATATTTAAGAGAAATACAGTTGCCGGTTAATGTCCATTCAAATAATGGACCCCCCCCCCTCTCTTCCCACGCTTGCTGGCTCCTCCCTCTCTGAGAAATGTTTGGGTGAAAACAGTAGGCTTACATGTTTAGTAATAAATAATACCTCAGACTAAAGTTAGGATAATATAATTGACATTGCTGGATTCCTTGCGAGACAGGGAATATTTTGAATATAAACGTCATATATTTTGCACAAAAGATAAAATTTTTGCTCTTTCTAATAAAATTCTTAAATTAGATCTAAAATTTGTATGTTTAATGCAAATTTTAGGATGTTTATATTTAAATTAATCAGCATCTTATATAAATTCCAGCAATGTAAATTATATTCTGGCTGGGTAATTTCTATGAATTTTAAGAGCTAAAAACAAATATCTTCAGTAAATAAACAAATTATACTTCACCAGCGTAAATGATGAAATTTACCACGTAATTAAAACATTTCATTCTGGCAAGGTGCCCATGTAAATGACCAAACGCGTAAACAAAAACCGCGTAAATCCAGACTATACTGTACTGTATATTGTTCTTTGTATTTCAATAGGAAGTACTGTATAGGGTACGGGACTGCCAGAGAATGTTGTGACACCACCACATAAGAGCTCCTTTAGACAGACTTGACCAACACCGGTGCCTGATCGGGTAGATTCAAAAGCCCGTGCAGTAGTGCTTGACAATACGTAGTGCATAACAGAGAGAAGACCGACCGCCTAGGCAGCTAGCAAGCTGATCGATGGCAAAGCGTGCTAGTTTAGATGTGAAGGTGTTTTGAAAAAGGCCATGGATATATCTTGAGCCCATGACACAATGTATAACATCATTGACAAAATTTTCATATTTAATAATAATTTTTTCTAAATCTTGAACAGCTTCATTTAAAGTACAGTTCGTATATCTTTATGTTTCTCGCCCTTTAACATCATTTCTGACATTTTCATATATTTGTGGTGAATTTCTATCTTACTTTGTTAAAATAAATATATTAAAAATGCTTTATTCATAGTTTTATGTTTTTAAGAGATGTACAGCGCCAGTTATGTGAGAAAACTGTCATAAAAATTACCCCTAGAAATATAACCCCAACCACCCGGTACATAACATTAAACTTATGGTGAAGCAGCAGCATAACTGACACATGCTTCACTACATTATTACGCTAATTTTGTCTCCTGAATTATTGCCGTCATCTGTACCAACAACATTGTAATAATATCTGGTTTCTTACCTTACATTATCATGCTCACTTGCATGATGGACTTAAAAAGAGTAGTTATAGAGGATAAAAAAAATTAATGCTCATAGGATAGGTAGAAATACTGTAGCTCTAGAAGAGTGGAGATACAAACACAGGTATCCTTCGTTATCTGAAAAGGTTAGGATTCTTGAAAACCATTTGGATATCAAGTATTTGGATAGTGATGAACAAAAATGGAGTAAATGGGATTCGGTTCCCCAATGACAAGAAAACCTTAATATTATACAGTACCTAAAAATATTAAATCGATTTACAACTAACAAAAATAAACCCACCTAATTACTGCACAGTAATGCTAAACTAAATAAAATATACAGTACTGTTGAGTTGGTACATTACCTTATTGGGGGCGGGTCAGGGCTCGCCATGGGGTGATTTGAACTTTCGATCGGACAATCTTTTAAATAAGCGAGGATCACTTTCAGATTGTGTAAATGAGGAGGTAAGAATAAACTTTCCAGATAAGCGAATTTTCGAATAGTGAACATTCGGATAACGAGGGATACCTGTACATCTTTATGCAGAGTGCTTTTTAAGAGACTTACATGATACACTCAATAAGATAAATTCTTACCTGGATTGTCTTATCGTACCATCTATTGCCCGCATATCCGTGAGGACCTTTACCATGTACACAGTTTAGGGCAGCATCAGTCATTATATTACCAGTAGGGTTGACATCAGGTCCATCTATTGCTATCAAGAAAATGCAGCGCTGTATCTCTTCAATGGAGGCTCTGTTTGTCTTGTCTGTAAACACAATAAAATTTCCTGTAAGTCAATAAGTCATGCGAGGCTAAATTTCGTCACAACAATTGTATACATTAGCACAACACTCAGAGAAAGACAATGCAAAAAGCATTCTGAGTTTTAAATTCAACACAAACTAGTTGAACCACTCTTGAGAAATACAACCTAGATGAGCAAAAACCAATAGATTCCTTTAATACTTTAGCCCAAGTTACAATTTTAGCAATACCTTTACTACTAACCTTTATTTTCTTTTTTAATATATAACAAGGAGGGAGACTGACAACTAGTAACTTCCAGTGTATCAGCTAAGACGTACCAGAGCCAAAATATGAAGCAAGAAGTTTTTGAAGGTCACAAAGGGTAGGATAAACACTCCTGAACATTGATGCAATCACTGCTGCTGTACCTATCATCAAGATTTTCAGCACAGTTGGAATACCCACGTCCAAAAGTCACACAACGGTGGCCTGTCTGGTCTTCAAGTAGCTGCATATTTGTCCTTCCCAATAAAACATTTTGAAAGTACAATAATAATAACCCCAAAGTCTAATGGTTGAAGAATGGAGAACTCTGCTGAGAATACAGTATTATTAGAGATATAAAGTAATACAGTACTACCTGACAAAATACAAACTCATACACAAAATTACAGAAATATTAAAATTTGCTGAAAACTACAAATCAATGCCTACCCTTTCGAAGCTGCTTATAAGCCTTTCCCCAAACGTTGCGATTCTGTGAGGTAAGAATGCCAATTGGAACTGTTGGATGTGTAGAACGTTCTACTACATTACGAAGCTGATAAACCAACTGTTTCACATTCAGAGGCTTGCCCTCTTTTCCATACACATCAATCTTGAAAAACTGAAATAAAGGAACAGTATTACTGAAGATTTATAAGTGAGGCAATAAACCCTGAAATATATTGTAATTTTATGACTGACAGGTGAGATGATAGTTTATGATTTACAGAGCTTGTTAATTCATATGACAGAGCCATCTATCACCATGTCTTGAATACCATTATCAAAGCTGCTAGCTCTCAACAACATCTAGACATTTTAATTCATACAATAAAAAGGCCATCAAATAATATGGATATTACTATTCCATTCTAATCAATATGATCACCCAATGTAACTGTATATAACTTGCAGCCTGGATTTGTGTCTAGGTTCATGTTAAGTTCAGTACTGTACAGGTATTAATAATAGCAAAACCAGATACCTATGCTGTGTCACTCCTGGGTCTTGTCAGTGAAAAGAGCAGGTTTTGGTTAATTAACCTTCAAAATTAACTAGCCACATTAATTTGAAAATCTTAATAACTAGTTAAATAAGTTATGCCCCTTTCTTTTGCCTTGGCTTGTAATTGGCCATCCTGTCCGGAACTGATATGTCTGTCTGTGTGTGTGTGTGTGTGTACATACCTGTGACTAACCCAACAAAATATCTGAATTTGCTGACCAAATTTGGATAATTCAGACCCTTTGAGCACTTCAACAAGACTAAAAACTCCAAGTTGTTGAATTAGAGAGGTTAAAGAGTATTTATTCATGATATCGATCCAAATTGCATAACAGTTAGAATTTACCGTACTTACTTATAATATACAGTTATTATGAGGTAACATACTTGTATTAAGTGATTATTAAAAGGCACCATTTATATGATTAGTATAAGCTAACATGGTTATTATAAGCTAATATGCTTAATATTACAAGCCTCTTATAAGTTAACATTATGTTCACACAATTATTATAAGGTAACCTGCTTATAAATACATGATTAATATAGACTAATATTATTTTATGCATTATAGCTGTACAGAACATATATGATTATTAAAAGCTAACATCAATTTACTTCCAGGATTATCATCATAATTATACTTACATGATTATTATGAGCTACTACTATGTGTTTTGGAGTGTTTGGTTCATGGCCATAGAAGTGAATCCTATCTCTTGTCACTCCAGGAATGCGGCATGCACCCAGGATCTTGAAGTACTGAGACATATCTAAAATGTCTTTTCCCATGCGATCCAGTGGCAAAGTTTTCCTAAAATCAAAATCAAATAAAACATTTACCTGTAAATAAAAAGTATGAGTACAGTATATTTCAAACTATAAGAACCTCACTTTATTTTTGCTATTTCCACATCTAGGTATCAAGTGAACACCTTCATTTATCAGCTAAATGGGAATAAACAGCTGTGAATAATCATCCTTCAAAATAATATTTTCTTCTCATTCTAGTCATGTTCAGTAGAAATACTGCACATGAATTTAGACTTTTGATCTTCACTCACTCACTCTTACAATCATTCACAGTTCATTAGAACAGAGCAATTTTTAGTTAATTCTTTGACATAATACACTGATACACCCTGAAGTCTTAACTACTCAGTTACACTATTACTGTAGAGTACTCTATGTGGTCTACCTAACTCCTCTCTCCCACCTTACCTGCACTATATCCCTCTCTGCATTTATTTTCTCAAAATCCAACATAAATTTACTTTGTTTTTTCATTTTTCATGCAGTCAAGTCTTTTCCTGAGGCAAAACAGACCTGATCTGATTTTTAGCACTGAGCAGCTACTGCATTACCCTACCTTCCTGGCAGGTGCTGGGCCACAAAATAGTTGTTTCCACTATGGGAAAGTGTACTGTACCTGATAGTTTATTATTTAAACTAGTGTACAAGGGAACCTGGTCCTCCACTTTGTTAAGGAATAAAACCCATAACCACTCACTTTTGAGGCACAGGATCTATTACATGCAACACTGTATAAAATAAACAAGATCCACTTTAGTTGTTGCAATAATACCGGATAAGGAAAACTACAAGATTACTTACTCGTCAACCATAGCTTTGTAGTCAATAGTTGCAGCAATAACTTTTGCAGCAAAATTCAGTTGATCATCCAGTGACTTAAATTCCTGAAGGGGAAAAACGAGTCCTGGAGATGACCAAACCACAACCGGTCCCCTGTAGTCTAGGTAAGCTGCATTTAACCACCATTCAGAAAGCTGAAATTAACCTTCACTTAAAAAAAATTTGAACGATTATGTCTTTATTTAACATACTATGAAAATACAGTAATTTGTGTAGCTACCTTTCATAAAGTTGCATCATAAAACTCTTTGAATTCATCATTGTTGGGTTTGATGGTAAAATTAATAAGAAAGTTGCTAACAAAGGGAGAGAACATGATGATACATAATACAGTATGACACCAATAACAAAACATTACTTGCCCAACCCAACAAAAGTGAATGCGAACTGGATCACTTGTAATTTTGCTCGCTAAATCAAATACTTTATAAGTTCTTTCACTGAATTTCTACACTCTGAAACCCTATGCTCGTTCAACCAAATTTTCATTCATCGAGACCTGCCTGTACTGTGTTATAAATAGTCCTGGTGTTAAGTGATCAGGCAACTCTACTTATGCTTGGGGATTAAACATCACCAACAGGGCAACAAGGGCACAACAACATCTTGTTGGTGGAGAATGTTGGCATGACCCCTGAACAAAAGAAATTTTAACAAAGAAAACTGTAACAGATGATGATAAATAAACATGTAAAATACTGCTGGTGATGGAAGAAATAAACTTAAAACATGAGAAAACAGTAAACAAAAAAAGACATTAGAAAATGTAAAATACAACTGGAAGAATCCATTCTATAAGCAACAGAAAGTCTTATTAATACTTATGAGAAGCCACCAAATCAATCTGTAGTTTATTGTGAATACAGTACTGTACAGCCAGACAGAGGTAGCTCCTAGATAAAATGAACGCTGATTTAAACTAACCCAGTTATCTGTTGATTTTGCTCTCTCCAGCAGCTTCTTCTGTAATTTACTACCAATTCCTTCTGGGGCCACAAACTTCTTCACAATTTGCTCAGTAAGCTGAAATTCTTCATCTGTCACAAGAGGTTTGACTGTTCTGGAAAGCATAAAAAAAATGGATCTTTATTTCATTCTGTATGCAATAACTTTTACATGCTTGTTCCTTAAAAATTAATTTAATAAACACATAATTGGTCTTTACATTAACAAATGCAAGCAATAAATTCAATGCACTCTATATAACAATTACAAATGCCTTATGAGTCAGACACAAATACAGTTAAAAAGCATTAAAGTAATATTCTAGCCCCATAAGTTATGGTATTTACTTACTTTAAATATCTGTTAAGTGTATCTTCCAGCGGAGGGACAGGGAGAGGAGGCAGTGTTACCTTGTCATCATGTAGATATCTTGACTGGGCAACCATCATTGCACTTCTTGCTTGAACACCCCTCCCAAGCCTTAGCCCCTGTTTACACAAAATATAACAATAAAATTAACTAGTACAGGAATATGCTCAATTTTCCTATTAATTCAGCAATTTGGCAAAGAATCGGTAGAGGACAACCACAGCACTCTACACTGATTTGTATAAAGGTAGACAAAAACAATACTCTACAGCGCTTTCATCGTAAATTTATATATTCTGAGTTATTCTGACTGGTAATGGTGGAGGTGATGGTTAACACCTGAAGGACTTTCAGGAGATGCAGTACTAAGTAAGAAAATCAAAACAACAAAGCACAGAACCTATTAGAACTCTACCTAACTTTACTTAACTTCCTAACCTAGACAATTGTCATTTCGATTTTCTTTCTTACTATCATCCAAATAACATCTCTAGAAAAAAAGAATGAATTCATTACACTATAAATCATAATAAACACGCCCGATGAGATCGCCGTTTGTTTATTAACATGTAAACAAAGACCGCGGATGTTCCCCTATAGTAGATGATGTGAACCAAAACATAGTCGCCATGGGGGATCCGACACTGCCATAATTATGATAATTAATATATTTCCTCGCCTACAAAGCATGTAGCGATGTGAATTTACTCCCATATAAACAGTGTTGGCAGTGTTTTGACCCCATTATTTCCCTCTTCTTTCATGCCCTGCCCACTAAAACATGTAATTTAAGATCTAAGGATAAGCTAAAAAGAAAAAAATACTACAATGTGTCATTTTGATTTTATTACTCAGTATCATCCAAACAACATCTCCTGAAAACTTGACACAATTCCATAAATTCTTTCTGGTGCTCACCATCTCCTTCACCATTAACTTTTGACTTTTAATTTCACTTAAAAAGAATACAATTTTGATCGTACAAAGTGAGCAGGGCTTTGAAATAATGGGAAATCTTGGGGTAAAAGCATGCAAAAAAAAAAAAAAAATGCTAACTTTACCTGCCCTAACTTCACCTACTCTAGCCTTACCTTTGTCTTGGCAATCTGGTACCATTTCGTGAAAGATCAAACATGTTTATCTTCACGACAATGGCAGTCTGCACCACACTTTGGGCACTTTACGGAAGTTTACAAAACATCATAGATCTTGAAAATGTCAACTACAGCAACTTTATTTACAACACACCTTGAATGGTTTGCAATTCTGAGAAAGATAAGCAACATTTCATACAGAGGACCCATCTTATGACTGACAAATTCAAACTCTTGAGCATGTGCAGGAGAATCACATGACACCGAGACTTCAGCTGATTGTACTATTTTATGTGAAATAAAAAAAAAATCAATGTACTTGGAAAATTATAATTTTTTGCCCAAAACACTAAAGTATTATTATTTTTTTAGCTCTATCTCCCTACATATAAATCAATACAGTACTGATATAGTTGTGGTGTCTTCTACAGAATCTTAACCAGTAATTTTCCTTAGCAGCATTAAATACCATCTGCTTGTCTCCTGCAGTGGAACAAATTATTTATTGTTAAAAGATAAACCAACCAGACCTTCCTAAGCTGACCTAAGTTCCTAGGATTGAAAGGTGTTCTATTTTCTTATCTTAGGTTGCATTAGGTAGGTTGGTTTGGGTTAGTTTTCCTCCACTCATAACTTTTTATTTATGAGATAAGAAATCAGTTTTATTTTGTAGAAATTTCCCCTAAATAGGCTCCTTCCTTAGTTGAACGTCTAAACCTATAATTGTCCATTATGAATCAAGATATGAAAGATGTTAAGTAATGACAACTCAAAGAAAACCCTTTTAATTAAACATAAATTTTTCCAGTAATACCCACTTCTTTTCTATGCTGTTCTGTTCCCCACTACCAGAGCTCTCCGCCCATAAACAACACTCTATATCACTATTACAGTAAGCTTTTTAACCCTTACTATAACACACATTGAAATACTCACCTGACGCAGGATTATGGACGCTAATAATGCCATCTTCAGCCAGTCTTGCTCTTACATAAGCTACGAAAATGTATAAAACGTTATCAGTGGTGACTACAGTGACCATCAGCTGCGGGTCCAAAGTTTAGTGGTGACTGGCAACTGTCCCTAGCCAGCTGTACGTCCTGTGTCTGTCTCCACCTCCACGATAACCAGGAACCTTCTCTCTCATGTATTGCAGGGACAAATATCTTACACACTTGTTTAATACTATCACTGGTATAACAAAGAACTGGCCAACCTTGTGAATGGCTTTAGTAAACTAATAAATGGTGACTTTATAAATAAATGAATTTTGTGTTAGTATAAAGAAAAAAATGAAAGCCTTTGTTTATCTAAATTTGTTATTGTTTATATTTGTTTTTGAGTATGCCGATTCTAAAAATTGCTATATTCTTCATCACATCAACATGTTTCATCATATATTATTTTTTATGGCAGCAGAGTAAGACGGCACCCCGCCTCGGTAACTGAGGGTAAGTAGAGTGTTGATTGTCCAGGAGGGTCCTGTATCCTGTAGCGTACTGCTGTGGCAGGTTGACAGGTTCTCTTTACACGGCCTCACAACGTACGTACATGTAATATTGAAAGGGCGGCGGATTCTCTACTTACTGAACCACCGAGCTCATTGTAGTGGATTCCCCAGTGTATGCCTCGTGGTCTAGGTCAACCAGCGCCTCCTTACATGACGGAGGTCAACTATTAAGCCACGCCTACCTCCGCTATAAAAGACCTGACCTCGTGGTGACCTACCTCTCTTTCTAGCTACAGCACAGCAAGCAACACCTCCTCCTCCTGCCTGGCGGCCCTCGCTCCCGCTGGCGAGCATGGCGACCCACAAGCTTGTCCTTCTCTGAGCATCCTCACCAACCAGCTCTCTCTACATCACGCTTGTAACCACGCTGCCACTTCCCAGCACCAAGCTGCACTGTACATCCAATACAACATGTATACAGAGAGCACATTGTGAGTTTCCTTTCTCCATCCCATCCTGAGTGTGAACCAAACATCACGTACCCCACAAATGGTGACCCCCAGAGATTCGCACTCACACAGGATGGAGGAGAAACTGATCACGCTCCCAGTCTTCAAGCAACATGGAAGACTGGCTTATCCACCCAGAAGCAGCTCTCATCGGCTCTACAGCTACTGTCTCTACACCTCAGGTTAGACACCCTAGAGCAGCTCTGCTACTCTAAGCAGACAGCCGCTCCTCTTCCTGCCCCAAGCACCACGTCCTACCGACCCCAACACACCCGTCCTGCCTCAGACGCCGCCCCCGGCCCAGCAGTACCCCCTGCCGCTCCTCCTGATGCAGCCCCTGCTCCCGACGTGGCCCATGCGCCTGAGTGCGGACCCACACACCCCTCTTTTCTCCCTCAGGTACTCCCTGATACTGTCCTGCACCCTGCTGCTGTCGTGAACCCTGCTGCTGTCATGCACCCTGCTGCTGTCATGCACCCTGCTGCTGTCACGGACTCTCCTCCGCTCCTGCTGACGCAGCCCCTGCTCCTGACCCAGGCCCACACACCCCAGCAGGCGCATCTGACGACTCTGTACCTGCCGTGAGGGAAGCACAACATTCATCGCCTCCACACACCCTTTTTCTCCCTCTATACTCCCACAGATATTGTGTATCTAGACAGTTGCCTCCTCTAGCAGCCGGCTCATCCACGCCCTCGCCATTATGTCGCACATGTGGCATGCACCGCCGGTTCTGCCTCACATGTGGCATGCACCGCCGGTTCTGCCTCACATGTGCCATGCAACCCTGCAGACAACAAGTCTCCTACACCGCCTGGAGGGAAGGGGGGAGTACTGTAGTGGATACCTCCCCTACAAACGCTGTTTGTCACTGAGTAGCCGACCCCGCGAATTACCCAGTGTATGCCTCGTGGTCTAGGTCAACCAGCGCCGCCTTACATGACGGAGGTCAACTATTAAGCCACGCCTACCTCCGCTATATAAGACCTGACCTCGTGGTGACCTACCTTTCTTCTCTACCTTCACCAACCAGCAAGCAACACCTCCTCCTCCTCCTACCTGGCAGCCCTCGCTCCCGCCGGCGAGCATGACGACCCACAAGCTGGCCCTCCTCTGAGCATCCTCACCAACCAGCTCTCTCTACATCACGCTTGTAACCACACTGCCACTTCCCAGCACCAAGCTGCACTGTACATCCAATACTACATGTATACAGAGAGAACATTGTGAGTTTCCTTTCTCCATCCCATCCTGAGTGTGAACCAAATATCTCGTACCCTACAAATGGTGACCCCCGGAGATTCGCACTCACACAGGATGGAGGAGAAACTGATCACTCTACCAGTTTTCAAGCAACATGGAAGACTGGCTTATCCACACAGAAGCAGCTCTCATCGGCTCTACAGCTACTGTCTCTACACCGCACATTAGACACCCTAGAGCAGCTCTGCGACTATAAGCAGACAGCCGCTCCTCTTCCTGCCCCAAGCACCACGTCCTCCGACCCCAACACATCCGTCCTGCCTCAGACGCCGCCCCGGCCCAGCCGTACCCCCTGCCGCTGCTCCTGACGCGGACCCACACACCCCTCTTTTCTCCCTCAGGTACCCCCTGCTACTGTCCTGCACCTTGCTGCTGTCGTGGACCCAGCTGCTGTCATGGACTCTCCTCCGCTCCTGCTGACGCAGCCCCTGCTCCTGACCCAGGCCCACACACCCCAGCAGGCACATCTGACGACTCTGTGCCTGCTGTGAGGGAAGCACAGCATTCATCGCCTTCACACACCCTTTTTCTCCCTCTCTACTCCCACAGATATTGTGTATCTAGACAGTTGTCTCCTCTAGCAGCCGGCTCATCCACGCCCTTGCCATTATGGCTCACATGAGGCATGCACCGCCCGTTCTGCCTCACATGTGCCATGCAACCCTGCAGACAACAAGTCTCCTACACCGCCTGGAGGGAAGGGGGAGTATTGTAGTGGATTCCTCCCCTACAAACGCTTGTCGCTGAGTAGCCGACCCCGCGAATTCCCCAGTGTATGCCTCGTGGTCTAGGTCAACCAGCGCCGCCTTACATGACGGAGGTCAACTATTAAGCCACGCCTACCTCCGCTATAAAAGACCTGACCTCGTGGTGACCTACCTCTCTTTCTAGCTACAGCACAGCAAGCAACACCTCCTCCTCCTGCCTGGCGGCCCTCGCTCCCGCCGGCGAGCATGGCGACCCACAAGCTTGTCCTCCTCTGAGCATCCTCACCAACCAGCTCTCTCTACATCACGCTTGTAACCACGCTGCCACTTCCCAGCACCAAGCTGCACTGTACATCCAATACAATATGTATCCAGGGGTGACCATCTTGGTCAGGTTTCTTTTGGCAAACATCCTTATCAATATTTAACACTTACCAGAATTGCTGTCTTGTACCCAGGTGGTGTTGTAACAGCAACTGCACCAGTACATACCGTAAGTAGCATCTGCCACTATGTTTGAGGATCATGATACGGATAGCTCTTTATGGGTGCTTGAGGGTCTAGTATAAAAGGACCACCCATGTAACACTTGAATCCTAATACGGAGAATTAAGAGCCAGTTAGTTATCATTGTCAATGTTTATTGTAAAAGCTTCTGTACAACATACAGGCAGGAATAAATAACCAAGCCATACTACAACAAATGTATGGTTACAGGGTGCCTCAATATGAATAATGTCCATATTCATGAAAATAAAGCATTCTAAACATATCTACCTATACTGCATATAGATAGACTGCAAATTCATAAAGAATTCACTGAGAAGATGAATATTCTTTACAAGTGAAAGACAAAATTCACACCTTAGAACTTTTCCTATCTGACAAACTTGTGGGACAATGCTTGCTGGTGATATACAGTGTGTGATAATCAAATAAAAGACTGGAATTATTAGAAGTCTTCTGCCAATATGAAGATTATAGCTCCCAACTACAAATGGCAAAGGGAGATATTTTGTTATTAACAATAGTAAAATAAGACCTCCATTGTTCTAGTTTGTATAATTAGATGTATGATATGGTATACAGTATATATTTCTTTAAAGATCAACCAATCGAACTTCTTAATGAGAAAACATCCATTTTCAACTAAAAAAAAATAACTCGGCTTCCTATTATACATTCTTTTGCAAATTTAAAAATTAAAACCATTATTTGAGAATGCCTATAACATTTTACTAAAAAAGACATCAAGCTAGTAATAAAACACATTCTGTACAAAAAAAATCTTCACAACGTAGGACAAATCACTTTAAATTCTGATACTGGATGAATTACAACTATCCTTTGCCTAATGACAATAAAGAGAGGATGACAACCAATACTGTGAAAGATAATTGTTAAAATCAGCTAAACCACAACACTAAACCTGCAAAGGTATCATTATACAAGAGACCCAGAAACAATGACATGAATGGATCCCAATAGGCTAGTAAACCCCAGTTTTGCATAGTGGAGAAAAAACCAGCTGATCCACATTTTTTTCTTTATACAAGTGAATGAAAAAGAATACAAGACTTCACAAGATATACAAACATTACCAAGTGTCCATTTAAGGGAACTACAGAAAGCACAGGGACTTCTTATAAAATATTCAGAAAGAAAACTCATTCCTGTCTAGAAAAAGAACATCTTTACTAAACTTATAAGTACATAAGAACTTTCATCTAGTACCTTTCTGCAATCTATTTTATGATCATTTCAAATCTGAAGCAAATGACTAAGGAATGTTTAGAGATAGAAAAGGAAGCTTCAGATTATCACAGCATATCCAAATACTGAAGTGACAGAGACTAAGAAAAGTGACAGATCATAACACAGCTGCTTCTTGGTCAAATACTTTGATCCTACACTGACTAGGTTTTATTGGTGCAAATATAACAAGATCACAATGCTTTCTTACAAAAAATAAAATAAAGCACTGCTTTTCATATAACATTTGGACAAAAATACCTTTATAATTAAGAAAAAATGGAGATTGTTCAGTAAATCTTTTTCTCCGTAAAGTAATTAGTTATTTTGCATAAAACTGTTTATACAGTACTAATTAGTATCATAAGGCCTCATATAAAAATCCAATCCAAAATTTCTGCTCATTTAAGAAAAAAAAAGTGAGCTCCAAATTACAGCTTCCTTTGTCTCTTAGCATATAATAACATAATTCAATGTAGTCTATTCTCTTCGAGCCTTGCGAAGCCTTGGAGAAGTACGAGTCTGGGCCTCCTGGAATAATAAAACAACATTTTTAAAAGTTTGTCGCAAATGTGGCGAGTGATCCTGAAATTACGGTTTGATAGCTGCCCACTACCTACTGTGTATCAGTTGGCTTAATAATTGGGGGCTGGCCATGCATAGTGAACTCTCCAATTGGTAGTCTGTATTACACAAATCCACCTGGCTATGTGTATAACCAGAACTACTAAAATGCTGGTGTAATATTTACTGTGAATTTAAAATGCTATAACCTCATTTATCTAATTTCTACACATCTGAAAACTGTACAGACAACATATACTTTCCCAGTTCAAAACCATTAGAATTCATACTCCTAAAATAGTTTTTGAAATTCCTCATATCTTAAGTCCCAGACAAAAATTATTGAATTTTGATTTTATTATTAATTTAGTATGACCTCTTGCATATTTGTAGTTTTTGAGTGTCTCCACTGATCAACACAGCCCCTCGTTTCCTAGCTGTTGCATCTCCCTCTAGGATTCAAATATGTGACAAACTTAAGTCTGAAGGAGCACACTAATCCTTCAAAAGAGAATAACCCTTGTAAATCAATTAATCCTAAGGAAGGATAACTTGTTAAATTACAGTCCATAGCCTCTAAGCCAGCTACTGCAAGGTCGTCTTAGCCTTCAGCCAGATCCTACATCCAGTAAAGCATAATGCTGAACTACATACTGTTAAGTTAGGCCCCGCTGGGCAGTGCAGTCATCACACACCCACACCTTAGCTCATTAAGCAAATGTAAAACCTTTAGAAATACAATCACACCTATAATACTAATTCCTATGACTGTGTGGCAAAAGACTACCGCTAGCTGAGTGTTTTAAAGATACCAGAAGAAATAATTAGCAAGGTCCTCTGTCTGATCAGGTGACTGGAAGGATGTGGATTACTAGTGTTTACTAATTAGTAACTAAAGACAGTGAATACACCTTAGCATGGCAATAAAGACTGTTTTAAGTACAGTATTAAACACCCCTCCTTTTTTCTAAGGCCATGGCATCTCTTCATACATCTCAGGGGTTCCAAAACACTGGATGTCAATCCTTTGATGAATGTTTCAGTCACCTGATCAATTGCATATAAATATATATAAAACTTCTTTTCTTCAGTTTTCTTACCTCAGCTTCCTTGCCCTTTTCTTCATTAACTTGTTCCTCTTCCTCTTCCTCCTCATCCTCCTCCTCATCAGCATCACCTTCTACAGTATCTGCAGGCTCCTCACCACTGGCAGCATCTTCATCACTTGCAGCATTATTAACTTTCTCTTGTTCTCCTTCAACTGCCTCCCCCTCTACCTCTCCTGGGGGATCATCTGCTGGGGCATCATCTGCTGGGGGATCATCTGCTGGGGGATCATCTGCTGTAGGTTCATCTGTCTTCTTATGCTCAGCATCCTTATCAACCTTAGAATCCTGAGGCATATGAATTCAATTAGTGTCAATTGGATAAACTAATCTTTAGCAAATAATTATCATTTCATAAATGAATTTACATACAATATATATTCATGAAAATACCTTAAATATACTGTATTTCATATTCACAGTAATAATGAACTTCCTGAGATTAGTTATTATGAAATGCAAAGATTTTTTTTGTACCGATTCATATACTGTACTGTACAATTAAAATAACTTGGAATATCTGAAATAATAAATACTGTACTAATAAAGTCACCAATACCTAAGTTGTACATATTACCTTTGGTTCTGCACAGCAACAAGTAATTATCAAAACTACAGGGATGGCCACAAGGAGAACGTAGATACCATAAAGCCAGGGATGCTTATTGGAGTAGTTTAAGATGCGTCGGAACACACCAACCTAAAATACAAGCTTTCAGTACTAAGAATCTACCCATGAATTTTTTTCTTCAAATACTGCAGATTTATTTATACAATCTCCACGACAGAGTATACATATGTAAACTGAATATAATTATAATACAGTACAGTACTGTATTGTATTGAAATTCTTGTACCCGTCACAGTTGCTTCATGAATTGCCCCTTGCGAGGCACTTATTATAATTGTGTAATAAAAAAAAATGGTTGTTACAAGTCACTGTACAAAGGCCAAAATTTAAAAAAAATCTAACCAGCACCTGCAAGAGTTGGTGTACTCCCAACCAGCTTAGAGGTGAAGCTGGTGTATTGGACAATTCAAAAGAAAACTTACAATTGTTCGAAAATAAAATGGCATGTGTGTACGTACAAGGACAAAGTTAATGAATGTAAACAAAAGTAAAAATAGAAGAAAGGCAGTGAGAATTAAAGTGAAGTTGATTAGAAGTAGTATACTGTACTGTTTTTATCATCATTGAGTGCATATGTCAGTTAATGGAACAACCTTGGGCAATACAGTTCAGTAATAACTGGACAGAGAAACGTACTGAAACAGAGAACTACGTCAAAGGAGGCATATGTGGGGAAGTACAGGGTATGTGTTATGTTGGGATTATTATATGGATGTGAAAGAGGGAGCACTAAACAGCAGCCACATCTAATAATCAGGCAGACCCGGACTTCCATGTGTTACATTCCTGAAAAACCTCTAATAAATTGGCGTTTAAGTCGATGCTTATTTTACTATAGACTCCCATTATTACAGTTGAGATAAGCTCCTTTGGGGGTGGGGGTATAATGCCGCAGAACATGGTTTTTTATGTACACAATGATTATTATATATAACCATGATAAACATACGTGAAATACATGCAGTACAGTAGAGTAATAATCTTATACCTGTATTTAATGAGAAATATAAGAGTAAAATAAGTAGCATCCTCATAAAATTAAGTTATTCTAGCCTAACTTTGCTTTTACTAACAATTTTCCCCATAATTTGAGGATTTCACTTGTAAATCAAAGCGAGGGACCATTTTTTTTTCATAACTGCAAATTTTGGTAAACATAACTTTTGTAAATCAGGTCTGCCTGTGGGTAATGAATAATGGCGTTTCTTCCCTGTGCAGTCTAATATATAGTATACTGTATATAAAAATAAATTCCTGAGCAACTTTAATCTGGCTTATTTCTGACAAAAGAGTTTCCTCAGAAAGGATAATAGCTCATGAATACTAATTGGCTAGAGAACTATCAGTCCTTTAAGACGAGCAATTACCAAAGCAACAGTACGGTATAGTATGTTATCACTGGCATTATGGGATCAAAAGCAAGACCTCTAACTGTGAAGAGCTGTAAATGGTCACACTGGCAATATCTTACAATAATATAATTCAAGTTAAGAAAGTTTAACAGTTTATCTTGAGTAATAATATAACAAGCAGAATTCTTGTCATCAACTATCATCACTAGAGTTGGATAAGCTACACAATGACTCATTTATTAATAATTTGTTCTATTCCAACTCAATTTAAAATTGGCAGTCTCTATTAATGCAAGTACTGTAGTATGAATTTTGACAAATATATCCATTCTTTATATATTGTATTCAAAGTATCTACAGGATTTTTCAGAGAATAAAAAAGGAAAATCAACTTATTAAATCTTCACCACTACAGGCATTGAAAAGTATTATAGTACTGTATTACAATGGGTCAATTACATGTTCAACTCTCAGCCAAAGAAGCATAGTAAATAATGCAGATAATACCTCATACACTCTCTTCACCAGACAATAGCCAATCACTACAGTTGGTATCAATACGTAGAGCAAGTACAGGCCCCACATTACTGGCTTATTATTGAAGAGCTTCATGAACTTCTCCCATAATGTCATCTTAAATAAAAATGCTTGGCTGTTTAGTTATGTGCTCACAGATCAGTAAACGTAAAACTTCAGCCGTTTATTTCATGTAATATTCGTAACTTATTAGAAAAAGAGAAAATCCACATACATGACCACAGTTGGACCTCTCAATAATGGAGTGAGGTGTTACTAATGGGAGGTACAGTATTCTATTCATAATAAAAAAGCAAGAGGAGAATTGAAAACCCATTTGTTGTTATTAAAATGCCAATACAATAAACCCTCACTTAGTAATAGTAAAGCCATTAAACAGTACAGCCACTCCTCGACTTACGACGGGGTTAGGGACCCAAATCCAGGCCGTAAGTCAAATTGGTCGTAAGTTGAAAAAGTGAAGATAATACAGGTACATAGTAAATCTAAAATGGGCATCTCTTTCTTCTCAACACCACGAAACTCTCACTTTTAAGCTTGCCAGCCATTTGAAGGGAATTACAAACAAATTTTGTCAGTACACAGCGCAATCACTAATGTCGGGACTCGAAAATACGTAATTTGAAAAATTTTAGTACGACTGGGGCGGTCGTATGTCCGGGTGGTCGTAAGTCGAGGAGTAGCTGTACTGTACACACAAATTCCGTACACACGGTCAACTCATTAATGTTGAATGGCAACTGAGGGATGCTGGTGTATGATCCCCTCTCATACCCTGAACAAAACAACTATTTTCTCAGCCAATATCATTACCTTAAGTGGTTTCTTCACTGAACCACCACAACCAGACTGTTTACGGCTAAGAGCCATCATGTAGTTAAGCGAACATCATAAAAATAGCTGTAAGATTAAGAAGGACTAAATGCCAAGTGACTGGGCCTGTTGCTTAAGAATTGAGCAATGACAGACATAGCCAGGGTTGCAGAGTGGCTAACCTAACTCGGGAATATAAATTTTTATCACTATTCATCAAAGAATTATTCATTTAATTATGTAGTGTAAGGTCGATAAAAAATAAAAAATCCTCAAAACATATATAAAATTTTACACATTTTTCAAATGTACATAACACACATTCCAGATGAACCGATTTCCCTCAATTAAAAAAAAATGCTTCTTTTGTAAGAAAATATTTTATCTATTTAAGTAATTTTTTTTGAGCAATAGTGACACAAGGAGGTAGTGTTACACCTGGAAGACAAAGTGTGGCTGCTTCCCCAGCCATATAGCATATAATAATAATTACCATGAGTATGTAATAGACGATAAACTGTCAGTTGAGGAACATATACGATGAAGTGAACACACCTGATCCAGCAAACATTCCCACCACGTTGGGTTAATATTCTGCTGTAGTGGTTGTGGTCTGGCTGATACAGTACTTAAAAGCTGAATACCATGGTTGGTAAATGGTAGACAAAAATATAACATTCATACTCATAACCACAGTAGGTTAGTGAGGATTTATTGTATTATATTACATACTGTATTGCAACAGCAAATGGGTGGAGCATCATGTGGTGTGTCAGATACAGTATATGAACAAATGTGAAGAATTGTACCATGAATACCAAGACATATACTGTGGATTGCAAAATGTGAACTTTTACTGCACTGTATTTCATTTCCCTGATACCATTGGTGATAAGAACATTTTTCTGTGTAAGTGAAGTACTGTACCAGCATAGAATCGTTTTTTGCTATACATGGTATAGCCAAGCGAGTGATATGGTAATGGTAAATAAGGTCTACAATAGTTCACCTAGTATATCAAAATTGCCAACCCAGACACCTGAAATTAAAGGTTTAGTGTACTGTACCAAATGACAAAATTAGGTAATATACTACATAATTACTGAAAACATTCTTTCTGGAAAAAAGTGCAATTAATGTAGTACCGTCGACAGTGATGTAATTAAGAAAACAAAATACTGCTTAACTTCTATCTTCTACAAGACCTGAAATAGTTTTACAGATGAAATATACTGTACTTATAATTTAGTGCATAATCCAACATTAATCATCTGCTTATGGTGCATATGTCCAACTGATCTTCTGAAACAAATGTTCAGACAGAAGGGAAACAAACTACAACAGCCCCAGTCTTTATTTACCTATATGGATTACCAGTTACCATTTTATATACTACTGTACATACTTTAGTTGACATTTTAGGTAATACATTTCTTCCAGTATATTGAACCTTTCCCTAACCTTCTTCTCATTTGTGTCTGGCTGCTGCACCCACCAAATCAAGTAGAAGAAGAAAGCAATAGCCGGGGAGCCACAGGCTAAACCATATGCTGGCCAAAACCATGGAGTCTGTTTCATCCACTTACCCCAGCAATCAAATGTGTATCCCCACTGTCCATCATACAAGAACTTTTAGAACAGAAATTATCTAATGCAATTTGCTTTTAATATCATTACTCTGTTCCCTTTATCTGAGTCATTATAGCATCTTTTACTCCTCTATTTGTAGTGATATCTTTAAAAACATTTCCTCTTAATATTTTAACCATTTTTGGAAGCAAAATATAAAATTGTTTAACTGATAAGACCCTGTTATGGTGTTGAGTGGTTAGACAGATTGTGGTGGTTTGATTCCTAGTATTTTGCAACTAGTATATCACCTCACCAGTGTAAGGTGCTAGTCTGATGAAGGGTAGTTTTATAACTAATAAGCACACCCACATGTGTTCCCATTTCATTGTTCAGTAAGTAAATATTAGTGCACTAATCAGGTACCCAGTCTACCATTCCAGATGGAAATCACTTAGGATCTTGCCTAGCAGAGAAGATGTTGTACAAAAATGGAGTGAAGGGAAATGGGAGTGTCACTGACCAACCAAAATGCGGAACAAAGACAAAAATAAGTGTTTAATCATTATGGAAGACTTAAATCATTTTGTAACTCACAAATGTTTTTAGTAGATAAATATATTTCAATCTTAATCAGCTTAGCTGTGAGTAAAGAAAGACTTGTACAAAGGTGCATCAACATGTTAGCTAAAATGAATGAAATCATACTGGCAGACTTCAGCTCTATATTGTTAGGTTTACAATGTCATTCTAAGTAAAATCCCATGTCACAAATGGAAGCTGGCCACTGTTCTTTATAAAAATTAGAAGCACGTATAAATCAACTTCCTTCTTCCTTCCAAATGGTAACTATTGTGTAATAAATGGTAGTGCGACTTGTTACATAATAAATCCATGTCTACATATGCCTTTGTATACCCAATGCTATTGATCATCTTCTATTCCTTTTTTCAGGAACAGGTTATATTAGGCATACTCTATATGATTTAATAAATCCATTGCTCAAATTATTCAACAATTCTCTGAGAGAGAGCAGTTAGTAAAACTAAATTCATACACATACCTGCCCTTTCTCCAACTTCATAACCTTTAAGTCAAATGTCTCCGCAGCCAACAGATTGGCATCAGCAATACTATCCGTGATTATCAAGTTGTCAAAGAGAATGTTATCAGACATGGACCACAGCTCAATACCAACAGCATCCTGTTATAAAAGAAACAAAAAACATTAAGCCCAAGTATGAATTAAAAAAAAGTATTTTCTTTACAACTGCAACCACTGTACATAATTGCATCGCTTAAAATAAACTACAATAAAGGTACCACATGTATAACTAATTACAAAATACAAATCCTTACAATAGGTGTCATCTTGAAGGGCTCCAAATCTTCAAAGAAATCTGGATTGGAGATTTTCCTCGGCTTCCACTTGCCACGGTAGTTGGGGTTGTCAATCATTGCTGGTCGCCATTTTCCCTTGTAATTGGGATTGTCAATCATTGGAGGTTTCCATTCTCCACAACCCGGAGCATCAGCACACTTTGGATTGTTGATTAAGGCAGCCTCCCACTCACCATCCATTTCATCATCCCTGGAAATCAAACCCATGCATGCTCAATTAATGTAAAGAACTTCTGTCTTGAAAGATTTCTCCCACTATTGCTGGGTAGTCAAAATCAAACACTTACTCCCTCATACCTCTGTCACATTACCAATAATCACTCAATGCTAGGCTGCCCCATCAGTTCAAGTACAGTACACTAATGTTTCCAGAATGTCCATCCCCTTCTCTTCCCTTATTCATCCATTAACCTATCTCCTTCTCAGTCAATTCCTCTTCCACCTACCATCCTCCTATGATTTAAACACTTTTTTTTTTACCTTTGTGAAACCTGGTCAGAAGTAGTCAATAATACATTATTTCCACATGCTTTGCTATTTCTGTATTTTTTATTCTTTGCATTTTAAACCTTTCATTGCTGGAATCCCGTATAATGACTTTCCAGACTCTGTGAGTATGATGTATATTTGTTATGAGGATATGGCAGGATTTACATTATGAATAGATTCTTCCCCATATATACACATACACACACAAAATCAAATATATTTCTTCCTTCACAAAATACTTACCAATCCTCAGGTTTCTCAGCTGTGGGGTCAGGTATCATCTCTGGTTCCTCATCTAACCAGCCACTGGGTTTTACAGCATCTGGATCTGCAATTTGCATAGGAGCATCTTCATCCCAGTCATCAGGTTTGGTGGCATCTGGATCAGGGATCTTTTCTCTCTCATCCCATTCTTCAGGCATGAAGTCTTCAGGATCATCAATTTCCTTGGGAGGGTTAACTGGTGGAGAGAAGTCTTCAAGGAGGCTGCCAGAGTTGATCACCTGCAGAATATATCATGGCTGAGGTTGTGGATGACAAGTAAGTTTATTAACTGAAATGCAACCAATGCCTATAATAGTATACTTATGCATTTCAGACCTATCCTTGTCCAGTGTCTACTGAGCTCAGACTAGCTATGTACACCATATGAACTTCAGTCTCACTTCAGTTGATATTTTATTCCCAATTGCCATATACAGTTAACATACATCACCAGCAGGGATGATTTACCACCCCTAGTGACACAGCCCAGGTAAACAAAATCTACAACTACTGATAAAAGTTTGTTTAGTATTTTTCATGTATTTACTTCCTGTACCACCATGTACAAGTAATTTATAGGAAAAAAGAGTTGCTAAAATATTTAAATATATCTAAATAAAGTAAAGTTTCCCATATACAGGACACAGACACACACATTTAAGAGAACGAGAAAGTTTTTAGTGCTTTGTCCTACCTCTTGGTCAAGATTAATTTCGTATGTGTTGTCAGGTCGCACAATTAAAGTGTATAAATGTGGTTTCTTGTCCTTGAAGGGCTCTTCAATCTTGTCACGGGGACGCTGAAAGGACATCACAGTTAGGTTAAAGTTTCACAATATATATTATACATATATACCTGTATACAGTATAACCTGAAAAATTTCGAAATCTGGAACCCTCAGTTTTCAGGAAAATTCTTGTTTTTTTAGAAAATCCTCCTCAGAAATTTCGAAAGAGCGGAGTATACCATAGACTTGCGTTGGCTTTGCTATCTAATCCCTTGTGAATGAGGTCACCTCTGAGCTGAATAAAATTGTCCTGGTGTTAGCCAAATTAAATATTTAAAAGTGGCATCCCCTCTGCCTTAGACCAATTTTCCCCCTCTAACTGACTCGTTACAAGCCCTTCTGGTCACCTCCCTATCCTCTCATCGTACAAGGTAGCTGAATTAGCTCAACCTTGTATTTTTTGTCTGACTGCTTTATACACATCACTCCTGTTCTTATTTTAATATCTTCATTTCTCAAACTGTCCCTGAATGACCTCTTAATATCCATGAAAACATTCTCATCATAGTTTTCTCCAACAATTCCTCATTGCCCATGTCTGCTCCATCCCTCGACAACAGCCCATTACCACCTCACCCCATCTCTACCTTCCTTTTTACATCTCTTCACCCTCAACATCAATTCCCATTTATTCAAACTTGTCTTTCTGCATCAGCTCCTCATTTCTCCCATTCCTACATTTTGCTCCACACCATAACCTCTATCTAGACACTTCTCTGTTTCTGCTGTTAAGGCCAAAATCATTCACGAACAAGAGCTCCAAAACTACCTACCTCTGATATTCTCACTCAAAGCAGCCATCATATTGACAAAGAGTAAAGGACTTGACAGTGAACCTTGATTTAGACCAATTTAATTTCAAAGTATTGGTGGATCCCCGGCAGATTACCTAGTTTTAGTTCCTTCATAAATCCCCTCCATGACATTAACCAATTTTGAAAACTTACCTTAGCATGCTTTTCTTCAACCTCTCCAGTCAAGGGATTGATGTGTCGGAAAATGAAGTGCAGCTTATGGTCATTACCACACTTGTCAGGTCCAAACATAATAGTGTATGGTGTTTTGTCATTGAATTTTTTCAGGTCCACTCTTCCATCCTGAGAACTTAATAGCTGTGCAAAGAAAATTTTGATATAAAGGAATCCAAAGAAATGTGGCAAATGTAAAAATAAGTAAAATAGGAGAAGATATATCATGGAATTTATATCAATACAGTTGCACACAAGACTGACAGAATTCAATTTTCAACTAAAATACTTTTAAACCTTTACAGATACAATGAACACTACAAATGTGTGTTACTTGTTTGCCTGAAAGACTCACTGAAGATTTATTAAGACTTAAGTACCACACTAACCTTAATATAAGCTCCACCGCACTCTTGACCATTTTGCAAGTTGACCTCATACTGTACAACAAGTGGTTTAGATGTAAAAGAAAACGGCCTCTTGAGAGCAACAGCAATGGCCGCATGTTTTGCTTTGGATTTCAAAACCAGTCCACGATCACCGGTCAGTGCCATACGCTCAGCAGATTCAACAGCCCAAACACCTGTCAAGTTGAAATCATAAAAAAATTAGAAACACTAAAAACTTGTAGTAAATCACGAGGAAAAGAATCGAGATGCTCTACCCACTCCACCAATCCATAATTTAAACTGCCTACCTTCTTGAACACACAATACACTTTACTATATCTTACCCCTTCTAATCTGCTTCTATCAATGTTCATACTTCACAGTCTGCCTTTTTTTATTTTAGTTCCAAGCTTATGCACTAATGTCTTGTATATTAGTTCCAGATATTAACCACCCATTTCCTTACCTGCCCACTCAGATTTTACTTTGTTCAAACCTGAAGAATGGATGATTGAGTAAGTTGAGGTTTCTAAACCATATACAGTACGTATACTACAAACAAACTTGCAGCACCTTCTGACAAAGGGGTCCAATATATTTCAATCCATGACACAGTTTATATGGGAACTCAAGCCCATTTTAACTATTTCAATTTGTTTAACACTGCAAAATCTTTCTTGTATGCCACCGAGTGGCCATAACCAACAGCATGCACGCACATGCATATACATGCTTCACTGGCTATAAGCAACATCACATACACACACACTCCCTATGTTGCAATTCCATTAATATACTTTCATACGTAACACTGGCTAATATATACCCAAATTTCTTCCGTGTTTAATACTAACCATCATATTTGGCAATATCTTCATCAACACCATCCTTTTTAGCTTGAGACTTAACCCAGGCATTTTCAAAAGCTCCCACATCATCAAATGTTTCCATAAGGTAAGCACTTGCAATCACCTTTGGTGTAGCATATATCACTTCTTCCACCTCATCTTCCTCTTGCTGAAACAAGACAACTTTCAATAACCTAGGATTTATTTTCAATACAGGTACCAGCAAAAAATTCTTTACAAATCTTAAACAAACAATATAGCACCCCCAAAAAGCATGTGAAGTTCATGTTTGCCTTCTTAAGATTTAGATGATAGGTGGGCAAGAGTGCCCAAGGGGCCATTAATTTTGTCACATGTCGTGAAGTAAAATTAAGTACAGTACAGAGTATATTCTCAAAATCATGGTTTGACTGAATCAACTTACAACCATCTCCTCAGTAACTGTTACTTCATCATCTTCACCAGCTATTACTGCACATGGTAATAGAATACCTATTAAAACCACTGCTAATAAAACTGTTCTCTGCCACCTCCACGCCATTGTGTCTGAAAATGGAAAAATAATATTAGAAAAACAAGTCTTTATTCTTAATTATCAGTACCTTAGCATGAAATCTAATACTGCACATGATAAAATCTAGTCATATGAACACCTTTTCCTGATGGGGATACCTTCAGAACACAAGAAAAATCTATACTCATACTATACTGTACTGTACATGTCCAATAGAAGACTGAACACTCCCAGCAAGTAATGAGACCAAGACAAGCTGTTGGGTGCCAACTGCACTGTACAGTACCAATACGCTTCCTTGGTTTAAAAAGAAACGATACAATGATTAGATGGAAATAATTCTAAACTTCTACAAAAGAGAAACTGGATAAGACTGGAAACGGTCAACAAAAAGCAACGCTAAGCCATCGTCTTCAATAATTATACTGTACTACCCTAGTAATGGATAGAGATACATTACATACTCTTTAGGAGGACGAGGAGGAAAAATCTACTTTGGATTACACAGCAACTGAACTGTGATGACTGGTTCAAGCATCAAGCCTGGCATGCTCTGTACTTTTTGTTCATCCCTTACCAGATACAGTATATCACACAATTTTTTTCCCAGCTTATCAGTTTGTACGGTACTTCCTGTCTGGGTCGTCAGCGCGCCCAGTGTCAGCACTGTACTGTACAGGAGGAAACCTGAGTACAGTATCCAGATGAAACCTGTGATGTTTAGTAGGGTCACACTGGTACAGTACAGCGGTTACACTTCTATCTCTCACCAAGTCACCAATATGTCAAGTGTAAGCTGGCAAGTGAGGGAAAAAAAAAGTGCATCCGGGCCAAGGAGGACTCCAACTCATGACATATTGGTGGTATAGAGTCACACTGTTCTGGATATATCCTGCAACTGTTGTCATATATTTCTCATGGTCCCAATTTAAATCTCACATGCTTTGTATTTGCTGAGCATCTTTTTGTGGAGGCTTCTAGCAGCTGACCCAAGGCAGTGCAAGCCTCTCGCCCATTAGTAATGGATGGAACATGAACACATCAAGACATTTATACTGTACCCAGATAATGTAAATCAGTTAATGGTAATATTCAAATTAATTTTCCCCTTCACTATTCTCCCGTCCAGTGGTAATTTTGAAATATCAGATACCAGATGAAGTGCAGACAATTTTACTTTCATCAACTGATCGAGTGTCTTCATTTGACATTTACTTATTAACCTTATAATAACTTATTTAACGAAAAATACAATAAAAAAATATTTAACGCTTCTCTTAAGAAATTAAATATTAAAAATATACTATATACAGTATACAGTATTTAATGTTCTTGCAATAAAGGCGATGAACGTATGCTACAGGACCCTATGTGCGACCAGAAAGAAACTTTTACCATATTATAACTCTTCTTGAGTGTGAACAAGTGTCTCCTGGACTGCAGTTGTTCACACTAAAGGTGAATTATTTGAGTGGTGTTAGTGCTGGGAGGTGGTCTGCTAGCAGACACACCTCACTGTGTGACACTTGAATAGTCCATTGTTTACTGCACTGTACCTGTGGTGTTCCCAAGCCAACAGTGAGTATTGTAGTAGTATACTGTACTGTACCTGCTGTTTTTATTTATTACTGAACAGTACATATTAATATGATTAAAATGTTTTATTTATTGTTGTACAGTATTTATATGGTTAGTACATGTTTATGTATTTTGTTTTTCTGATTAATCAACAAGAGTAACCTAACTTGACTGGTTTGGAACCTTATCACCCCCCTCCCCCCATTACATTGATTTATATGGGAAAAACTACTGTATTATTCAGTATATCAACGGTCTTTTAAGAAACCCATACGGATAACTAGGGCTTCCACCATGTGTATGCCTAATTTCCGCAGAAACAGACCACTGGAAAACGAGTCAAGTTTAACAGTGCTCAATGATTTGTCACTGTTAAAACAAGACAGTTCAGAAATAATTTCTTATTCACCAAATCAATGAAGGCTCATAGTCAGTGGCTTAGGATGAAAACAGCTGACCATTCATTTTCATCCAAGTTTTATCTCCAGTACGGTATTTTGATTTTAATTTACTGTACTAATTAGCTGCCAGGGTTTAACACAAGAACTGGCTACTCTTATACCACTAGAATGGCTGTCATGGTCACTATGACTGTTGTATAGACAAAAAGTACAGTACAGGTACAGTATACTTAATGAGGAGTTTATGTGCAGACATTTAATTCAATATTGTAAAAACCAATACAGTATTTTAAAACATGTAATCTTTCATACACTTATTATATACAGTGATCCCTCGGTTAACGAGCACCTTGGTTAACGAGATTTCGGTTAACGATTTACCTTCCATAAGATTCTTAACTTCGGTTAACGAGCAATCCCTCGATTAACGAGTTTTTTACGAGCAGACTTCAACATGTTTTCGCTTGCATTTGGCGGTCCACCAGCTGTAGTATTAGTCCGCCAATACAGTAATCGGTTTTAGGGCTTAAATTCCTTACTATTTCAGTAAATATCAAGAAGTTTATACTATTCAATAATTTTAAAAGTTTAATAACTTTTTTAGTCATTTTAACAATTATTGAACATAACTGAAGATAAAGAAACTAGTTTCTGGCGTGCCATCCAGCCTGTTAACACACCAGACAGGCGTTAGTCTCTCTCTGTTTTCAGTGGAGGTAACATCTTGCTGGAGACTCTCTTCAACTCAACGCTTTTTTTCTGTTTCCGAGCAAATTATTGGTCATTTTGAAATTTATTTTACATATTGACAATATATAATGCAGTGCAGTGTTGATTTAATAATCTTGAATTACACCAAGACAACTAAAATTTTATGGGTGAAATGGTGCCATGGGGTGACTTCTCTTCCACCCCAATGCCTTCTCTTCTCCCTTCTCCTCCACCCCCATTCTAATTCCCATCATCATCATCATCATCATCCACACCTCAAAGTAAGTGTACTTTTCTACCTTTTTTGTTGAATTTAGGCAATTTTCGGTGAGCTGGAACCAATTACCCAAAAACCCATTGAAACAATGGTTTCGGTTAATGAGTTTTTCGGTTAACAAGCAGCCTGCTGGAACGGATTGTGCTCGTTAACCGAGGGACCACTGTATTTTATTTTTAATTTTCTTTACAAAAAAAAACAAACATTTTAGTTACCAAAGAAAATTGTCAGAATTCAGAAAACAGTTATGATGCTAAAAAAAATAAAAATGTCTGCTTCTAGCATATTTGCCAGATATTTGTGGAGAGGAAATCACCTTCAATGTTCAGTAACTGATACAGTTTATACGTATAGAGCATTTTACAACCTTACTGGTAGAGCACACTTGCCACACACTCTTCTGAGTAATATGATCTGTTGCATACAGTAATGTATTCCTGTCTTCTACAAAGGTTTACACAGCATTGTAGGCGATTATAATAAAACAAATTGAGATACAGTAATGGCACATAAGACATCCTACACCACTCATTGCAACACTAAAGACTTGATCATCATCTGCCAAGCCACCGAGGAATCAACTTACAGTTGCCAGAGATTAAATATAAATGTTAATAAATTTTTACCAATTACCTCAACACTGCATTATTGTTAATCACAAAGTTGAGGGAATTATATTTTACAAAGAAAGTATAGTTATCTTGTATCTAACGTGAATAAAATCGCAAGTCCTGTACCGCCATTATATAATTTTTTGTTCATAAGATGAAGTAAACTAATCTACTTTATTAAACTTGAGCTTCACCTACAGTATTATTATCTGGTATTATACTGAATTAGGTTAATTCGTTTCATTTTGTGAATGATAAATTAATGAAAGGTTAATATTTAGCAGGTACCACCACTTAACTGAATATTGAGTCTTCTACGGGGAGATAGAGAAAATGATTCTACAATGTTTCCGTCGGGAATTTATAGTTTGAGTTATTTAACTTTTATTTTATAATAATTGGCCAATCAGTGTTGATGTGACGCCATAGTCGTACCCGCCGATCAGCGTGAGTGCCGATGTGAAGCAATACTCGTGATTTATCAACAAATGTCTCCATTCCTGGGCAGTTGGAAGGTCTCTGTGAGGAAGATGTACTTTGGCTGGCTGACGCATTATTCAGCACATTCTGGACAATGAAGCAGCAGCCATTTACATTTTTATGGCTCAGTGTTCTTGTTTCATTTGTGAAGTGTCCAAAATGTAATTCTGAGCATCAGTACTGTGTAGATCGCCATGCATGGTACTGTACTGTGGTAAGAGACGGAGGTAAAATTGCAGTTTTGGCCAATATGCCCAATTAGTTTAGAAATTTGTTTATCCTGTTTATTTTGGTGTGATTTAATTAAATATGACAATTATTTCCCAGGGAAAGTACCCATTTTAGAGTTATCCCCCAAAAAATGTATGGAAAAACTTTAAAATTCATTTATAACATCAATCTTTGCCCCGTGGTTGAAATGGGGTTAGAAATACCCCAAATGAGGAGATCTAAAGGTTGGGGATAATTAAAACAGTCGGCTGTGTAATGGCCAAAACGGCAATAATACTGAGATGGACACTGATGAAGACACCACTGCCTCATTCAAGTCGCTTCACTTTATCCTCCTGTATCTCTTACTTAAGGTAAGTTTCTTACACACTAGGGGATAGATTAGCTAAGTTTTTTTTTATAGTTGAGGTTTTTTCCATTGTTTGACCTTCCACTTTCCTTTTCAGCATCTCCACTAAAGTACCCTATATTTTCGTAGTAGTTACACAAAATTCCTACCCCTAATCTTTTATAATATTTGAAAAAGACGTCTAATTTTAAGATAATTTTCTTCCATTACATTACCGTCGCAAACATATAATAACGGAGATAGCTCATGCCAAATCTTTCTCTATTTAATTCCATTAATCTTCAGCCATTATCGCCTACCCGACCTCGCACTCAGGGTGTTCCCTTCATAAATCAACGACATGCGCATGAGTTTCCATCCACGTCACGTGGCCAATCAAAAGTATTTTTTTTGCCACCAATTAAAATTAATTGTGGTCTCTGCATTTAGAATTTGCGGTATTTTTTGCCCAATCAGATTCGATTGTAATTTTGGGTCTCATGCTTCAAAACTCAAATTCATTTCTGACCATGGAAGTCTTCGATGGATGTCACTTCAATTATATGGAGTCAATTGCGCGCTTTGGGGAAAAAACGAACAGGCAATACGATTTTTTTAGATCTCATGATGTTCTCTCGACCCCAGTAAAGATTCTAATTCGGAAAAAGGTAAGAAATAGTGATTCCTCATATGGCAAGAGTCTGGTTACGTAAAAACACCGTGAGGGTCAGGTTAGGTCTGGTTAAGCAGGTTAGGTCTGGTCAGGTTCTGGTTAGGCAGGTCAGGTTAGGGCATCCCTAAAAAGGTTAGGTTTCTAAGGGTTTTTTTTAAGTGTTTTCTTGGTGTACTGTATTTTGTATTGACTTGTCCACGATTTTTGTCGGAAAACGCCCCACCCAAAACTCTGGTTCCCAAAAGGATCCCCTATCTTGTTGGGGGTTGAAGGAGGTGATAACTAAAAAACAGGCAATTTCGGACGGAAATCAAGGTCAAAACCAATCCCCACACACACAAAAAAAGCACTAGAAAAACACAGTTTTGACTTTCTAACAGAGTTATGTGAAATACTATAAATTTACCTAAACTACTGCTCTTTTCCGACGACAAAGATGGTCATATTTGCATTTAACACGATAATTTACACTATAAAACCCCACTTTCAAGTCCTGTTAAGTGGTGGCACTACTATTTACCTAATAAAATAGTGTCTAATCCTTCAGAAAGTACCCAGTCTTGCCAACTGTCAACAATGTCATGTAATGTTACACCCGTTAAATATAAGATAACCGAAATGATAAACTCTAAGAAATGGTGAAAAAAACTCAGGTATACACATCCCAACACTGACACTCGACCATGGACCGGGAACCAGTGATTTAAACTATTAACTAAACAAGAACTTTTTTTTTAACAAAAATTCATGAACAGTTAAGAGTACAGTAGAAAATCTATTACCAAGGTAAACTTTGCCTAGGAAATTTACCAATGAGCCATTTTTGGGGCGTTTTCCTTATTAAAACCACTACCTCCACCAAAATCTAGATTATCATCATGTTATAAGAAAAATACTACCGTATCCTTATACCAATACTATGTACCTAATATCTAGTGACACCGAGAAGAGTTTTGTTTAGTACTTTACAGAAATATCTGATAATTATTTGACTTGATATTGGTGGATGCATTAGAGTAATGAAGAGTAAACCATGACAGAAGATATAGGTGAGGCAGCACAGTAATGGAGGGAGGTGGTGGCACACTATGCAGACGACGCTCCCTTACCTCACCGGTGTCACAGTCTTCCTCCCGTTTTGGATCAACAACAGCGCCTTAAATTACATTCTCATTAAGTATTATGGAATGATGAAAAGTCAGCAACACTGAAACTGAATACTTACTTTATAACGACGTCACTTACAGCGGGTATAGTCACTAGAGGCGGTCACAGGCGGCAACACACCCATCCACCACAAGCGTCAAAACACGACTTTGATGTCTGTCGACTTCCTTAGCGCGTGGTCGTTCCTGATTGGTCGGCCAGTGCCTAAACCAGATGTGAAGACTATTCCTATTGGTGAAAATTTTATTAAATTATTTCCTTTGCGCTGATTGGCTAGCAGACGACAGTTACCAATGTTCTCCGTCTTCTCTCATTCTCACCAATAGAAAACGATGGTCTCCAGCCTTCACGGGGAACTGCTTCCTTACAACAATCTAGTTTTGACAGCATTAAACTTTTAAGGCTCTTAGTGGAAAGTTCCACAAACTGTTACAAATTATAATTAAAGATTTAAATATAAATTTTATTCTAAAAACAATCAATTCTATTTACAGATAACATAAAATATTTGAGAATATTAGCATCGCACTTTTTATATAATGTAATGGCACTACTACTGTATATCTACAGTAGTTTCAAATAATGCATCATAATTACCTAATTCAACGTCTAGTTTTCTTGCGTATTTACTGCAGCAAAATGTATACAGTGTTTTCTATATTACAATATAAAGTGCTGTACCAGTCAAAGAGAAAACTATAAAATATCATAGTTCATATTTGTCAATGCTCGTCACTGATACGAGTGTTCTAAAGATATTATATCTTAATTTTTAATTGCTGATGACTCATGTAAACACTAATCCAGTATACCCACCCGTGAAGTTGTGAAATATAGAAGTGAAGTAATGTATATCAAAATCAGTAAAACCGCAAATCATTGTATTTTAAACAAAATAACCCATGTTCAGTGACACTAAGGGGTACTGTACATTCTGCTGTATCTATTAATTTTTAATTATTGATGTCTAAAGTCTGTACTAACCAAGAATGTATCCAAACTTGACCAACACTGGAGGTGCAGATTCTGGTTCATTCTAGAATCCACCATTGGCCAACGGTGCGTAACCGACCGCCCAAGCTGTTAAAATGCCTATTAGAGGCGAAGAGAATAAAGTAAATTGTAAATTTTGTCCGTGCTAGACAGTGAATTGTCTGTCACGAAAAGGATTAGTAAAGTAAAGAAGTGCTTAACTCCTGAATCATACTTAATTAATACACCAACAACAGCCTGGTTGGCCAGAGACTCGGCAACCAATATACTGTACTTTACTTTACTCTTACCTTGGCTGCCTGGGCGATCGGTCACACCAAACAGAAATGTCCATGCTTGGGTACAGATAATTCATATATAAATGAATTCTTATACTTTACTATTCTTACAAATATTTCAGTGTACAGAATAGCTTGGAATCTCTCCCTTGTCGTTTATTTTTGAAATATTCATGGAAAGTCATTCAATATTCTCAGCAAATTGATGATGGTGTTTATTAAATAATCTGGTTTATAAATTAAATTTTAGCAATTATACAACCCTATTATATCTCTACCCCACCATTTACAGGTACTGTACCTGTATTGGCGGGCACATTGCATTTACCTAACCAAGTCGGCTAATACCCAAATAAAAAAAATAAAAAATTGCTCCACAAAACAAAATTTTGGTTTTCAGAGCTTTTCAGTTTTCGGAATTTCGGATGAAGGGTTGTCAACCTGTACAACAATTACAGGTCACAGTAGTGTATGAAGCAGATGCAAGGTCAAAATGCCATAAAATTCTTATGGAAGAACTTCACACATGAACAAGCATTGCAAGAACAAAATTAATAAATCAGTCAAATGAGGCTGAGAATAGTAAAACACATGTCATGCTGAGTTTTCATATTTGTAGGGACAGCCTGAACATTAGTCAGGGCTGAATTAAAGCCAAGGCAGAAATGGGACCAGCTGCCCAGCCCCAAGTTGTCAAATGTAAAAATATAAATAAGATGAAAATAAAAAGATTAAAATACAAATAAATTTAGTAAAACAAAACTAGCATTGGACCCATTTTTTTTTAAATAAATAGGTTCAAACTTATCAAATTTAGAGATTGAATGACTAGCTTTCAGCAATGTTGCCCTTGTTACGGGATCCAAGAGACGAGACTTCAAGCTCCTAGATTCGGGCAGTGCAAGCTGTTTCTCAGTTTCTCCCGACCCAAATATATTTTTATTGGGAAGGTGAGTGTGAACATAATATTTCAGGGACTATGAGGGCAATGAAAGAGATGGAAGCAAAAAAGAAAGTTTTTATTTGACATCACAATAAAAGTATTTGAAAGGATGTGTTGATGTTGAACTTAAAGTCTATATCCTGCTACACTCTCAGATTTACCTGACAACCAAAGTTTGCAGTCAAACCTGAACTGTGCAAGTTTACCACAGAGGAAGAGTTGGCAGGCTGTTAGTGTCTAAAATACTGTGCCTTTAATTTTTACTTCTTCTTATTAATACCTGTAATAATATTAATAATAATAATAAGTAGGATTGATGAATAATACATAGTAATGGAAATTAAAGAAAAATCTGAAGATTTTTCAATACTTCACTATATTCTTTACTTGTAATTTTCTAAAGTGATCTTCCACTGTGGGGTAAATCAGTTCTACTAGATCTCAATTAATTGTAGATCTGTCTTGGATAAGGTTGGACAAAAACAGGAGAACAAATGTTAAACACAGTCTTGCAATAGGGACTTGCGAGTATATTAGAATATACAGTCTCTCCTAGACTTACGACAGGGTTCCGTCCCAACGACCGGGTCGTACGTCGAATTGGTCGTAAGTCGAATTGGTCGTAAGTCGAAAATGCGATAATAATACAATAGAAATTCTAAAATGAAATACAGTACAGTAAAAATAATCAATAATGAAAAATGAATAAAGTGTTACTGTACACTTACCTCTAATGTAGTCAGCTGAATGCACACGGGGCCTCAATAATTTTTTAATTCAACATGGAGACTACATTAATTGGATGAAGCAGAGGTAAGGAAGGCATTGGGATATTTTGTTGTTAATATTCAGAGAATTCTTCCTTCTCACAATGTAACAATACAACTTTGGCACTTGGCTATGAAACTAAGGTTTCTAACACACTGGAAACTTTGAAGTCATTTAGATTCATATATTGAAGTCAACTCCTTTAATGTCCATTTTCTGTGTCAACAGTATATACAGTACAGTATGATGCTGTACTACAGTATATGTCAACTCTTCAGAGGGTAAATTATGAGTTTCAAGATATTACAGGTATATTTATTTATTATATACAGTAATTTGTCATATGACACTTTAAAAAGAATCATACTTTATATATTTTATATCTGTATGTGGGAACACAAACCCTAACCATTTAGACAAGACACCCTGAGTAGCATATCATTCAACAACATTATTGTAAACATTATTAACACAGACAATTCTTATGATGAAGCATTATATCCATCCCTTTTCTCTGTGTGAGTGTTTATTTTGGAGCTTCCAACTGCTAATGAAGTAGGTGGGGACACCAAGTTGTAGGAGAAAGGCACAACAGCCTTAGAACTGTGTGGTCGTGACACAGCTGAAAAAATAAATCATTGGTACATACTGTACTTTTAAAGCCTTACTATTTATTCTTGATTCAGTTATCATTAGCCAACAGGTGTACTCTACTGTATTATTTTTTCGTTTTTGCAAGCCTTTTTGTACTATGAATGAGATAAATGAAAAATCTTAAGCACATGAACCTCAGTTCTATGAAATATATCCTGTAGTTAGATTATTAATGACAAAATAATTCACATGATTGAACTCATAGTTTACTAGAACTTTCCATCATTTGAAATTTAATTACAGTACTATACATTGAAAAATTATTATTGATTCACTTTTCTCCTGATTTACAGACACCAATTAGAATATACAAAGGACTGAAGTATGAGATCTCAGTCAATGACAAGCGTGAAAAAGTGAGTGACCTGTGAGATTCAAACTGCTGAAATACAGTCTGCTTCTTGGCTGGACAACATGACATGATTAACAGCAGGATACACTATCCAAATAGACAAAGGCAGGTAATGTTATAATCTTGCATCAATCAACTCCATATAGCCAACAAGATAATGGGTTGAAGTCCCAGGGACCAGGATCTTGATTGTGTTTGGGAACCGAAAAATCAAATAAATATAAAGTTCAAATTTACCTTTAACTTTATACCAGAACTGATAGATAACATTTTGGTCAGAGAGTAACCTAAAATGGAGAAAACCCGAGTTTTGTTGCCTTTTAACTATTTACAAGTTGTTGATATTGGCTATAAAAATACTCTGTGAGAAACATCACTTTAGATATCAATCATCTGACAGACATTGTGGGAATGCTGGTTAAGGTGTTTGTTTGTTTATACTGTACTACATTAAAAAGAGTGCTTGATTTAACTTAATAACTTGTAAGATGTTTAGTTAATAAGTAACAGGTCAACACTACTCTGCACTGAGACCAATTTTCCTAGTACGTATGTAGATCGGCTTATCTTTTATAAGATACCATAATGGTCTTACTGATGACTTTTAAGAATGCACTGAATGGAGGGCAGCCACAAGTTTTTTAAACTGGATACAGTATAATAAAAAAAATAAAACAGGACTCAGATTTCCTATTTCAATGTATGTAATGTTCAGACTTCAATATACTTACTCCATTTATGAATGCTAGCACTCACAGGGCAACCAAACAAGTAAAACATTCACTTACTTTGTAATGTCAGAGATGCAAGTTTGTTATTCCATTTCTCTTCTGCATGCTTTCTTGTATCTGCACTCAAGATTTGTCGTTCCTTTTGCCTCAATGCAAAGTTTCCTTGATCTAAATCTCTGGAAAAAAAAGTTTGAATTTAGATATTCCATTCATTTGGCCCTGAAGATGAGTCATGTGATTTGTAAGATATCCTTTCCTAGAACTCTCTGTGGTAAAGCCTGGCTTGAGCAGATGGCTAGAGCGTTTTGAGGCAGGAACACTACCCTACAGTATATGGCTTAGTGAAAGGTTGCCTAAACATCTTGTCAGGTAAACTGGTGGTTATTGAGGGCAGAGCTTTTATCACAAGCCAAAAATTAACTGAATGGCTCATGATACTAAACTCACTTGTTCTGGTTCTATGAAGATTTCCAGCTCCTTCCCCCCTACCCCACTCTTCCAGGGAAAAGGGCAACAACTACACACGACTCCACTTTGTAGTTAGGGAAAGGAAAGCTTTTTAAATACTGTAGTTATTATTTAACAGATCAATCCTGGCAGACACTTGAGAGGGTCGTTTTTTATTTTTTTTTAAGAAATTGACCTATACTGTATTATGACAACCTCCTGGTGAGGGGTTATGCCGGAAAAGGGGATTTTACTCATCTGGTCTTTGCTTTGAGGCCTTACACGAGTTCATTTCATGCTTCATATACAGTATATATCAGATCATAACTCCTAAGGCAAAGTGTAATTGGAAGAAATTACCAGAAAGACATTACTGATGTTGGTCTCACTATGTAAGTTAAAGATGAATTTAACTAGATTTGCTAATATTTTGCAACAGGTCATGTTGTACAGCCATAAACATACTACTGTATATGATAAAAGAGACTGAATAATATTATACATACTGTTTTTCTGCAATACTAAGGGCTTTTGCTGCTTTCTCTTGTAGTATTTGTCTCCTGTCCATCCTATGAAGTATTCTGCCACTCTCTGTATCATCACAGGGGTTATTTTCTTCATCTATGCAGTCATCATAAAACTCCTCCTTAAGTTTTTCATTTAATTTCATTGCCTCAATATGTCTGGCAGAAGTTGGATGAAGTCTTTCTTTGTTGTGTATATTTGACGAACATGTTTCTCTATTTCCATCCCACTCCTGGGCATTTCGCATTACATTTTCATTGTTTTTTCTCGTGGTTACATCATCAAGATTTGTTACCGGCTGTACTTTCTGATTCTGAGTTCTACCATTAGTTATTTCATTTTCACATCCTTTACTATTTGAGTGCCCATCATCATCATCACACTCATGACTTCTTTGTATATTCACTTTATCACTCTCTTCACTGGTATTGTTTAGATCTTGAGTAGGTTTAGCCACACCAGCAGGGGCTACGGAACTGGCAATATTACTGGAATGTTGCAGTACTTGAGCCATAACAAATGATGAACTATGAACTGCAGAAGATAACACGGCATAGCGGTCCTCTGAGTCTGAGTCATCTGCATCTGTTGATGAATTAATTCATCATTTGTACAAGTTTATTTTGAAAATCTCTCTAAGAAGTGGTAATTTTCTTCAAGGATTATATTTTGTTTATACTCAATTTATTGTATGTTAGTAACTTTTCTGTATGTTAGTTAAGTTCCTGTAGATTTTTATATTTTATTGTACATATGTTATTGTATATTTCTGTATGTTACTGTTTATCATGGCCTGCTCTGGAAGTTGTTTTTTGCTGATGACTTAGCATTGATAGCAGATAACATTGAAAAGGCAGTGGAAATTTTAAGAAATGGAAGGATGGAATAGAGTCAAAGGGCCTGAGAGTGACTTTGGTAAAAGTACTATTTGTGGTGTGGGTGAGGAACAAGTGGTGGAAAATAGCCATGTGTTGTCTTTAAGAAAGGTGTTGTCAGCAACTCAATAATGTGCAACAAGTGTGGAAGGTGGGAACACAAGAGGTGCAGTGGAATTGATAGCAAACTGCAGGATGTTGCTGACTAGGTGCTCTTTATGCACAGGTAACAATGTACTTACAGCAAGATTCAAAAACTAAAGTTGGGGATATGTCCCTGGACTGTGTCAATAAATTCCATTACCTGAGTGATATAATCAGTGCCAGTGGACATGCTGAAGCCTCTGCTCAGTTAAAAAATCAAAAGTGGCTGGAGGAAGGTTAAGGAGCTGTTGCCTTTATTGATGGTGAGATGAACTTGCCTTTGATTGAAAGGAAAGATATACACTCGTATGTAACTAACTCGAGAAGTGTGATGTTGTATGAGTTAAAAACAGTCACTTAAGGAATTAGTATGAAGACTTGAGTAACCTGAAATTAGAATGGTGAGATGGATGAATAAAGAGATGCTGAGAGATAAGAAACCCCGTTAAAAGCTGGGATGCTAGCTGGGTATTGAGAATAGTGTACTGCATTAGTGAAGCTTTGAACAGGTGTAGGGTGATATAGTATGGGTACACGGAGAGAATGGAGGAGACCAACTGTGAAGCAGTAGGCCAGACATGGGGATAGGGTGTAAGAAATGACCTTAGAGATAAGCACCTGATGAGAAACACTACAAAGAAACATGCTACTTGGATAGCTGCCATAACTCAGGCAGACAATGCAATGGGAAGTGCTTAGGTGCTTCTGTACTGAAACTATGATGGTGGCTGAAAAATAATTCTGAATTTAGACATAATTAGTCATGCAGTCTAAATACTAAAACTTTGAGTAATTTTCATAGAGAGTTTTCCACAGAGAAAACAACAATAGGGCACGAGACAGATCCTTCCTTCTGGTATGTTTTTCCATGCGTGATAATGACATACCTGCTGATATTTTTGCTGGCTTCATCTGGCCAATACCCAATTCAATAAGTTCTGGTAGTTCTAAATTTCTTAAGGTTTTCTTACGAGCACCTCTCATAATACTGCTTGCCAAAACTTTTGAACGTCGCTGACCAGAAACTGAGTTGTAGGGACTAGAATCAGTGGGTGAACCTCGAATAAGATGTTGTGCTGGGTAAATTATTTTTGAATCCATCCCTACCTATAAAAGAAACACATTTGACCTAATTTATACGCAAAATATACCACTCATACACATTAAATTAAGATACTGTAAACAACACAATATACAGTACAAAAATAACATAAAAGCATTATTATAACAGATATAAGAAATGTCATGCCCAATACAAAACTTGGTCATTATTAATGCTGTACCTCTTCATTCTCTAAGTTTCCACAAGTATCACTATTGTCACTGTTTACCAGAGGTGAACCTTTCACATGACAGTATGTGGCACTGTCAGATGTTTCTGACTGTATGGAAGAAGACCAGTGCTTTGTTTCACTCATAAGTGAATCAACAAAACTGCTTCCAACTCCAAGAGTTTTATCAGAGAAGTTTTTGCCTGAAATATTAAAAAAAACAATTAAATGCCTTAACTATTTTCATAAAATCACTTTAGAACCTTGTATATCATGCAAACTATTTTTCATATTTAAATTACTACAGTTTGCAACTCTTACTGTCTTATCAAAGTTTGTAACTCACTGCCACAACATTTTTTGGCAGGTTTTTAAAACAATTCAAGACTCCAACTGTCACAAAGCTCATTTTCTGTACTTGTGGCTTCTTTAACTTGAGGTTGTGACCTTTAGTGTTAAATATGTTTTTAATGCTTCATTTGTTAGAGAAGCATAAACTACTTTTTAACCTATTTCATTAAATATGAATTTTAAAGTTTAATAAAAATAAGACAATTGATCAGCTTTTAAAAACACAAAGTTCCTCCTTCAATAGATGGCAGGCCTAGCGTGTTGTCTGCTTGCACAGACCATTGTTTACACACAACATATAGGATTCATGACACCCCAAGGCCTATTGTTCCATCAGTCACCTACAGTCAGAACATTGCAGTCTATGAAGCAGTTACTCAGATTCCATGTGAGCTGTAATTTGTTAAAATGTACTTTGAAATATGGAATTACTGCAGTGCTTAAGTGAGAAAAAGTGGTATATTACAGGAGTTTTTTAGTTGGTTTTGGGGCTTCAGTCCTGTTCCCTATAGTTCCCATTAAAATGCATAAAATGATATAACATTATTCTATATTGCATGAAAATCCTTGGTCCCACTCTCACATAATATCGAGGGTCTCCTGTAACAATGTTAATACTGTACAATGTGAGATGCTAAGTAATCTTGAAGTGTATAAGCTGGTGTACAACTAATTAGATGTGATACTCAAGCAGACACAGCAAAGGGGAAATGTCCAGGTGCAATTCTGTGCTGAGAACAAGAAGATGACTTAATACTGTAAAACAAGACTTAGGAATTTTGACATAATTACCCATGTGATATAAACACAGAACTTTTAAGCATCTTTGGGAGTGACCATTTTCCATAGAGAAAATAACAATGGGGTAAAACACAAATCCTTCCTTCTAGTACAGTATGTGTTAATGATGTACCAGCTGATATTTCTGCAGGCTTCATCTGGCCAGTACCCAACTCACTAAGGCCTTGCTGGTCTAAATTACATAAGGTCTTCTCTGCAGTGTTTCTCATAATACTGCTTGCCAAAGCTCTTGAATGCTGCTGGCCAGAAACTGAGTTGTAGAGACTAGAATCAGTGGGTGAACCTCGAGTATGTTGTGCTGGGTGAATTATTTTTGAATCCATTCCAACCTATAAAAGAAACACACTTGAGGTAATTTATTACACTTATATTAATGATATTACAATATTTCATAAAAAAAAAATGTGAAAGCATTATTATAACAGATATAAGAAATGTCATGCCCAATACAAAACTTGGTCATTATTAATGCTGTACCTCTTCATTCTCTAAGTTTCCACAAGTATCACTATTATCACTGTTTACCAGAGGTGAACCTTTCACATGACAGTATGTGGCACTGTCAGATGTTTCTGACTGTATGGAAGAAGACCAGTGCTTTGTTTCACTCATAAGTGAATCAACAAAACTGCTTCCAACTCCAAGAGTTTTATCAGAGAAGTTTTTGCCTGAAATAGTAAAAAAAAAAATTAAATACTTTAACTAGTATCATGAAATTTCTTAAAAATTTTGTATATCATGTAATTTATTTTCATATACTGTACAGTACAGGTATATTACAGTGGTTGGAGCAAAATAATCTACAACATTTACTGACTACAGGGGGTCCCCGGGTTACGAACAGGTTCTGTTCCTGAAGACGTCGTTCTTAAGTTGAATTTGTAAGTAAGTTGGAACACATGCTACATGCATACCGTACTCACAAAACAATCTTTAAAATCCTACTATATCATAGCCTAAGTCCTTATATACGTCTAAAATCACATAATTTAAGACAAAATAAGAAACAGAATGACAAAATACAGTCAGTGAAAGTAAAAAATAAGTCATCAGGTAAATAAAATACTGTAAATGTCAAGTTTAACCCCGTTCGTGTCAGCGGGCGTTAGTAAGTCGGACATTCGTAAGTCAAGGACCTCCTGTATCTTGCTTCAAACTTTTAAAAGTCTAATAGAGAATGAAAGTGAAATAAAACAGAAATTCAGATTAAATAACAGTACTGTACAGTAGTGTCAGTTTCAGATGATTTCTGATGAGTAACTACAATGGAATTTTCCCATCCTGACTGACAATTGAGAAAATAAAAATATTCTAAGATTCTACAAGCAAGAGAAGTGAAGTTCTTAAAATAACCAGTTGTTCAGAGACAAAACAATATTTAATGAATTAGAAGGCAGAGTAACTGAACACAAGGATGATGCTCTGATGACCAGTCTTATTTAAACACAAGTAAGAAAATCAATTTCAAGGAATTGCCCCTAAGAACCCAAAGAGGATGTTGACATGATATCTAAATTCTCAACTTCTTGAACTATAATTTGTTTACTCAAACGTTGCAGCTGAGGTCGAGGGTCAGTTTGTAGCAAGGCAGCTGATTGAGAGGAAAATGGATTGATGCATTACTCTGTAATTACACTAACAAACTTGACATTGATTTTCCTGTATATAACAAATAACTTGATGAATGACATTAATATGATTTCTTTCACAATTTATTACATGGAAGGAAAAGTAATTTATCTTTACCACTGTGACTTCTAGAAGATCCCCGGAACAGTCTAAAATGCTTGCGAATGATATAACCTCGCATTAAAGCTTGGATCCTGGTGGCTGCAATTTCCATGATCCTTGTGACTGATAAACCTCCGGCCTCCATCAGAACCTGTGCTACCTCTAGCTGCTCAGCCACATATGCACAATCCAAGGGTGTGTATCTGAAACAAAGATTATGCTGCGAGTCTTCTTTATTTGAAGATTTTAAATAACTATACAAGAAACTGAATAAATTTGATGGATATCATACCTACAAGTTAAGAAGGCTAATAATATACTGTGCTGTACATACAAAATACAATTACTGATATTATAACATACCAATTATATATTTGAAAGCTTCAGATACATTCACTGATGACATACAACAAGGTCAAATGAGAATGCTGAGATGGAGGTGCAATGAAATACTGAAAGACAGAAGGCCCTGTTCAGAGCTAATAGGGAAGCTGGGTGTTGAAAGTAATGGCAGCTTGTGTAGAGGTAGGCTAAACTGGCTTGAGTAAGTAGAAAGAATGATGGAGACAACTGGGTCAAGAAATGCATGAGGAGAACCAGCGGTTAGCCAAGAAAAATGTGGGGAGAGATTGTAAGAAATGACATTAGAGTTAAGGACCTGACAAGTAAGGCTGCAAGAGGCCACGCAGCTGCCATCAGGTATGAAAAGTGGCTGCAAAACATTGATGATGATGATGATGATGGTATCTCATAAAGCCTGCTGATATGTCAAATTTCTCACCTGTCAACTGTTGTCTGAGTGTAGTTGGGATAAGCATGAAAATCAAGTAAAGTGTTAACAGCTCCTAGATGACCTTGTTGGGCAGCCCAATGAAGAGGACTCTGGCCCTGCAAAGACATACATATCTCTTAAAAATGCAAGAAATAAAATGCTTGAACTAAATTATGAGACACAAAATACTATATAGTACACCCTAAAAAAGCAGAGTTTTGTGGGCTTGGTTTAACAAAACTGACAAACATCCATGACACCCCCTGAGATACTGGGGCTACTGCCTGGCACGTCATGCCAGAATTACAAGTTGGTGACAATGCACCATGAAAGATTTCTTTTTAAATTTTTCTCTAATTAGGTGCTTGAAAGTATTAAGGATAATTTGCATTTCTTCAACAATTTTAGAATCAATGAGGAAACACTACTGCTTTAAAAATAATGAGACCAACTATTGGCACCCTGGTGGGGGGGGGACTGCTCTCCCATACCTTAGTCTGGCCCTGTAAATGAAAGCTGTGGGAATCAGCCATAAAACTACACTATTACCAAAAGTAGAAGCTACAGTCATTCACATATTGAGGAGTCACTGCTGGAACTAAAGGAAGAAAATCTGTAATCTTTACTAATGGCCACAACTGCTGACAGACATAGTGTACACTTGTGACATCAGTACCAGTGTAAATATTGACTTATTTTTAAAGATCCATTACAGGGACTTGGTAATGATGGGTAAATGAATCTAATTAATGATTTTGCAAGCAAAATATTAGCTGTTTACCAGGGCTTTCCACCTATAGATTTAGTGCCATAACATGGGAGCTGCTTAGGGATACGGTATGTTAGGATGCACAAGAACATTATGACATACAGTACCTGGTGATCCCTGGCATTGACATCACCACGATTCTCCAGCAGCAAAAACATGATGTCACTGAGTCCTCTGTATGCTGCCATGTGCAGAGGGGTACGACCCGAGTAGTCCTGAACATTCACTGATGTCCCTGAAGATATATGTAGTATTATTGGTAACAGCAGATCTAATAACAATAATCAAAGAAGTTTTCAATAACATATAAACAAATCAAGCAATACTGTAAGCTAATTTATCTTTTTCTATTACAGTACTTGAAAACTTTTAGGCACAAGATATCTAAGAATATGTTTCCAAAATAAAGATATGTCGACCAATGTCAGCAGGTACGGTGGATAGTGTGTACAGTACATGTAACTGAGTAATAAAAATTGAAGAAAATTAAATATATCTTCCCAAAATTACGAATTGAAAATGGAAATAACCTTAACATAAGGTCACTTGACGATGAAGTTTTGTCATCAGGTGGGGAACAGTACCCAAGGACCCATGGTAAGTTGCCCAACATGAAGAAACCTGCCTGGTGGAGGGTGTAGGCTTGAAAGATATTTGTCTTACCAGCATTTTTTGCGGGTTATTTTTAGATTGTTTGAAAAAAATATCCCTAAAAGATAAGATGGATAATGGTGCGTAATGGCGATTATGTTCTAACACATTCTCAGGACTCTTATCTTCAATATAAAGTTAGCAACAGTTCTTCTGATGATGCTTTTGAGAAAATAAAGGTAAGATACATCACAAGTCTCACACAAATCATGTGTGCACACTCCACCTGTCACACACTCACAGCCTCTCCTCCATCCTCATGTTCAATTTCAGTTGCACTTTCATTGTCTGAGTATTTTCATCTTCACTTATTTCCTAAATCCCCTTTAGTGTGATTATCATCTATATTATGGCATGATCCAATGGTTATTGTTGTAACCTAATCGAGGTTCTTGCCATCCAACAGGTTAATAAATGATACTGGAAATATGTTATCATTACATCTTAGATAAAAATACACACACCTATGTACAGCATATATTGTATTAAGATTCAAAGCAAAGATACACGACTAAACAATTTCCTCCGAGAATCAGTGATGAGTTACTACCTGCTCTGATGAGTATCTGTGCCAGGTAGAGGTGACCACTCAGAACAGCATGGTGGAGGGCACATTGTCCTTCATTGTCTCGATGATCAAGTGATGCTCCTGCTTTAGCTAAAATTTTCACAATCTGTGCATGCCCAGCCTGAGCTGCATGTAAGAGAGGAGTGCGTCCATCACTGGCACACACATCAAAAGGTGCTCTAAGCCGAAGGAGGACACCAACAGTGGAAACATGTCCGGCTCCTGCAGCAATGTGCAGTGCTGTGCATCCTCGAGGATCAGCTTGGGAGAGGGAAGCTCCATGTCTCACCATTACTGTTAGGGCTGAGTCTGCACCACGTGCTGCTGCCCATAACAAGGCTGTGTAACCTTCTTTTGAGGGATCATCTCGTACACAAGGTCGCCTTACAAGCTGCAAGTCCAGTATGTAAAAGTAAAACTAGATCCTTCTAAAATCATGAAAGAAGCTCATTAATAACTCACAGTACAATAATCCATACACTGTAACCACAAAATACTCTAGAGCAGCCAATTGAAATTATATTCATTAAATACAGTACTGTTAATTACAAAGTTATAATTTATGATATATCTCAGACAACAAGTTAAATTTAATCATGAACTGTACAAAAACTTTTCTTTGCAAGCACACTCAATAGGATTTGTTTTAGCAAAAATGAGTGATGAGTGAGAAAGTATGGTATGGGTTTGAGTAGAAAATGCCAAAAATGGTGGGTAAAGATTTCCTCACATGATAGAAGTGATTCAAAACCATAAGTTCACCTGATGGTGGAGTCTCTTGTTTAGACCCAAATCAGAGGCATATTTAATGTTAAAGTCTGCTGTACCTTAAATCCCATGATTACCAAGCCTTGCAGTGCAGTTCAGACCAGGCTGCTGAATGGCAATTGTCCCACAAAGATATAAGTGGAGGTAAAAGACACTCCCTCTACCTACTCCTTAAGAGTCACAAATCAAGTTGACTCTTTATATTTTCTGCTCTTTATAAAGTTTTTATCTTTTCCACTTCTATTTTTGAGGCTACTTATAATGATTTCATGCAACAAACACAGGGAAATATGAGAGAAAATGGGACGAGGGCAACTGAGAGATGTAAAAACAGCAATCTCTATCATGGGACTGCCCTATGGATTGAACTAAAGCCTCTCAGAGTGCAGTGGCGTTGGCAAACTATACACCAAATACTACTATAAAGGAGTAAGGTCATCTTTGGATTACCACTGGGTTTACATTGGCATTAAGTTATACTTCAACTGACTGAATAAAGATGAGTGCCGTGGGGAATTTCACAATTAGTAGGGTTCCCATTATGACCTTGATATGTAACTTTATGGAGGTGATTCGTGAGGAATTTGGGTGAGCATGTATGAACACAAATACTTCCATTCATTCATCCATATCTCACAGGCCTTGTTACTTTGGCTTATGAACATAAAACAGTATTCTACTAAAAAGATTTATCTCACCAGTTCTACAGTGTCAGCATGGTTCAGCTGGGCAGCGTAGTGTAGAGGGGTGGCACCGTACACATCCACAGCACCTGGGTGGGCCCGTTGTTCCAAGAGACGACCGACTATTGCCGTTAATCCCCTGAGTACAGTAATTTTTCCTGATATAAACACACATTGACTGACAACCAAACCTTTGATCCGTTATTCTGTACTTTTCTATAAACTAGTAACATTATTAATCTCTTTTGCTATTATCCATCCAACTCTATTTGGATGGAACTTGTTGAATTTCTCTAACATAAAAAAATAAAATAAAATAAAAAAACACTAACAAGCATATCCATATACAGTCTCAATACCATATCTTATTTCATCTTCAGACTGGTATCAGAGTCCTAGTCAGTTCTAATACTTCAGGAATAGCAAGACTAAGCTGATGCTTACCTGTTGCAGGCCCAGTGAAGAGCAGTTCGAAACTGATTATCAGTCAAGTCAACATTGCACTTTGGAACAGATAAAATCACATCAACAGTGTCCTTTCTTGCCTCAGCAACAGCTAAATGCAATGCTGTTATACCATCAAAATCTTGCCAATTAACACTGGAAGGTGCGGCACCTATCAATATTCTAACACAATCTTTGGCTCCCTCAGCTCGACTCATAGCTGCCCAATGCAACGGTGTTTTTCCCTCTTGGTCTGGTGTAAGGTTGTTTGCTCCGTGTTTTATCAGAAGGCGCACATTTTCCTCAGATCCATATGCTGCTGCCCAATGGAGGGGAGTCCTCTGTGTGAGACAAAACAAGAATATGTCTAAGATCCCTATTTAGGCAAAAAGCATCAGGTTACTCTCACCAATCAATCATAGTACAGTGTTATCCTTATGCTTGAAGGATTAGCAACCATGGCTTTCCTCTCCAAATAGTTTACAGTCAACCCTCTCTTTACGCGGTCCCACTTTACGCGTTTCCACGTTTACGCGGTACCCTGCCGAACACGGAATGCTCACTTTCCGCGGTGCGTGTACCCCTTTACGCGGAGAGCGGCTGGCGGTCCTCTCGCGCCGCGCCATTTTTGGATCCAAACCTCCCGCCATCCGCCATGTTGTGTAAGCGGCGCGAGTAGGTTGCGGACTGTGATTGGGCAAAGCATCCTTACCTCCCTCCCTGCTAGCTGTGATTGGTTTAATGTAGTACTATGACGTGCCCCACCGCGGGAGCGTTCAAGCCCCTTGACCTACCGCGTCAGTTACACCCCTCCCGGCTACACCGTGTATATCGGTATCCATTGTTCCATAAGAATGGCTTCCACCGGACCACCACCACCACCACAAAGAAACCTTGCATTACCTGGACCCAGCCGCCCTAAGCCAAAGAAGACACGACGTTCCTTAAGCTACGAAATCAAATATAAGATCATACAAGAGTTGGAGAAAGGAACAAGACAGGTAGATCTCGCGCACCAGCATGGTGTTAACGAATCAACTATCAGGACAATTAAGAAGGATGCAGCCAAGATAAAGGAGCACATGAACATCACAAAGTCTACAGGTGCTTCTATGATCAAGTATTTCCACAACCAGGTGCTTCTCAAGACGGAAAAATTACTTGCGAGCTACTTGGTGCGTCAGGCGCGACGGAACATGGCGGTGGACACGCGCTCAGTTAAGGAGTACGCATGTGAACTGTATGCTGCAGTGTCACGAAAGATGGGAATTACAGAGCCCAAACCCTTTAATGCTTCCTCTGGGTGGTTACAGAGGTTTAAGAAGAGGAACAAGATCACCAATATCAACATTGGTGGTGAAGAAGCTAGTGCTGACCGTGTTGCGGCTAGGGAATTTCCTCCGTTTTTACGTGAGATTATGGAGGAAGAACAGTACACCGACGACCAGGTGTTTAACATGGACAAATCTGGTCTTTTTTGGAAAAAGCTACCTTCCAAGACCTTCGTTGTGAAGAATGCCAGCAAGTGTTTGGGCCGGAAGTTGCAGAAGGAGCGCATCACCGTCCTGTTTACCACCAATGCCTCCGGTACCTGTAAGCTCAAGTTATCGGTGATCCACACAGCACACAAGCCGCACGCCTACAAGAGCATGGACATGACCAAGCTAAATACCCACTGGCTGACCGCACGTAAGGCGTGGATGTTCTCTACTCTGTCCCTCTCCTGGTTTGATGACTGTTTCGTTCCCGATGTGAAGAAATTCTGTGAGCAACAGAATGTGCCATTCAAGATTTTGTTGCTGCTGGACAACGCACCAGGACACTCGCCCCTACTGCTAGATCGTCACCCCAACGTAAACGTGGTCTTCCTTCCTCCCAACACTACGTCTATAATACAGCCCATGGACCAAGAATTGATCTGTAATGTAAAAGCTGCATTCTCTGCTAAAAAATTCAAGCTCCTGAACGACTACACCAACACCAAGGAAGAGTTGCGTAACCTGAGTGACACCAACACCGATAGCAAGAGCGAAGACGACGAGGATCAACAGTTGGCAGAGCAAGAAGTACTTTTGAAACAATTCTGGAGAACATTCAACGTCAAGAAAGCTGTGGACTTCTTGGTGGAGGCATGGGATCAGCTGTCTGTAGCAACTGTTCGTCACGCATGGAGACATGTGTTGCAAAGTATTCCGGGTGTTAGGCAGAGTAAATCTGTGACTGGTGAGGTTCAGACTGTTACAGTAGCAGTGGACCTTGCCAGAGAAGCTGCGCAGAGTGTTACAGCTGCAGGCTTCTCCGAGACCACCAACGACGACATCCTGGAGGTGATAAGGGATCCTGATGTGACTACCGACGAGATGGTAGATGATGATGACGTCAGTGAAGATGTAGGTGGTGCGTCATCCCAAGAAGAACGCAGCTTATCCCATAGTAATGTAAGGGGTGCCATCGAGTGTATTGAGAAAGTCAAGCTCCTCCTTTCCGACGACCCTGACGCTAACAGGTATGAAATCTTCACTACCCAGCTGTTGCAGACTATGGAGCCCTACATCAAGGTTTATCACGACAACATAAACACCAGCCGTCAGCAAAGCATAACAGAGTTCTTCGCCCGCAACCCACCACAGCCAGCCCAAGCCAGTGATAGTGACAGAGGCAGAGACAGTGATGATGACTTTGAGGGATTTGTCAGGGAGGCACTAGTAAGTGTGGATGACACCGATGAAGACTAACCTGAGGGCCAGTAGCCTGCCCTCTGCCTCGGAACCAGCCTTCATTCCCCTACGCCGACCCATCTCTTCTACTAACGTAAGTGTTAACCCCAACCTTGTTTTTTTCTAACCTAACCTTCAGTTTATTATTCTCTTATTGATTGTTCCCTTCTATATTATGTGTGTGTGAATACCATCATAAAGTTAAGATGTTATTTTTAGTAAAACGTACGTATTGTGTCGGGAAAAAGTGGAGTTTGGGGGTCGGCCCTGTCTCTATTTCAATTAATCCCGTATGTTATGTTGTTCACTTTAAGCGTTTCTCACTTTACGCGGGCCGCCGTGGGTTCAATTAACCGCGTAAAGTGAGGGTTCACTATCTGCATTTACTAATTCTTCCATATTTTGCACATCTTTGGTGACCCAGTCCTTACTTTCAATCATCCATCCTATTCTCTGGCTTCACCTGGCCCTCCAGTCCTGAATTTTATCATTAATGATAATATCAACCACTATCCCCTCATCCCTATGGCTAAAGTATCTATTTTCATTTTTCTATAACTTTCCAGTATTTCTCTAATTGCTTTAGCTAGTCTCTTAACATCATCAATTTTTCAATTAGTAAACACTGTACTCTTATATTATAGCATGTACTCTTTACACAAGTTTTCTGGTACCTATTCTTAGGCACAGATACTATACACACCTTTTTATGATCTTCTGTATCTAGTGTTCCAGGAGCAGCATACTTGAGAAGAGCTTGAAGGTACTTGTGATTACTATGAACAGCTGCATGGTGCAATGGTGTCACACCTCTCACATCCTGAGCCAGCCAAACACCACCTTGACTCTCTAGGTGGAGCATGCCCTTGCTCTCTACTGCATGGAGAATGGCCTTGATGCAACCTAGATGGCCCTAAAATACAAAAGTCATCTTAGCTCACTCATTGATCTCACAAAAAATATATAAATTTTGCAAATGCCCCCATCATATTTTGAAAGGTCCATCTATTACTGACTTACAAGTTGGGAGCTACATAGGGATTTCCCATACATTGTTCATCAAATATCCTCTTTCAGTGGCACCATATGACACAACCTTACAACATATTTCCACTCAAGAATTGGTAATAACGAGGATGACACCATCGAAACACTAAAGCACATGAAGGCAGCATGTAGGAGATACTAGTACAGTCTTAAAAGTACCCAAAACATCATGATTCATACTTCTTCATGCAGAGGGTGGTAGACCAGGAGAACAGTCTATCAACTAAAGCAGTGGAAGCAAGAAAAGGACTTGACTTGTGAACAGACCTGAACAAGCTTATCAAGAACACTGGAGGGATTCTATACAGGACAATGACTGCCTTGCTCTGTCATATGTTCCACTCGTCATGGTGACTGCTACTATACATACAGTACTTGTAAACATTAGGTAAATGCATTCCATAAATTATTGTGACAGGCATTTTATACAGTATTTTGTTTTATCATAGAACACACACTAATATATTTCTTTTACATCTTTCTTGATGGTGAAATTAAGAATAAGCTAAATTGGTGATCCTGAAAGCATGGAAATCAACAAAAACTATGTAAAGTATATGAAAGATAGGCTAAGGCTATGTTAAATAACCATGGAGTGGCAAAAGTAAGCATTTCATTATGTCTGTGAAAATGTAGATTGACAATGTTATAGCTCGATAATATGTGCTAAGATATAATACAGTAACAATAAATAATATACTGCAATATAAAATAGTACATTACAGAGGATGCAGAAAATACAGGTACAGTACACATTTAAAGGTTACAGAACAATTTACAAAAATATATATACTATACAGGTACTGTATTGTACTATACTGTACATCAATACACTACAGTATCTATGCCAAAAAATGATAAGTATATACTGCCTGTGAACTTACCATATTTAATCAAGTAGAATGTAGCACTGTAAAGGTTGAGACATCAAATAATAATTATAAGGCTATGTGAAATGTTAAAATATGATGGCCTAAAATTATTTATTTCCACAATTAAGAGCAAAAACACAGCTACTTCTCCTAGAGTTCCCAATTAAAATAACATTTAATATGAAGAGTGATACAGCTGCATATGTATTTAATAACTTCCCAAGCTATAAATAACCTGAACAAGCTATATCTATTGATCAGGTTGCATCACACTGGTTAATGAAGGCACAGTTTATGTAGCTGGGGTCATCGTATGGCCGGAAATAACGGAACATTCAGCTTTCTGTCAACCATCAAGCCATAATATCAAGAGCCTGAATATTAGAAATGTATTAAAAAGACATTACTAATACTGTACTGATTTCTTGAATATATACCATCTTAATAACTGCCAATGGTGAAGTAGAAGAAGAAGAAAGAATTATGACCCTGGCTGCCTAAAAACGGGTTGATAAACAAAAGAATACATAAACAAGAGGTAAAACGTTTCACCTAAAGCTCCAGAAGCCTAATTATGTGAGCTTGGTACAAACATCTTGAGTTTATGAATTATCAAATGCTTGGCAGACATCTTGTATTATGGATAAAACTTAAAGGTGGAAACTTATTACACTACTGAACAGTACCGTATATAAAAAGTTTTACATCATACTTTATATGAAGCATAATGGAGTGCTGTGCGACTGTGAGAATCAGTAGCATCAGGTCTAGCTCCAGCTCGAAGAAGTGCTTCTACAGCTTCCTGGTTGTTACCCATTACCGCATATACAAGTGGAACTCGTCCCCAGCGGTCTTGAACTTCAAGGTTTATACTGTTATCTGTAATATATAATTATCTGCTATTATTTCTCTCTGAAGATACAATATTTTATCTGGAATACTATGCTCTGATATCACTCTAGGATTTCTAATAATATCTGGATAACTACTGGCTGATAGTTACAACAGAATTACAAGAAAAAATATTCCAAAGGGATTGAATAACACTTATTATTTAAAAAAGTCTTATTTGAGATACAATACTTCCAAGTGAAGCAAGGTAGTCCCTTAGTCAAGTGAAAGTAAAACCTAAAATTATCAAATTACAAAATTAATGATGTTTATAAATGAATGATGGACATCTACAACACTAGAGCTTAAAGATAATTTTCTTTCCAAAGAAGAGTTTCAAGTTAAGTTTTAGCTCCAATACTGTCAGTACAGTGGAGCCTGACTATATCAGGCAGTCAACATCCTCATTATGGCCATTTTCCCTGCCTGAGTGGGTTAGCCAGAAGTGGACAGTTATCATTAAAACTGAGGGAAGGGTACTACTAACAAGACATCAACAAAAAGTGCAATTGTGTTCAATCTTGAATGAAAACACAAGAGGAAAGTGGTACCAAGTTATAAAATGTTAAAAATACAAACCTTGAAGAATTTCTGCTAGTTTTTGCTTGTCTCCGACAATTGCTGCAGAATGAAGAGGTGTCCCGGTCTGGCCTGGAGGTAACAGTAGGGAGCCTGGGACCCTTAATCCTCCAAGAATGGGAGAACCAGTGTGACTGAAGTGATAACCTGCTCCAGTGAGGAATCCTGGTGCTGAGGGCATCTGTGGAAAACCTGTAAGACATCAAAATACAGGAAGATTTCACATTACCACACTTTCCAGTAACAGAGTTCAATCTCTTGCAAATTGTAATTGTTGATATAGTAGTGTAATTACCCTGTTATGTGCTTTAAGACCCTAGTTTTTTAAGTGCAGTAATAACATTATAACAACAATATTAATGATTTGAAAATTCTGTAACTCATTTACCAGACTTTTACAAATAAGAGACTGATCCTGAAATCCCAATCTTCAACTGATTCCACAGCTTGGTGACCCAAGCAATGCTCTCACTAAGCTGTGGGCTGGAGAGGTAAGCTGAGATAGTTTGGACATGTGGAGAGAATGAAGGAGACCAATTGGGTCATGAAGTGCATGAGTCTAAAGGTAGAAGAGAGGAGAGCCAGGGGTAAGCCAAGAATGACATGGAAATAGGTTATAAGAAATTATATCAGAGTTAAGAGCCTAACAAGAGTGGCTGAAAGAGACTGCACAGCAAAGAGAGTTGCAATCAGGTAATGGCTGCTAAACCATGCAAGAATGGAAACTGTTGATGATGAGGGAAGATTGCACAGATATATTTATGGAATATATAGCCAGGTTACTGCTCCCTGGGAATAATTATTACTGTATACAGATGGTACTGCTCATATTGCACATGGTGAAGCAGCCTGAGGCTGGTGGTAGGCTACTGAAGTTACTCAAAATACACCAGAGAGACATCTCGCATCCTTAATGTGGAAGGAGAACACTGTACAATACAGTGCTATAAAAGAACACATCTATTATAGCAATAAGAATGAATAACTATACAATAGAAGAATTTGCATTTGCTTTTGATTTTAGCTACGATGCAATATGGCACAAAAAGGCCTGCAAGAGTGAAAAAGTATTTAATGTATATATTATATATATATATATATATATATGTCAGAGTGAACATACCTGAAGAAAGTAAATAGCCAGATGTTAAGGGATTATTATTGGGATATCCCAGGCTATATCCTGGTGCCGTGCCATGACTGCCATAGTACAAATTTAGGTAGGCTGGACTGAAGTTAAGAACCTGAAAAAATTAAAAATTACTACTGTATACCATAATAATGTACAGTACAGTACTTCTATAAACATACAAATGGTTTTGCAAGGTGTGGTGATAACTTATGAGTCATAATGTGTTGCAAAGGAAATTTTGATAAATCAATATACAGTTCTGGTATTTCCATAATGAAGGTCCTTGCACTATTTTTGCATCTGTGCTGGTGTGGGGGCAACCCCCTACAACCTGTACAAGGTGAAGCACAAATGCATTACAGCGCCCAGCAAGGAAGCAAGCGGAGTCCAGGATTATTGTCTTTTTTTACACAATTCACTTTTGCTATGAAAAACACATCTGTGTGTAAACACAATAATTCCCCACATCTGCATAAAAGGGACATTAACATTAACCATTAAAATAATATTTAAACTGCCTAAACTGTCTATTGGGAGTTAAATGTCCTATGTAAACAGTCTCATTCAACCAGCTGACACTACCCTTTTTTTATTGTGAATGAACTTTCTTGGTTTAAGAATCACTGCTAATCTTCCTTTTCATATATCGTTCCAAAATGACTGCCATGCACAGAAATGCATTCATTGTCTTCTGCTCAAGGAAGGGCTACCCACACACTGCTGCCTGAATTCTTCTTTCTTAAGCCAGTACCCACTTGCATCGGAAGTACAGTATTTGACTTCATGCTAAAATGGTTCAGTATACCATCGTTCACTTAACAATCGGGTTTTCAGGATCACACATCGAGGGATGCTTGTAATTATAAAAGTAACAGGTGTATGCATATCTTTTTTGTTGGAGAAATCTTCGCAAAATTGTGGTTTTGTGAGACAGTTCTCAACCCGACCCCATAAGTACATTGTCCTATTGGGGAATAAGCATTCAGGTCCCATACAGCCGCCTTACAAACTAGTCCATTAGTCCCTAACCCATTTTGATCTGAGATGTTCCTGTACAGTAAACAGTCTGTGTGAGTTATATAACAATAAAAGCAAATTTCCTGAAACAATCATACAACAATATTCAAAAGGTGAATACCATATTCACTATGGACTACAAAGGTCATAATAAAGTAAAAAAAACTACCCAAATGGACAGTAAGGATGTTAAGAGGTGGAATGATAAAAAATAATAATAATAAATTAATAAATTAAATTAGTCATTTTGCTGTACATATGAATGCTCTACATGTCATTTTAGTGCAAAAGGTAATGTTCTGGATAAGTTGTCTTGCTATAAAGACAACATACTTTAATGAATATTGAGGAGATAGTTAACACATGTAATGGATTACAGTATTTACCTGCTGAAATGTAGCACTGCTGTTCTGAACTACTGATGTAGTTACAACAGGAACATTTTTATGTATATTTGGATATAATTGTTGATGTTTGTTAGGAGGAACATGCTGTAGGCTCTCTCCTACATCCTCATCATCTATTTCAGGCTCTTCTGCATCTAGCTTTGTATTCTGGACCGCTGAATGAGCATCTCCAGTTTGTGAATTCTCGCATGAACTGGCAGCATGATGGACACTGCCAGTGGTTTTACATAAACCATTCTGGTTATCAAACTCCATAATAATTCAGATGAATTCATTGTTTGACATCATAACTGTGGAACAGAAAAAATGAAGCATAAAAATCCATTCTATATCCAAGTGGAAGAAAAAAATGAGCATAAGAAATTTCAGTTTTCCTATTTCTGTTTTCCCATGGTGTGTATCCCTATAAATAATATACTTCCATCTGCCATCTGATCAGTGTTTTTAACCTGTTATTTCCCTCTTCTTTCATGCCCTGCCCACTAACAAGTAATTTATGATCGAAGGAAAGGCTAGAAATAAAAATAAAAATACTACAGCTACAATTTTATTACTCAGCATCATCCAAACAACATCTCCTGAGAATTTGGTGCAATTCCATAAAGTCCTTCTGGTGCTAATGGTCTCCGCCAGCATTACCCTTTATTTTTATACATTTTTTTCCTTTAAAGTATTTCCTTCACTGTTCTCAGAAGCTGACAGCAGTGGTACAAACCTCCAACCTGTCCATGGAAAATTGCGGCAGTTACAAACCCTAACCTAACTTAAAAAAAATTAAATAACTTGTGGGATGTAAAAATTGAAGGAGACATGAGCCATAACTGAAAAACGAAGCACTCACACAAGAAACTGTGGTAATAGTGTAGCAGACGGTTAGTACCAGAGTGGTAATAGGGTAGCAGACGGTTAGTACCAGAGTGGTAATAGGGTAGCAGACGGTTAGTACCAGAGTGGTAATAGGGTAGCAGACGGTTAGTACCAGAGTGGTAATAGGGTAGCAGACGGTTAGTACCAGAGTGGTAATAGGGTAGCAGACGGTTAGTACCAGAGTGGTAATAATAGTGTAGCAGACAGTTAGTACCAGAGTGGTAATAGGGTAGCAGACGGTTAGTACCAGAGTGGTAATAGGGTAAGTAGTGGGGTAGCAGACAGTTAGTACCAGAGTGGTAATAGGGTAGCAGACGGTTAGTACCAGAGTGGTAATAGGGTAGCAGACGGTTAGTACCAGAGTGGTAATAGGGTAGCAGACGGTTAGTACCAGAGTGGTAATAGTGTAGCAGACAGTTAGTACCAGAGTGGTAATAGGGTAGCAGACGGTTAGTACCAGAGTGGTAATAGGGTAGCAGACAGTTAGTACCAGAGTGGTAATAGGGTAGCAGACGGTTAGTACCAGAGTGGTAATAGGGTAGCAGACGGTTAGTACCAGAGTGGTAATAGGGTAGCAGACGGTTAGTACCAGAGTGGTAATAGGGTAGCAGACAGTTAGTACTAGTGGACAGACAATACAAATGGTATTATAATTGTTTTGGTCATGCAGCAAATTTTAGGATTTTAAGTTTAGGTTAGGTTGAAATTGTGGTTTTCAGGTGTTTTTTTTTATATATGTTTTGAACGGCTTTCAAATAGGTGCATGACAGAAAAAGATAATTTTAACTAAAAAAAAAACCTGTAGAAAAACCCATGTAACATTGCTGGGTTGAGGAGCTTGTGTTTTATATACCAGGTACATTAGCCAAAAAATTTATATCTTATGGATAGAATTCCTAAAGTTGATGCTAAGGGCCAGCTACGGTAGTCAAATATTACCCAAATTCTTTAACATATGGACTTAGGACGAATCTGAACAAGGTGTCAGGCCTAAGTTTTGCAATTTTCCTTCACTTGCTTTGATACCAATATGAGCTATGGCGTCTTACCTACTGTAATTATACGTTTGTACTTACATTTACATGAACTGGTTAAATGACATATTAAACTGTAAGGCCTGTTGACTGTTAACGTCACTACATCGCCTGGCAACACTAGTAACACTGGTTTGTTTACAAGGGACAGTTCCCTCAGTGACGTCATCTTCACCTTAGTCTCTTTATAACGAATTAATTTGTTTACTGATGTTATAAGAATGATGAAAAATAATAAAATTTGGTAAACGATTCTTTTATTATTATTATTATTATTATTGTTATAAGGGGATACAGATTACAGATTGCCCACCCCCATTGACTTACCAATGAAACTCTTCAAGGAGTTCTCCCCGGAGATTGCTAAACCCCTCTGCTCCATCATCAATGCTTCTCTCAGTCAAGCCAGATGCCCAGCTGACTGGAAGACCTCTTATGTATCACCAGTGCCCAAGTCAACCAGCCCACAATCCTTAAATCAGCTACGACCTATTGCAATCACCCCAATACCCAGCCTAATCTGTGAAAGTTTTGTGTTTGACTGGGCTTATGCTGATATTGCAGGAGTCGTAGACCCTCAGCAATTTGCCAACATGAAAACTTCCTCCACCACTCACTGTCTTGTCAGCTTTCTCGATTACATATACCGCCATCTCGAGAAACGAAAAACGTCTGTAGCTGTCGCCTTCATTGATTTCACTAAAGCGTTCGACCTAGTCGACCACAATATAATCATAAACAAAGCTATTGACCTCGGGCTTCGGAGAAGTCTCATACCATGGCTTACAGACTTCCTCAGTGACCGACGCCAAGCTGTACGCTTCCGAGGGGCTGTCTCCACCTTTCAGTCACTCACCTGTGGCGTCCCCCAAGGCACCAAGATGGGACCACTCTGCTTCCTTATGCTCATCAATGATGCCCTAAGAGAAACCCCTGCTCGCTGGAAATATGTCGACGACTCCACCATTGGGATCAGCGTCAACAATTCTGCTCCCAACTATACCGCCCTCCAGGATTTATTGAACAGTCTCCAAAACTGGGCCACCAACAACCATGTCACCATCAACCATACCAAGACCATGGTTATGCACATCAACCTCTCCTCCGACATTGTCCCACCTCCTCCCATTACCCTAGGTCCGAACACACTCCAGGTTGTAGATTCCACGAAGCTCCTCGGCGTCACCATAGACAACAAACTAAATTGGAAACCACACGTCAGTGAAGTTGTCAAAGCCTCCAGTTTCCGTCTCCACCTGCTCCGCCGACTCAAGTCCCTCGGAGTTCCTGCACACGAGCTCCTCAGTGTATACACAACATTCATACTTCCCAAGCTCACCTATGCCTCCCCCACCTGGTCTTCCTCCCTAAATGCCACACAACGTAAACACCTAGAAAAAGTGCAAAAGAGGGCATGCAAGATTATTCTCTCCCCTTCCTACTCCACATATCAAGAAGCGCTCAACACACTGACCCTTTCGACTCTCACTGACCATCACCACGACCTCATCTACAAATTTGGTAAGAAGCTTCTACACCATCCCCGACACCGGCTCCTACTACCACCTGACATCCCCTGTCCGAGAATTGCTGTTCGACACCACAACCGCATCCAGCCCATACGTGCACGAACTGATCGCTATAAGAACAGCCCAGTCCCAACCATTGTAAAAATTATCAATAACATGTAATAAATCAGTGTATTCACTCCCGGTAAACACTGCTCCTTACACTGTCACTATGTTGAAATGAACTGTAGTTTGAGCTGATCCCCATCTAAGTTATTATATGTCTTATTTGTGTCACTTATGTTACTTGTATATTATTTGTAATTCGTAACCCATTCCCCAAATATGTAACTGTAAATTTTCAGCCTTCTGGCTGCCAAGCTCTTTCAATAAACCGTTAATTATTATTATTATTATTATTATTATTATTATTTATTGGGCACCCCCTTACATCCTGTGCAAGGTGAAGCACAGGGATTAACCCACCCGGGGACAGGTCACTGACCCACACCGGGGCCTGGGGGGCGATAATGTAATAATAATAATAATAATAATAATAATAATAATAATAATAATAATAATAATAATAATAATAATAACAATAATAATAATAATAATAATAATAATAATAATAATAATAATAATAATAATAATAATAATAATAATAATAATAATAATAATAATAATAATAATAATAATAATAATAAACCATAAAGAAATACAAAAACGAAAAAAAATCAAGTGAGAAACAATATATGTATGTTGTGTTGTCAAAGTAAGAGAAACAATTGAGACCCTGCGATTTTGTGTAAATGAGGCAGAAAGTCAGATCAGCATTACGAATATGCCCAAAAGTTACAAAAAAAAGTTTTATGCAGTTAAGGTGAAGGATTATATGATGATAAAATTATATCTCACTAAGGTGACTAGGGGGTCATTTTACAGGTTCTTGGGTCAGCTGGGGTCAATAACTCACAGGTCAGTGTGGCTGGTTCACAGAATCACAGATCACTGTGAGTCGCTGCGTACTCAGCTAATACAGTAAGTGGATGGCTATCAGTTTGAGAGCGTCTGAGTGTGTGTATTATCGCCCTGGCTATTTCAAGATAATGTCTAGCAGATAAATGAGCTAATAAGATAAGTAGAATTAAGAATAAATCATCATGGTGAAAAGAAGAGAAGGTGTTTGCCACTGCGACGTGTGACAATGTTGTGGTCACTCAAAGCAGAACATTGGAAGGACTTTTTAGTTGGTCTATTAGGAGCTGTTGTTTTATGTGTCAACTTTCAGGGTTATATATCGAAGAGAGATCGCCAGAGAAAAACAAAACAGGAGTAAGACCCTCAGGAATGAAGGCGTAGTTTTAGAATAAAAGTAGATTGAAAGGTATTTTGGAGGCGATCGTTAAGAACAGCAATGGAAAATATATACAGTATTAGATTATTGCAAGGGGGAGGAGTTAGGATACGCTCGAAGCCTCAAGGAATTAAGTGCATTAAAGACGACAGTGGAGTTGGACCATGAAGGGGTTTAAGCTGGCGATTGAATATCATACAAATAATAAATTGAATGGTAAACCACGCAATAGGTCTGGTAGGTGTAGCGATCGTTTACCCGCGACCACATTCAACATTTACAAGAACACTATGGCATCACCACATATGAGAAACACCCACAATATATGAGTAAAAATTTTTGGAGATACAGCAGTGAGATAATTACAAGAAAACTTCCTGAAATGTCATTACTCCTGATATCGCGCCATATCAGGTGGACTGTAACCTATATTAACACATAAGAGCACGCGGGGGAAAACCTGTGGACAGACACAACTCCTCTCACACTATAACCTACAGCTCCCCCCCCCCCTTCTTTTTGGGAATTTAGTGCAAATTTGTAGTTGTTTCGGATTACCTAATTTAAACTGGCATCCACTTACTCGTACACCTTCTAACTGATGGCCCAGGTTCTATAGGACCAGATTCTCAATCTTTGTTCTCCACTATTGCAGGAGCGGATCCAGGGGAATCCTAGAGGTCCGGACCCCTCTTTCATTAGAAAATTCCAAGACTTTTTCTGTAATGCAGTATTTTACTCAAGCGTTTTAGTATAGAAAAAAGTAATTACTATTGACCTCAGAATATCTCCTAATATCAAGTGCACATGGCTTCAAAATGGCATCAAAATGCTCATGATATTGGTCAGATTTCAAAAATTATTCTGGGGGGCTTGCAACGCTCCCCAAACGGCCAAACGACCCCCTCCCACCCCCAAACTGGGTGGGCTCTCTGTGCCCACTTCTTGGATCCCCTCCCTTTTTAATATTCTTGGGTCCACCCCTGTATTGGTACATTCGATTTCTTCCAAAGCTGAAGAGAATACCACAGGAACACGTCTTAGATACTGAGTTTTTCTTTTCAAGAGCAGCAGATGCCGGCATGCCGCCAGCCCGCTACCAGGTGTTCACGTGGAAGCCGACTTTTCAACTAACAGTGGACTGCTTTTATACTATGGCTCTGACAGAAGAAATAAAATAGTTATGTAAGTCAGCTAAAACACGCTTAATAACCCTGCCAAAGCCCCGTTAATATGTTTGTTTTGAAGATGCTTAATGGTAAGTTACACCTCACATTCCCCTATATTAAAAATAGCCCCTTTAAGTTTCAGAGATAAGTAAGTGAAAAGTCAGGTTTCACGGATTATAAGATGGAAAGGCCTAAGAAGTATCAGTGTGATAATGTGGTGTCAGAGACCCCGTAGTGAGTCATGATGATAAACCTTCCCGTTCCTTAATGGTTCCTGTCCGCAGACGTTTATTATCAGTCGGGAATAGTAATGAACCGGAGAGTGAGGTTGACGCCGCGCTGAAGCCCGACAACGCTCTACTCCATCTCTGCCTTCACACCAGACAGGTTCTCAATCACTTATTAATTCCGAGTGTCGAAAATACTCGAACTGAAACATCGCTTAGCCCGGTTAGGGATTTCTGTTGTGTTCAGATATACTGTTACTATATTACTAGATATAGATAAATAAGTTATTTTAGGTGCGAACATCGTTAAGACTTAGTACACACATAGTTAAGGCATCTTACTTGTTGAAAAAATAAAAATATTACCATTGCATTCTGGTATGAAGGTGTCTGTGTTATCATAACTGACATTTGTTATAATTATGTTAATTTGCAGTTAATCGACAGCCATTGTTCCTCCCCTGAACAGAGGTGCAAGAAGCGACAGGCCTAGAAACCCAAGTTTCAGTGACAGTTAAGTATACAATAATTGTACAGAGTACAAGTTACTTCAGAGTACAAAACCAAGACATTTCCTCAAGATTTTAGGCACGATATATGTGACAGTGGAAGAGGTAGACACTTGCAGCTCTTCTACTAACATGTAGGGAGTCACCAGAATAGGCGACCTGAGAATGTCGTTCCTTCAGTGATATAATGAATGAGATTCTGAGCAGCAAATCTGACCATTACTGAGTGATGGGGAAAGTTTAATCTACTTCTTAAGGAGCAGTGAGGTCAGGCGGATCTATCTTTTAGGGTGTAGAGCTAATGTGGGTGTACTTTATACATTTCAAGAGGGATGTGTTTTTCATCCCAGTCTTAGTTTTCAGAATCAATTTGGAAAAAAAATTGCTGTGTTTGCAAAGAAGTCTATACATATTAGTGGTCAAATATAATACCAAACACTAGGTCAAGATCAAGCAGCTGTAAACACCACCCAGAGTGTGTGTGTGTGTGTGTGAGGTGCAGAGAGATGTGTGTCAGAATGGGGAGAGGAATATGTGACGATGTGATTTTGTTAAAATATTTGCAGCAGGTTCAGGTCATTCCTTAAAAAGTTCTCTTATCTGTGTAATGAATTATCTGAAGCATGGTATTATCAACAAAGCCCTTCTCTCATTTTACAGAGAGAGGAGACTTGACATCCTGCCTCCCACACGATGGAGATGACCAACCACGTATCAAACCACGTTGACCATAACAACCACGCCTCAAACATCGCCAACTCCTTCCCAAATCACGTAAACAATGACAACTGTGCTTACGAAGACCACGTCACCAATCATTCCAAACACAACAGCCACGCCTACGACAACCACATATGTGATCTCAGCCACGAGAATCATACCGACAGTCAAGTTAACAAAGACCGAGATCGTCGTGTTGTGTTGATAGGGAGTGGGGACATGTCTCGTGCGTTAGTGGGGAATCTTGTCCGTGCTGGCTACTACCCAGTCATCGCCTCCAGGAACCCCACCAGAGCCAGGTACGTCGTGGGTAGAAAGTAGGCAGTGACAACGAGAGTACCGTGTGAGTTGCCCGAGTTAGTACGCGAGCAGTACTTATGCAGTAATAGACGAATTTCTTGCTAATTTGAAAGATGGGGTGCACCTAGTGTCTGTTCTTGGCTCTATTGAACTTCATTTACATATTGATCACCATCACAATATAATCACCAACGACAGTCTCACACTCATCACTCCTGTTGATGAGCTTATGCCACCATTTTCCTGTCGCTGGGGAGACGGGGACATATTGTTTATTCATAAATCTACAGAACAAGATTTTAAGGGGCTTGTGAGCTCTGTGTACTACTCTCCTAACACTCGGGGATGCACACTATCAGGGCCAGGGCTCTTATTAACCCTGAGCTTTGACAATTCATCCTGATCTAATAATACTAAGAACTCTAAGTCACAACAAGACTCGACCTCTATTATCGTTTACTCGTTTGTCCAGTAACGTGATAAATCGCGAAGAAGGTAAATAAGAAGTGACTAGAACAGATAAGAGTATTCAGGAAAAAAACAGTGACCACTTGATAACACTTATAGAGTAAAACTATGTATTTATAGTGACTCCAGATGGCCCTTGTGATACAGGTCGTGGGTGAGCAGCGAGGAGGTGAAGGTGCGGGAACTGAAGGAAGGGATAGGACTAGGGGACCTGTTGGTGGTAGCTATCCCCGCCCACTACCACAACTCCCTCCCCGTACACCACCTAGCAGGCAAGATTATCGTGGACATCAGCAACAGGTTAGTGGACACACACAACTCCTGACAATGAAACTAAACAAAAAAGGACACAGCTTCACCAGGTCTTGGATGTGAATATTAAAACAACACAATATTTTTTTCTCAACATAATGGGAGAGAGAATAACACATCTATTTAAGGTAGAGTATTGGTGTACTTCTTACGCCATTTTTGTGTTATATGTGATCCAACACAGGGGAAATTTTTTAGTGTTTGTCGTAACTTCAGATATTAAAATGCACCTGACGGAGTTAAGCTGAGTTAATTACAACGTCTACAATAACATTAATGCTTTACTGATCTTGTTAGTTTATTTGGTGTCTTAAGATAGTCTTATTATATTAGTGCTTATTTTTTAATTTGTTTTGTGACTTGGCATAGTTAAGTTAATTATGTATATTATTTGAGAACTATTCATCACACATTACCCTTTTTACTGTGTGAGGGCAGGTCGCCAGGCAAGCAGACCAGCGAGGTGAGCCTGGCGGAGCAGCTGCAGGACATAATACCACACAGCCACGTGGTCAAGGCCTTCAACACCATGTCGGCCTACGTCCTTCAGCGATCCGACTTGCAGGGCGGCAGACAGGTGAAGGGAATACATTAAGTTACATGAAGGCTAAGTGTAACAGCACAAGTTACATGACTCTTATTATTATTATAACACAACCACTGTTAGGTACCTGTGTGTGGGAACTCGTCAGAGGCGCGGGCGAAGGTGATGACGCTGGTGAGGGACATGGGACTCACGCCCGTGGACATGGGCGGCCTCAAGAATGCCCGCACCTTGGAGGAGCTGCCACTATCCTTCTTCCCAGAGTGGAAAGTTCCCGTAATTGTGGCCGCCATCGTCTTGTCCCTTTTCTGGGTTCTAATGCTCTTCAGGTGAGTTAGACCCCAGAGTCTCTTAGGTTCATTTATTTTCCTCCATATACAAACATTTGTTTGAAATAATTTCCACCACTTACCAGCTGACTAGCCGTTCGAGCGGTCGGTCAGCTCTTTTGGTAAGCACAGCCTTTTATGCTAAAGTGAGCTAGTTCAATGTGTTGTTATGATGCTAGAGACCAGGACGTGGAAAATATTACCAAACGAATCTTCACTCATCTGGTCAGGTGGGAAAACAGGATGACATGGTGGTTGGTACAGGAGCTTAGTAAGATGGTGGTCCGGCAGAGGGAAGAGCCGGGGTGGTGTTAGAGAAGACAATAACAAGGTATTAATGCGTCACTCCCTCACAGGATACAGATTTGTCCTAATTTAGACAGTGGCTCAGCCTGGAACTGGCAACCATTCCAAACGCTGCTGCTCAACAACACTCAATTCTCGCTGGCATTTACCGCCTGCTTCCTGCTGCTCACCTGTTATTTCCCAGGTAACTCTTGCTGGGTGGCTTGTGTTGGTATAAAACTGTGCTAATAATCACACACACAGTATCATGCAACTTTCAACACACCAACAGGACCTAACACAACGTTTATCCCACAGGGTTGATAGCAGCGTATCTGCAGCTGTGGAGAGGAACCAAGTACTCTTCCTTCCCAGCCTGGCTTGATGTATGGCTCAGGGCACGTAAACAGCTGGGACTACTGGCTCTACTGCTGGGAGCCACACATGTAAGTTATGACTGGTAGAGGTGGGACCCATACGTGTAGTACTGAGAGCCATATATACGTGTTACTATTTATTGGACGTTTTATCTTTTATTATCTTATATACAGTGTTATTATAATGTATGATTTGTATGCATTACTGTGCTAGTTAGTGTGTCGTGCCCCGCCTCCTGTTGTAGCCATAATGAGGCGCAAAACGTCACGAAAGTTAATGTACACTTAATCTCGGAGTCACGACAAACACCCACTGGACAAACTAAATCAACCTAACCTAACCTAACCTAACTTAAAGTTAATATTGTGACACCTGACCTGTCTAGTCAGTGAGTTCAGGCCAGGTGAGTTTTTGTCCGTGCACCCTTCAATTACGGTGGTACAGGTATTAATATAACCTGGAATATTTTCACCAGGCGTTTTCTTCTGAAATCTTCTGCAAAGACAAAACATTTTCTCCCCCAACTTCCTTACAACAAATACTGTACAGCGCTTTTTGATGTTATCTGTTGACGGAACTATTGTTTTGAGTCTGTCTATCTAGAAGTGTAAGTAACAAGAGTGCAGAGGTCTTATTGCAACTATATCTTGCGCTAGTCAGGCCGCACCTCGATTATGCGGTTCAGTTCTGGTGCCCCTATTATAGAATGGATATAAATTCACTATAGTCAGTGCAGCGAAGAATGACAAAAATGATTCCGGGACTTAGAAACCTTCCATATCAGGATAGGTTAAAGAAACTTAACTTGCATTCCCTACAAAGACGAAGAGTGCGGGGAGATATGATAGAAGTATTTAAGTGGGTGAAAGGAATCAATAAAGGGGATATAGATAAAGTTCTTATAATATCCGAGCAGGATAGGACTCGGAGCAACGGATTCAAGTTGGATAAGTTTAGGTTTAGGAGGGAGATAGGAAAACTGGTTTACAAATAGGGTGGTGGACGAGTGGAACAAGCTTAGCAACTTTGTAGTAAGTGCGGGAACTCTGGTAAGGTTCAAAAGGAGGCTAGATAGATTCATGGATGATAGAGAGTGGTAGTAACTCTCGACATGAGCTGCCATGCACAGGCCAACCGGCCTATTGCAGACTCCTTATTTTCTTATGTTTCTTATGTTCTTTCCTTCGCCAGGCGTGTATGGCTATATTTACCAAGATCAGCTGGGGACAGTACGAGGTGTGGTGGCAGTCTCTCTACGTGGCCTGTGGTGAGTCACACACATATGTTCTTATGTTCTTATATATATTCTGTGTGTGTGTGTGTGCGTGTTCCTTATGCCTGCCTTTCCACAGTTTTGAAGATAGAGCTGAAATATGGTAGGAACGTGCTGTAGGGGCAGCAAGTTGTTCTTATAGTTATGATCATCCCAGTGCTGTTGTGGGGGTATGTGATATTTTGGTTCACACTCAGGATGGGATGGAGAAAGGAAACTCACAATGTGCTCTCATGTATACATGTTGTATTGGATGTACAGTGCAGCGGGTCGCCATGCTCGCCAGCGGGAGCGAAGGCCGCCAGGCAGCGGCGGAGGAGGTGTTGCTGGCTGGTTGGTGTAGGTAGAAAAGAGAGAGAGCTCACCACGAGGTCAGGTCTTTTATAGCGGAGGTAGGCGTGGGGAGATAGTTGACCCCCGCTTCGTGGGCGGCGCCGGTTGACCTAGACCACGAGGCATACACTAGGGAATTCGCGGGATCGGCTACTCAGCGACAAACAGCGTTTGTAGGGGAGAAATCCACTACACTGTTACAACATTGTAGGGGCACGTATTTTTTATTACCTTCCACCACCCTGGCTTACAATCAACATTCTTTCTCTAAGTATCGCTTCGTATTAATAATCTTATCTGTGGGCTTATCTGGGAAGCCCCTTTTTACTGTGACCTATTAAACATTCTATAATATACTAGTTCAAGGTAGGCTGCCACCACTCAGAGGTTTTATCAGAATGTAACATAACATTAACCTCATAAACACTTGATTGGCATTATCGTAATTCTATTTTAAGACAACGTAAACAGTTTGTCACCAAAACGCCCCCCAAGCTCCGTTGTGGGTCGTTTGACCTGTGCCCGGGTGGGCTAATTCCCGTAAAAAAAAAAAAAGATATTTTGTTTAGTTTAACAAATTTATTGGGTGGTATCACTTCTCACTGCCACGCAGAACAGAGGTTCGTACACAAAGAAATACATCTTATTCATTGACAGTATATACAGGTCAGATTCACGTGGGTGATGTAACTGTTCACTGCCATGTAGGACAGAGGTTCATACACAAAGAAATACATCATATTCATTAGCAGTATATATAGGTCAAAGTCGTGTGGCTGATGTCACTGTTCGCTGCCATGCAAGACAGTGGTTCATATACATTGGACGTCATATTCTAAATGAAGACTAATCAGTGTGGGCTAGCTAATTTGGGATAAACAGCAAGAATGTCCCGAAGCACCCCCGATTCGGTCCAACGAATTAAGTAACTCACTATTTAAATTGTCGTGGAACTCGGCAATCTCAGATCTCGTTATCAGGTCGGTGTCATCTGTCAGGTTCACGGCCAAGCGCGACACCCCCTCTCTCAGCTGCCTCTTTAAACTGTCAAAGTTTGCCCTTCTGAAATCTGGTACTTTAGTGGAATTTTCCTTATGTCTGCCCTGAAAATCTAACTGGAATCTAATTTCTTTGTGATCGCTGTTTGCAAGTTCGTTCCCTACTTCGACATTGCTAATGAGGTTTTCTCTGTTTGACAGAACTAAATCGAGTATATTATTACCCCGGGTGGGTTCGGTTAAATGTTGACTTAGAAAACAGTCCTGGATCGTCTCGAGAAAATCCTCTGATTCTGAGTTACCTGTAAGGTCAGTCCAATCTATTTGGCCAAGGTTAAAGTCGCCTACTATACAGACTTTGTTGTATGGAAGCCCTGCGCATTTCATCCCAGATAAGTCGCTCATTGACTCTATCAAGATTGGGGGGTCTATATATTACTCCTGTGACTAATTTTTCCCTACAGTCGATTAATTCTATCCAAATTGTTCCTGTACTCTGCTCAGTTTTTATTTTCTTATTTATTTCACACTTCAGATTATCCCGAACATAGATTGCTACTCCGCCTCCTTTCCTGGTCTGCCTATCGGTATGGAACAGTTTGTAACCCGCAATTTGGTATTCGACCGGTAACTCACGTGTGTCTAGGTTGATCCATGTTTCAGTGAAGGGCTATTATATCGATTTTTTCGGTACATACCAAGGCCCTAATACCATCCATTTTGTTTCTCATACTTCTACTGTTTGCGTAGTATACATTTAAGTTAGTCGTGTTCTGAGTCCTCCTCTTACCGCGTTTAGTTTTAAACTCCCTGTCTAATTTAGTTTTGTCATCATTCCTAACACTATTTCCCTGTAATCTTTCACTTTGTTTACCCGCTCCCACTGCAGTCTCCTCCACCCCCTTGCTCATATGTTCTCCTAGCAGTTTAAAGACTTCGATATCTTTTGAACTGCCCCCTCTAGAGCCCCAGCCAGGGTTACTACTCCATCCCTAGACATCAGCAATGGCGAGTTGTCGTTTCGTACACTTCTGGTCCGCTACACCGGCACTCAGACACCTCACATACCAAGGGAGATTAGAACGTGCACAAACCCAGCTCACGGTACAGAAGAGCAAGGGACGATTTAACATAAGTAATAAGCACCCCAAAATACATTACTCGTGGAATAGCCTGCCAGATAATGTTTTGACAGTATCAAGTGTGAGATCCTGGAGGACCAACGGTGGAACATTTTCAGGTACATACAAAGTTACGTACTATACAAGCCGAGTACTGGCCAACAATGTGTAACACGGAACTGAACGACGGGCTAGCTAGGATAAATTAAGTAAATTTAGTTTCCCCGCTGGGACACAGTGTCCTGGTCTGACACCAAAAGGTAATTTTTCTATTTTTTCTCCAGGTGCCATCCTGTTGGCAGCGATGTCCATTCTGGGCATCTCCTCACTGCCCTCCGTGTCGGACAGGCTGACGTGGCGAGAGTTCTCGGGGCTGCAGCGTTACCTGGGTTGGTTTTCTGTAGTGGTGGTTACGATGCATCTCACCCTCGTTAACATCACAAGCCTTCTCAGTCCTCTGCAATGTTTCTTCCTACCTGGAGGTGCACAGGTACGGCCCAGAAGACACATTTGTTATATTTAGTAAGCTTCCTTCATACTTGAGGGGAAATTATAAACGTTCTTAATGCATCAGCCTAAAAATTAAAGGTTATAAGTGGAGGGCGGTGTCCCCATTCACAAGGGAACTCTGCCCCCCTCCCCCAAATAGGAATGAGTCGAGTTGCTTGGGAATGTCTTTATCTGTGTTTCTTGTTGCATCATTTTGTCTCCTTCTTTTATCCTGACAGATTATGATTCCTTTGTGCTTCCTGACGTTACTTCTTAAACTTCCGCTTATCCTGCCATGTGTGGACTCCCACCTGACGAAGATCCGAGGAGGATATGAGAGATCAGGTCGTCAGGCAGCTCCTCGCCAAGACGGAAAATTAGAAGTCTAAGCTCACGGAATTACTGGCGTAAATTAGAGAAGAGAAATGGTAATTGGCTTAAACTCCCCAAAACGTGTAAGTGGGGGCATAAATTCACGGATTAAACTCATCCAAATAAACAGCTGGTGGCATAAACCTGGAATTGGCAACTTTATACAAGATTAGATTTAGTAGTTGACTCGCAAGAGCAAGAAAAGTGTTGCATAAACTCATTCAGTTAAATATGCCAGTTCTAAGAATGAGTGGTTTTAACTCTCCTGTTTATTCATGATTTTTATCACACATGCATAAGAAACACCATTTGTTGTACAGAGTTTCTTATTGAAAACCTTTTTATATAGTCCTAAAAATACTGGTTTTGCTTACGACCACAACTCGTCTGTAGTCAGCTACACACTCAAAACAATCAGTCTTACTAGGCAGTATTTGTGGCTCGTTGATGGCATGAATATTGCTACTCCTACCCATTATAGTTAAACTTATATACTATTATTATTTTAAATCTTTTTGTTAGACATATATTACATCATATTCGGGACTGGGGTGACGTGTGCAGTCAAAATAAGAGGATAAGAATTGTGGGGTGAGATTCAACGTTATGTGGAGGAAGTGATTTTCTGCCTCACACGATTGCAGGCTCTCGACTGTATTTCTCACTTTGACAACACAACATACATACATCATATATATATTTTTTTACTTATGGCTCTTTATTGTTATTATTATTTAATTATAACCCCCCCAAGGCCTTGATAACGTGGCGCGGTTACGTCCGGATACGCCGGCCTGCCCCAAGAAATTAAACCTAGTTCTCAAGAAGTTCTTTGAAACTAATGAGATCGTGGGGGTCACCAAGGTGGAACGACTGAAACTCCATGGTGACATCAAGATCACCTTCGCCGAGAAGGGTATGCCCGTACAGCTCGCGGAGATCCCAGACATCAACGGCATTCCATTTAAAATGATTGCCTACATGTGGGACAACCTGAAGCTGGGAGTAATCTTCCACGCCGAAATTGCCCACGTGGACCAAGCAGAGCTGAGTGAGCTCCTCAAGGGGCAACTCCAAGTTGTGAAGAAGCTGTCCGACACCACTGCCCTCATCGGACACCATACAACCTTACCCAAGGAGGCTCAACTGGCGTGGGTAACTGTGCCAGTCAAGCCCTACTGCAGACCGAAACGCTGTTACAAATGCCAGCACTACGGACACACTGTCAACAAGTGTGAGGCGCAGGAGGACACCTGCTCCCTGTGTGGCAGCCCAGGACACCGTTACACGGTCTGCCCCAACACAGTAAAAAAATGCGCTGCCTGTGATGGCCCACATTCCTCCGCCGATCGGACCTGCCCGAAATGGAAGGAGGAATGAAGGATAGCCAAGGCTCGACTCGACAAGAAACTGAGCTACAAAGAGGCCCTCCTTGCTGTACGCTCCCAAGACAAGAAAAAACCAGTAGAAAAGAAAAACCAAGAAAAGAAAACTCAAGAAAAGACACCCACCACACAGAATCAAGAACACCACGAGGCCCGTGGAGCTGAAGCCCACGTGGTCAACCTCACCGTCTCCGACTTCTTCCACACCTATGAGGACATAAGACACGAGGAAGACGAACAACAAGGCCCAAACACGAATGAATGGACACTTCAAGAGAGCAAGAAGAGGAGGAGAGTTAGAAGAAAATCAACATCAAGCTAAGAAGAATACCAAGACAGAAGACCAAGACATTTCCTCCACACAAGAAAACAACACACACAATGAAGCCGACCAAGCACTGAGAAACCATGGCCCAACCCAACACGCACCTGACGCTTGACCTGACGCTAGCCTGACTCTGTCCTGTCGCCTCCTGGCCGCGTCCGGGCGAGTTGCTGCTGCCTCCAACTTGAACTCCCTCACGCAAGCGGTGTTTAGCCACTGCACCTATTCTCTCCTCCTAAAATTCACTTCAATCCTCCCTTTATCCTTCCCCTGAACCTCCTTCCCCCCTGTCACTAGCATTTCATGTTCATGTTCAGGGAGACCATTCTACACTCGGCTACCGGCCCAGCAACACCTCTCACAGCTCCTCACCACCCAGCTTCCTCAAAAACCTCCTCGCCCTACAGGACCTCTGAGCAAGCTTCTCCTCACCTAGTCACTCCTAAGCAATGCACTGTACAACAATATATATACAGAAAGCGCATTGTGAGTTTCCTTCCTCCATCCAATCCTGAGTGTGAACACAAACATCCTATACCCTACAGGCTAATGCCCGTAAAAAAAGAAAGAAAAAAAAAGAAAAGTGGAGTGAAGGTCAAGGAAAGGTGGAGTGAGGCCGTGTTATTGAACGAGCGAGAGAATCATTATCAGTTGTGAAAAAAGTTGGAGGGAAGTAATGTTAGTTACCTGTAATGTTATATTTAGTTCCTATATAATATGCTCAAGAAAAACTAAATATTTACAATTGTAACTAAAGATTCAACTCAGAGGATTATAAAACACAGTTAGCCTTCTTAAACTACACTATGTTTATATGAATAAAAGTACTGTATATTAGAGTTTATATATTTCATCAACAATTGTCTATTCTAAAAAAAAAAGTTCTCGAGTAAGTTTCCCTATACTGTTGTCATCAAACTGAGCAGAGGAAACATTGGCTTCTTGAGGTGGGTCTGTCATCCCAAAACAGGAATTCGCCTTAACAATGAGAGCAGCGCAGTAACCCATCCCACGACCTCCCCGGGAGGATCTTGCGGGTGACAGGTTCAAGTAAGTGTTTAATGGGAATAAAATGCAAGATAGAAAGATGATAATAGGAGACATAATATTTGGGGAATTTCTGGAAAGATAAAAAATTAATGAGAAATTGGAACATAGAGTAGTGGTCCCCAACCTGTATTTCGGAGCCATTTAATGGAGCCCGCAAGGGTTTATTAGAAAAATTTAAAATATTTGGGATTCTTTGAAAGAGTGAAATTAATGAAAATATGTAATAACTTGATACGACTTTATAGTGAGAAAGAGAGAGAGAGAAACTAGACGTTTGTCCTGGGTGTGTCGTGTACAGGACCGGGCCTACAGCCTACACAAGGTTGGAGACCACTGAAGTACAGTATATAGGGTGCTTAACGTGTCTCCAGCTCTTTAGTTCAACTTGGAGTTGACCAATTATCAAACGCCGTACATCACACCCTCCACTTCGTTCATGGTGTTCTCAATGCACTTATTAATAATAAATGTAATGCTCCCCTCAAGGCGCGAAGTACATACAGTGCATACATCTTCATTAACGACGTGAGTGTTTATCGTGACGTACCTCTACGGTTACCAAGTGTATTGAAAGAATCTTTCAGTCACCATTAATATAAGTTGAAGTAAAATTTAGAGTTAGTAATGACTCAATGAGTCATAGCGATATCCGGTGGTCTGCCACCCCTTCCCCTCCACTCTACACACACACACACACTCTTGCCAATCACAGTATTTTAATATTTAAGTACAAAGGCAAATATAGTATTGGACCAATGATTAAATAGATACTTTTCCATTATATTGTAAATTAATAATGATGAATAGAAACTTAATAAGCTCATCTAAAACCTCTAATAATTTAACCACACCCGGTATCCTCCCGTCACTGTCTCGCTGGTAACGTTGGTCCGGCGTATGTAAGTCAGCTGGGGAGGTGGTCTCATATTCCCAATTAATGAGACATATTAAGTGAAGAACGCTGAGAAAACAAAGCTTTAATCAGGGGCGGATCCAGGAATATCAAATGGGGGGTTCAAGAAGTTGTGGGTGGGGAAACATGGCAAGCATAGAGAGCCCTCTCGTTGTTGTTGTTGTTTTTTTGGGGGGGAGGGGGGGGGGCGCTGTAAACCCCCAGATTTTTTTTTAAATCTGACCGAAATCAAGGGTATTTTCAGGCCATTTTTAAGCCATGTGCATTTGATATTAGGAGATATTCTGAGGTTAATAGTAATTCCTTTTTACTATACAAAAACACCTGAATACAATACTGCATTAAAGAAAAACTGCAAGTTTCTGATGGAAAGGGGAGTCCGGATCTCCAGGACCCCTTTTGTTTATTATTTCAAAAGTTGAGAGTTATAACAGAAAAAGTAGACTCTCGCGGGAAGCTGAGTTAACGGTTGACCTTCAGCGCTTGGGTCGGCCCACCCAGTCCCAACTGTTACCCAACAGGTTTTCTGTACTCACTAGTTGACGTTCAGACGTGGTCGAGTGTGAAAGTGCGCAACACTCTCTCTTGATATTGGTACTTGTTCCTTCACTACTTGTCTTACTCCTCTGAACATCACGTGTCTTTACCATGCCTCAGAACGTGGATTCCTGCACCACACTTGTGTTCTTCGTGAATGGGAAGAAGGCAAGTACTGCTTCTGCTGTTAATAATGGCGTAAATATATAGAGTGAAAAAAGTGAAATTACGTGCGCATAAAAATGATTGATTGTGAAAAAGTGATTGGGTGTGTATAAAAGTGTGTATGAACTAGTGCGTAAAAGTGAGTGAGGTAATGTAAAAGTGAATGTGTACGAGTGTGCAAAAGTGAGTCAAGTGTGTACGAGAACCACATCAGAGGTTTCTGAGAAAAGTTAAGGCTCATGGTATCGAGGGGAAAGGTTTAAATTGGATAAAATCATGGCTCACCGATAGAACACAGAGGGTCAGTGTAGATGGTGTTAAATCTGAGTGGGGCTGTGTAACCAGTGGGGTTCCCCAGGGGTCAATACTAGGCCCACTCTTGTTTGTAATCTACACAAACGATCTAAATACTGGTATCAGCAGTGACATAAGCACGTTTGCGGATGACACCAAAATAGGGCGGCAGATTAATTCAGGGCAGGATGCAAATGCACTACAGGAGGATTTAAATAAACTGCAAGAGAGGTCAGAAAAATGGCTAATGAAATTCAGCACCAGCAATTGCAGCGTACTTAATATTGAAAGAACAAATACTGTCAATATATACAATGTTCAGTTCTGGTGCCCTTATTATAGAATGGATATCAATTCCCTGGAGTCGGTGCAGCGAATTAATGACGAAAATGATTCAGGTACTTATAAACTTTCCATGTCAAGATAGATTAAAGAAACTAAACTTGCATTCCTTAGAAAGACGAAGAGTGCGAGGAGATATGATAGAAATATTTAAGTGGGTGAAAGGAATCAATAAAGGGGATGTAGATTGTTACCACAAGCAGCAAACACCTTAAGAGTCAACACCTACCCTGGCTTCTCTCCAGACTTTCAACACGTAAGTTTAACTAGAATTTATTGTGTACACAGGTAGACTGTGTCCATTGCATCATTTATCAGTGTGACAATATAGAAATATGGCAAATTGAGTACTCATTGTAAGTGTTAAGATTAGACTAATTACATAGCCATGATTGTTATGTAAATATATATTGGATTAAACATTTATGTAGGAGTGCCTATGTATGACTTATTTGAAATCCTAAATGAATTGTATTCAACAGGTTTGACCGAATTATAATGTTCGCGTACTAAGTGAAGAGTCTAAATATCCTTTAACCGCCTGACTGTCGGTTTCATAGATAAAGTTCTTATAATATCCGAGCAGGATAGGACTCGTAGCAACGGATTTAAGTTGGATAAGTTTAGGTTTAGGAGGGAGATAGGAAGAAACTGGTTCACAAATAGGGTGGTGGACGAGTGGAACAAGCTTAGCAACTTTGTAGTAAGTGCTGGAACGCTGGAAAGTTTCAAAAGGAGGTTAGATAGATTCATGGATGATAGAGAGTGGTAGTAACTCTCGACAGGAGCTGCCATGCACAGGCCAACCAGCCTATTGCAGACTCCTTATTTTCTTATGTTCTTATGTAACAGAAAGAGTAATAGGTACATTCAAAATACATAGAAAGATAACTTAGAGAGAAGACAAAAATGAAGAGCTCAGGGGAAAAGGTGTACCGACACCATAATATGGGTGTGATACATGTCCCTTGGCTCTTACTATTGTGGCCTGGGTTCAAGTCCTGCGCCGGGACAGACGTGGGAAGGGTGTACCCAGAGTGACCACGGGAGGTTTTCTCAGGTTACTCCGGTTTCCTCCTGTACTAACACGGGACAATAAAGATCATAACAAAGTAACAGAGATCAGACCACCTGCCCGAGCCGCTAGTTAGCTTATAAGTAGTGAAATGACAAGTTAAATAATGAATTGTTGTGAGGGAGGAGTGGTGTAATGTCTTGACGTCTATATATCCCCAGGCAACGTGTACAAGCCATCCATCCAAGGTCACATAGCTGGATGTGTGAATGGCGCAGTGCATCTTAATTTGCACTCCCTTGAGAGACGTAGAGCGAGGGGCGACCTGATAGAGGTGTATAAGTGGAAGGCAGGGCTAAACAAAGGGGACATTACAAAGGTACTCAAACTATCCAACCAGGAGCGAACTCGTAACAAATTTAGATTTCGGCGTGAAATAGGTAAACAATGGTTTGGAAACAGAGTAGTGGATGAATGGAACAAGTTACCAAATATCATCATTAACTCGAATACGCTGAATTGCTTCAAACATAGGTTGGATGCTTATATGAGCAATAGGGGTTGGGTGTAAACGGGACTGCCCAGTATGGGCCAATAGGCCCGCTGCAGTTTCCTGCATTCTTATGTTCTTATGTTCTTAAATGTAGTGAAGAAATTAATATTTTCTAAGTGTAATGTATAAAATAAATGACCTGGTTAAGATGAACGAGGCTGGTGTAACAGATATGACCTAGATGAATAGATGTGAAGTAAAGTGTGTGTATCTGATTACTTATATTTATATGAATTAAAAAGGAAAGAAAAACACATCATTTGATAGCTAGTACATAAGAACATAAGAAAATAAGGAGTCTGCAATAGGCCGGTTGGCCTGTGCCTGGCAGCTCCTGTCGAGAGTTACTACCACTCTCTATCATCCATGAATCTATCCAGTCTCCTTTTGAAACTTTCCAGCGTCCCAGCACTTACTACAAAGTTGCTAAGCTTGTTCCACTCGTCCACCACCCTATTTGTGAACCAGTTCCTTCCTATCTCCCTCCTAAACCTATAGGCCTACTAGTTGGTATAAATACTGGCAAGTTTTACCATAACAGTGACCCTCCATCACCCAACGGTATCAACCCCTCAAAAATATACTTGTGTGGACTGTGAGGGAGAAGAACGGTAAGTGCTGGACCGTCTGCGTGATATTAATTAATAATAACGGGAGTTGCGTCACACGTTAGGCTTATGCTGGCGCGGTACAGTATTTTTTTATTTGACTCAATTTTGACACTGTTTATTTTGAATTACATTTTTTATGGCAGTAATTGTAATTTAAAATGGTCGAATTCTTATAAAACCTCCCAATGTGTTCTAAGAAATAGGAATCTATTAAATATAACATCTAATAAGGGAAAAAGGATAACAAACCTCTTAAACGGCATTAAACAGGAATTTATGCCACTTTTTCACAAAATATTTCTTATTAGGTGAAAATAGAGTAAGTAATATTTCGCATTGTTCTAAATCTTAAGTAGTTTTTCGCGTGACGTCACTGAATCTTACGGGTTGTTACTCATTACTCACGCGTACTTCTAGTAAATAATGTTAAACCACGGCACAAACACCTTCAGGGGGGATCACGTGTATAAGTTATCGAGAGAGACGTCGTATTAGGCTATCAAAAACCAGCAGCGATAACAACAATGTCTGCCTCCTGATCCCCAAGTTGTTAAAGATGTTTCCATATTTTACTTAAATTTGTTTTAAGTTAATTCAAACTCGCCACGCTAAGAGGTACTGAGGTATTTATATATGTTAGTAATGCGTATGCGTGTGTACATGTATAAACAACAACAAAAAGAAAAATGTCAGTCTAGGTTGGGAAACAGCGCCCTACGTGAACACAGGCCACTGGTGACACACACACAATCAACTCATTTAAATATGAACTGGTTATTGGTCTCGTTGAATTAGGACTCGTTGAATGTAACAAGAAATTATAATATTAGATAACCGACAGCTCGGTCGCTCGCCTATCAATGCTCTGTGATCACTCTGCTTTATCGATCTTGTATGGATCTGTTATCAGTGATGAACCAACACTTTCTCTAAGGACTTACAACACTCCTTCAAATCTTTTTGAACAATTCAGAACAAAATGCTAACGCAGAATTTTAACTTCTGAGCACGATGAATTAGCCCAGTGAATAGCATAATCAGCCCTTTAATTTAAGTACGATGATGTAACCCAATGAGTGTAAAGAGTTAATACTTGGAATATAATGTCTGTCACCCCTTTCAAGACGATTACCTATTCTATTTGAGTATACGAGGCACATGTCGCAAGGAAGTAAAGTCGTCGTAGTCAAGGTGTTATATACAGTATTACGAAACTACGATAATTTACAAATATTCAAGGCTTATCAATTGTTTATGTAAAGTCCACCTCCAATATAGTGTCGAAACATAGTACATAGAGAAGACCAAGCACAGGAAGGTGGGAGAGAGAGGAAGGGTACGTCATGTTGTAAGGCTGCCTGGCAGGATGGACCAAATTGGTGTAATTAGAGAGCTGACACTGAACTGGGGGGCGGCGGTTCTGGGGCTTGGAACGAGAGGTGGCCCAGACGAACATAAAACCTACATTTATATTTGCGTTAAGTAATTCAACTCTGTTTCGAAATAGGACTTGGAATATTTTATTTTTTTTTTTTTTTACCGGATAAGAATACATAATTGTACGTACAGCATTTTTCGGCCCTATTGGACAAATATAGCATCAAATAACGTCGAGGAGCAGTTGGAGCAGTCTCTCCTACGTCATTTGTTCCAATGTTTGTAAGTTTATGTTTTACAACTGTCAATTCAGATTGCAAAACTTCATTTACTGACCTTCGTACGTCACCACCAACGGAAGAACTGTCCATTCAGGTTAAAACATGCTGCAATAATAGCATTAAGTTTTAACCTCTTCGTCAGATGTCAGCTTGGTGATCCATTTTCTCTTACACACTGCTGCTGTCAACAAAAGAAAAAATAGTATATATAACTATTATATTATATACAACCAACAAGTCAAGAGTGAAAGCGGGCATATTGCAAAAATAATATGAAAATAGGAAGCAATAAAAGTGGTAAGAATATTGCAGGGACAGGATAGAAGGAAGTGTCTTGTTTATGAGAACGAAGGAGGAAAAGACTAATAAAGAAGAGTACAGTAAATAAGGTTAAGATTGGCAAAGAAAATACAGTATATGGGCGAGACGATGGGAACGTGAGAGTGACGGAGAGAAAAATATCAGCGGATTATAACGAACAGCATGTAAGGTTGTTCCCTTGTATACGAAGAACTATGGTAAGAACGAATGTAAAAATTATAGTGTAATAAGTCAGTTGAGTATAAAGTGTAAGGTATGAGTTGGTAGTGAGATAACTGGAGCAGAACAGTTAGTTATGAACCAAAGAGTGTAATGAATCAAATTTTGGCGTTAAATAACGTGATTATATAGGTTCTGGAGAAGAGGAAGAGTATGTCTGCGGTATCTAGAGTGAGCATATTGTACAGGGGATAACAAGGGAAACCGTTGAGTGCTGTCCAGAGTTTTTATAAGGGGAGGGTGTTGGGGTACTGCTTAATATACCCTGCCTAAAATGACGCGTCATCGTAGCCTTTATACCAACTGTTAATCTTTTGTTCAGAGATGTCCAAGATGACACGCTCGCCAGGTCACGCCTCGCCATGTGATGAAGTAAGCATAACAATATAATCCCAGTAAAGGGATTCTGAAAGGTTAGTACGTTAAGTAAAATTCGTATATGAAAATATAAAGATACATATACTTCGGCTAAAGAACAAAAAATCTGAACAGGTACTGTGGACATAGAACAGCTTTGCTTAGTAGGTCAGTGCTCAGTACAACTACGAATAAGTAGTAAGAAATAAGATAAAACCTACAGGTATTTTACCTTAACTAGGTAGTACTGTATTTTTAATACAACATCTTTTAGGAGACAAAATTTAGGCAGAACATTTTCACAATGTGGTAGAAAATCATTGTACTTTTGATGTTATTTTCTACCTTACAGCCTAAGCCAGCTATACTTTCTTTCATCACCTAGCAGGTCAACATATTCATTGGGTTAGGATATGTTGGTGATTATCGCTGTCGTTACTTGTACTGATTTCTCCAGAGAATACATCGACCTAACTCACGTAAATGGCAACACAAACATTACACCGAGACTCAGCCGTGACTATAGATGGCGTAAAGCACTAGGCGTCCATCTCGTAACTCATGTTGTATCAATTTCTGACTGCTCTAATGTACTGAGAGTAATACAACTTGACATGCTGACGTGTTGTAAATTAATTTAACACCAGTCACTAGCCATATGAACGCGCAGTAATATATCCCTGGCTAGAACAGTTTCATTCGTTCATTTCAACGAACGTAACTGTTACAGAAGTTACCATTAGGTTAAGGTTTTGTTCGGGATTAAAAATTAATTTATCTTTATGAGGTTTTGAAGTTATCTACGGGATTTCGAAGTGAATGTAGGAGATTTTGAAGTTATTTTTATGATGGTTTGAAGTTAATTTATAAGATTCTGAAATTATCTACTGAACGTATTTTGGTGAGGTGTCGTCAGGGACTCGGCATAAAATGAACTTTATATGTTTATGTTGCAGGTGGAGGACTCATCGGTGGACCCAGAATGGACTCTCCTCACCTACCTCAGGACCAAACGTATCCTTTTACCTTCTACTGATAATATTAGTTAATTAATCCTCACTAAACTTATTACTGTTATCAACAAAACCACACAATAGGTATCCGTTTTTTTTTATAATTAACTGCTTTATTTATTATCGTTTCTGCAATACCTTTTTTTCATACTTTTGTCGGGCAATTACTCCCTACCACTACTTTCCAACACGACACTGAACAACATTAAGACCTTGTAAAAAATCAAATAAATCACCTAACAACAAACACAAGTGAGCGGTCATGGTGCAGGGAGGTAAACACACCACAATAGACAGAAAACTGACAAGAATTAAATATGTTGTTTTAAGTCAGTCAGCGTATCACGGCCACTCCTATACGGGATAAATATGTGTCCCGATAGACTTTTACGGGAAAATGGGACAGTGATAAAAAAAAAAGGCAATGCAATAGACCTAAGGGTCAATCTCATATACAGCCCGACAACTTTATGGGTGCGAACACAGAAGCACAATATTATTATTACTCATGGACGATATTAATTATTCACTCTCCCGGCGTGTATTTCTTTATAAAATACGTTCCATTAGCAGGAGTGAAAAGTTTACCAGCCAGTCTGGACACTCGTTCCGTGGGCGTGCCCAGACAAAAATTAAAGAAATCTGTATTCAAAAAAAAATATCTGTAGAAAAAAATCTACAGGGGTACCTAGTGACAGCACTAGGATCCCGCTTCCTCTATCAAGGAATAAACAATTGAATTTGAATTGAAAAAAAATCTTTAAATTTCAATGTTATTTCATATGTAATGTTTTTTGTTTGTATTTTTTAGGCATAGCTAAAAGAAAATTAAGTAATTGAACCACAAGTAAAATAAAGAAAAAGAAAAAAGATGTTTAATTTTATTTTATGTTTGAGCAGTAGGAGCTAACAAAATATCCATTACATATAGAAACAAAACAAATACTATTCTTTCAACTGCGAAAACAAAAGCCATGTGGCACGGCCATGTTGTACCTCCACCCCTTCTCTTTATCAGAAAACCCCTTGGACTGGGTTAATGAGACAAAATACCTGGGTGTGTATGTAACTCGCACCCGTTGTCGGATCCCTGAAGTCCGCTATCTTCGAGACATGCTTTCGGCGTCTCGCTCCCCTCTCTACCATGTGCAGGGGTTCCCTTGGTGCCACCATCCCTGTACTTCTCACCATGTACAAGTCCGTTGTCCGTTCCTGTGTCGACTACGCCGCCCCTGCCCTCGTCAACATTAGTCGGACTGCTGTCAACCGTCTCGAAGTTATCCAGAGGAAAGCTGCTCGTATCATCCGTGGGGCTCCTCAGTGGACACGCTCTACTTCTCTATATACCGAACTTGGTCTTTCCCCCTTACAGGATCGTGTCCAGGAGTTTTACCTAAAAACTGCCGTTTCCATTCTACGGGATCCTCGGGGCAACTATGTCCAAGCCAACTTGACTCCTGCTGTCCGAGGCCGACCTCCATCTAGAAGACAGTGGCGAGGGTCACTCATCCTGGCCCTTCAGGAACACGACCTCCTGCCTGATATTGTTGTCACCCCTGCTGTTGGTTCGTCTCCTCCCTGGCTGGATTTTCAACCTGAATTGATTGCCCTCGGTGGACCGCTCCCGAAATCCCACGTGAACCCTGTTATTCTCTGCAAATACCATCTCTCCAAGATCGCCCACTGGTCCCCAGGTAGGGTAGTCCTCTACAATGATGGTTCTGCTGACCCCGCTACAGGTCGGGCCGGGGCTGGTGTCTACATCTCCCGTCCTGATGCCCCTGAGCCTATCAAACTGTCTCTCAGAGTTTCTGACGGGGCATCCTCCACTCAGGCTGAACTAATAGCCCTCCTTGCTGCCCTTCTCGCTGAGGAAGAAGCAGATGGTTTCTGCTCCTTGCTTGTCTGCTGCGATTTCAGGCCTGCTCTCGACGGGATCGCATTTGGATCAGGGGAAAATAAGGACCTCATCCTCCGAATACAAGGGTTAACATCCACACTTCAGGATGCAGGCCGTCCTGTGACATTCCTATGGATACCCAGTCATGTCGGTATCTTGGGGAATGAGGCAGCAGATGGCCTTGCCAAGACTGGCTGCAACAAGGCCACACCTGACTACGTTGTTCCTCGAACACTTTTACAGCTTAGGACCCAAATTCGCCGCAAACAGAGAGAAGCTCGGGAAGCAGCCATCCCCCTGGATTCCCCGCCCACCTGGTACGATATCCTCCGTAAACTTCCTGACCTCTCGTATGTCTATGGGAAAGGGTCGCGGAAAGGGGAAAGGGGGTATCCCCGCATCCCCTGAGAAACGCTCTTGTGCATTATGCAAAAGACCTGACAGCAGCACCCTTAACCACTACCTCCTAAGATGTCCCCACACACAACGCTTCCGTGACACCTGCTAGACCACCACTCCACGACCCCCTGACGGAGACACGATGATCCTCCCCATACTGGCCAGATATTTTGTAAATAATATTGCTTATGTGTTAAAGGAATATCCTTCCTTCCTTAGGCTTTAGTAAGCCCCTTTATAATATTTATACTGTATATACTTGTCACACTTGCCAGATGCTTCTGGTGTCATTGTACAGGGGTACCTAGTGACAGCACTAGGATCCCGCTTCCTCTATCAAGGAATAAACAATTGAAATTGAATTGAAACACACACACACATATATATATGAAGGCCTATTCACCCATGCTGTTGTCTCGTTCAGTTCGTAAATATACCCAAAGATTTCTCGATTTGGCGAGGAAATTCTCTTAAGCCGACGAATTAAGAGACACAGGTACACACACACAGATTATTCTCTCCCCTTCCTACTCCACATATCAAGAAGCGCTCAACACACTGACCCTCACGTCTCTCTCTGACCATCACCACGACCTCATCTGCAAATTTGGTGAGAAGCTTCTGCACCATCCTCGACACCGGCTCCTACTACCACCTGAGATCCCTAGCCCGAGAATTGCTGTTCGACACCACAACCGCATCCAGCCCATACGAGCACGAACTGATCGCTATAAGAACAGCCCAGTCCCAACCATTGTAAAAATTATCAACAACTTGTCTAATATACTATAGAGCTATCCAAATATATGTCTGTCTGTCTGTCTGCTTATCTGTCTGTGCAGACGAAACGGCACCATCGTTTTTCATCAAACTTGGTAGAAAAATCGCAAAAAATTCTTAGAGTGGAACAAACCTGGTCCCATGTCGATGGTTCCTTTAGGAAGCCATTAATAAACCATTTTATTTACGATGGAAAATGCACCCTAATTAATCATGCAAGTCTACGGACTTGCCGCACCCTCATTAGCTGTAAGCTGTCAGCCGGATACAATACAGTACAATACCATACAATACTATACCATACAATACACAACGAACTATAAATATTTGTAAGAATAAAACATAATTATATAGACATGTAAGACTCACAACTTGATAAGATATCCGTAAGACATTAGCTATTGGAAAGGTGATTAAATGTTTTGTTATTAATCCAGTGTGAAATGTATCAGTATTGGTGGTACAATCCTAATGGTCTCTAATCCTGTTGATTAGGTGAGGTAAATCTGGGTTTATTGAGATTAAAGATTAGGTGTGGGGTTTATTCTACCTGTGTTAGTCTCAGGTATGACCCTTATTGTAACAATCACGACCATGATTATAACAACCACGACCATGATTATAACAACCACGACCATGATTATAACAACAGTACTAATTCACACCAACAGACGGATGGTTCGTAAGATTAATTACCATCACCTTCAATTGAACAACGTCATTATTAAATACAGACACAGACTGACACACACACACACACACCACACACACGCACACACTCCACATGCACACACACACACAGGTAAGTAAAACAGCAGTTTGTGTTGCAAGAAATCAGGGTCTTTAGAAAGAAGTTTTGTTTAGCATCGGTTTAGTACAACTGGATTAATTACCCAAAAGGGATTAAACGTTTGAAGACAATATTAGTATAAATTAATGATAAACAGGCAACCTCATAAACAGCCTGCACACAGCTGTGCATGATGTTCTTTAACATACTTACCGATTTTTACTTATGTTTATTTATCTAAATATAAATTCATATAGGTTCTATCCATTTTAAAATCAAATTAATAATAATAATAATAATAATAATAATAATAATAATAATAATTAACGGTTTATTGAAAGAGCTTGGCAGCCAGAAGGCTGAAAATATACAGTTACATATTTGGGGAATGGGTTTCGAATTACAAATAATATACAAGTAACATAAGTGATACAAATAAGATATATAATAACTAGATGGGGAAAAGCTCAAACTACAGTGCATTTCAACATAGTGACAGTGCAAGGAGTAGTGTTTACTGGGAATGAATACACTGGTTTATTACAAGTTATTGATAATTTTTACAATGGTTGGGACTGGGCTGTTCTTATAGCGATCAGTTCGTGCACATATGGGCTGGATGCGGTTGTGGTGTCGAACAGCAATTCTCGGGCTAGGGATCTCAGGTGGTAGTAGGAGCCGGTGTCGAGGATGGTGCAGAAGCTTCTCACCAAATTTGCAGATGAGGTCGTGGTGATGGTCAGTGAGAGTCGAAAGGGTCAGTGTGTTGAGCACTTCTTGATATGTGGAGTAGGAAGGGGAGAGAATAATCTTGCATGCCCTCTTTTGCACTTTTTCTAGGTGTTTAAGTTGTGTGGCATTTAGGGAGGAAGACCAGGTGGGGGAGGCATAGGTGAGCTTGGGAAGTATGAATGTTGTGTAAACACTGAGGAGCTCGGGTGCAGGAACTCCGAGGGACTTGAGTCGGCGGAGGAGGTGGAGACGGAAACTGGAGGATTTGACAATTTCACTGACGTGTGGTTTCCAATTTAGTTTGTTGTCTATGGTGACGCCGAGGAGCTTCGTGGAAATTAACAGTATATACTAGCAGAAAGGCATAATATAATGCGAAACAACAAAGCCCGATCACTTTTACATTCATTCATATTTTTTACTACGTAGTATAGTAAACAAACGGCCTTGAGTTGCCAGCTGTCTCCAGTAGTGTTCGAAGAATCTTGAACGTGACTGTACGTGCATCGTATATATCTTTTGTGTGGAGAGTTTGACATGTAATTTGTGTTTCTATCCCCGAGTGTCTGTGTTATTGATGATGATGATGTGTGTGTGTATGTTGGACTGGCCATGTTACCCACATGGACGACAGTAGACTGCCAAAGCAGCTACTTTAGAGTCACCTAACGAATAGTAAACGTAATGCTGGCGGGCAACTGAAAAGGAATAAGGATAGTCTTAAGAGAAACCCGAAAAAGTGCCAAATCGACCCCCTCACCTGGGAGACGATTACTCCACACCATAACGCTTGGAGGAGCACCACACAAGAAGGTGTCAATACTTTCGAGTTAGCCCGACTGCAAACCCAGCCCCTCCTGCACTAGATGGAGCCATCCACAAGTGCAACATCTGTGGACGACCCTGCCGGACCCGTATTGGCATCTTTAGTCACCTTAAAACTCACCAACTAAGGTGACATCCTTAATAACTCATATCATTGTCTCATAGCTGGATGATCGCCATACTCAATTCCGAGTGACACCAAAGTAGTAGTAGTAGTGTGTGGAGGATGGTGGTGGTAAGGGTAGTGTGTGTAGGATGGTGGTGGGGGTAGTGTGTGTAGGATGGTGGTGGGGGTGAGATACTGTGTGTGGGGCAGTAATGATAGTGTGGGAGGTGCGAAGATGACCGACGATAAGCATAAAATGACCAGTCATTCTGTGTGTAATTATATATATATATATATATATATATATATATATATATATATATATATATATATATATATATATATATATATATATATATGTTGGTTTTTTGGGGGGAGGAGGGAGGGCATATAAGAGAACCCTCACCGTCCCATTTACATGTATATGATACAATCTTACAGGTACACATGAATATTTTACATTCACCTGTATATGCAGAGTGTTTTGTAGTAAGTAATGTGGTGTTATTTTTGGTGTTGTGTATTTTCCTTAACTGAGAGAGAGTGCGGCTGTGTGGGACGAAGCTAGGGTGCGGCGAGGGCGGGTGTGGTGCCTGTACCGTCATGCTCTCCAGTTATGATCGAGCCCATGAGAAAGTGGTGTGAGTACCTCTAACATAGTGCTTCTATGAATCTTGTTCCACTGCCTCCTACAAGCCAGGCCCGGATTCTTAACTCTTAGAATGATCTACTAGAATCTTGTGACAACACAAGTGTGAGCTCCTATAAGTCCAGACTTGACCAACACTACATCTTTAGATACTTTCAAGAGCCCTTACATGTCCAATACTTGTCAAAATGAGTAACTGAGAACTGACTCACTACCTGACCGGCTAGAAAGTAACAAATGACCACTTGTATTTTTACCCCCCTCTCTCCTGGGCTCTCCAAGCTCACTGTATACAGCTTCTGCATCTGCAGATCAATGTCTCCCCCCAACAATTTCAATATTTTCATCCCCCCCCTCCCCAACAAAATTTCAAATGTCGCAAGTAAATGAAATGTCTACACCTCCTCCCTTCACTTGCAGCTTCCCTTCCTGCAATTTCAATGTTTGCTTGCCCCTGCACCCATTAGTGTCAAGTCCTCAAGCACTATCAGTCTCTGTTCACCCCCTTACATGTTCAGTGTCTCCTCCACCCTTAGCATTTTTACACCATCCCCTGCCTTTCATACTTAATCATCAGCCGTCCAACATCAAGGGAGTATTTAAGTATTATAAGGAACATGCACAGAGGACTGATCATTCCTAAAGAAAATGGATGTTTCTGATGAGTATTCACTTTCCTAATTTATGTTTCCCTCCCTTCTGGTACCCCCGAGGAGCATCTGTTCTCCTGTACCAGTGGTCCCGTGGCTAACAGGTGTGTGTCCTCAACAGGCACTACTCAGTTAACGCGTGCCTCGCCCCTGTGGTGGCAATGCATGGTCTTGCTGTCACCACCGTGGAGGGCATCGGCTCCACCACCACGGGCCTCCACGCCGTGCAGGAACGCCTCGCACGGTCCCATGGCTCCCAGTGTGGCTTCTGTACCCCTGGTATAGTTATGTCCATGTACACACTCCTGAGGAACAACCCCAAGCCCTCCATGGCCGACCTTGATGAGTACTTCACAGGTGAGCTGACCACCAACTTCTTAATAATGTCAAGAACAATAAACTAATTTATGATAGGTTAAAGAATTATTGGTCAAGTAACATCCCACCTACGTAGCTCCTTCTCCACCAAACTGAGGGTGAGTAAGTTGCCGACCTCCTTATACCCGTCCTTGTGGTTTACTTTTCACCAACTAAACTGTTGTTACTAACCCAAAGGTCACAAATTTGTGACTTTACAACATGTGTTTTATGATAACATTTAAGCTATATATTTCCCAAATTGACAGATTATATTCTATTATCTGAGATGCACCTTAATAACAAGTAATGCTGGGGAGAGAGAAAACTGGTAGATAAAACACTACTGCACTCTGCAGGGAACTTGTGTCGGTGTACGGGCTACCGACCCATCCTGGAGGGATTCCGAAGTCTCACCTCAGAGGCAACAGGTGGCTGTGGTAAAGTCAACTGCTGCAGGAACAGTGGCCAAATCTCCCCTGAAGGTGGGTGTCCCCTTCCCCGAGCTGATCGCATGTCATGTTACTTATACAAATGTTTTTTATTTAGAAACATGGTGGACTTTTGATTTAACTGATGACTGATATATTTTGTGTGCACTAAGCTGCTTCCAGGCCCCTGCCAAGTATGGGACTAGGCTCCATGAGACACCCAGATTTGTACTTTGTCCACATGATAAACTTCTGGTGCAATCCTGTCATGATTCACCAAGTTAAAAATGATATGTAGTGCGACGGAGGATAACACACACGTGGGAGGAGTAAGAGTTTAAAACTGGTGGAGGCAGATGCTGATTGGCTTAGCTTAATCAGTGTACACAACTATCACTGACTGATCACGTGAATCAGAGAAAAGAGAACGATGTACTGTAGCGAATGGTCTCATGAGGCAGTGTTTAAGGGGCAGTATGATAGTTTTCTTTAATATTATTTGCATGGTTATAGAAAATGAGAAATTATATAAACTAAATGAAAGGTAAACTATTATACTTTCCTTTTTTGTTTGTTCGAGATGATAAACGCCAGGAAAGTAAAAAAAAAAAAGGAGAGACATTATGTAATGGAGCCAACAGGGGGTGATCTATAGCTTGAATTTCACTGTGTTTACACTAGACTTTCATATCCAAGCAGCAAACACCTATGACAGTGGACCAGTGGACAACACCTCCTGTAATACTAATGAAGTTACTGGTATCGCCAACGACCTCAACGGAGAAACAGACGTGTGTGATGTATTATGTGACCCCAGTCAGTTCAAACCTTATGACCCCAGCCAGGATATCATCTTCCCTCCCGAGCTGAAGGTAAGGTTTACAGATGATAACCAGGTACTGACTATTACTTGGGCAGAGTATTGGTGCATCCTCCACTGACTGACTTTCTGTTAGTGAGTATTTACTTTTGTAATAAGATACGACCAGTTATGTTCACCCTGTACATGGTATCGCCTGTAGGAGTGAGAGAGGACCACTCTGTTTGTCCTTGATGTGACAGTCATGTGGATAGTATGCCAGTCAAGCAGTTAATGTGTTTTATCATGAACTGTCAAGGAGCTGATTGGTAATTCAGCAGATCAGAATGGTACAGACAGGGTTTGTCTCCTACTCAGATACGGAATGACTTGGACAACCAATACCTGGAGTTAAGGGGTCCACGGGTCACCTTCTACAGGCCAACATCCCTTAGTCAACTCCTCCATCTGAAGACTCTCCACCCAGCAGCCAAGATCATTGTTGGCAACACAGAAGTCGGTGAGGCGCGCCTTCTCCAGTGGCTTCTGCCTCCTGAGAAGGATTTTTTTTATTTTTTTATTTGATATGAAAGGATATCAAATAGAAGCATTAACTGTTCACCCAATTGCTTGATCCTCAAAAGTTTACTTGTCAACTCTTCCAAATAAAGGTGAATGGTATGGTACTTACAATAACTTTCGACCCGGCTGCTGAGGTACTGTATATGGCTGCCGACGAACTTCACAACACAGGGACAATCCTTTAAACATGATACCTTCAGACACGGGTACACCCCGAGTTGTACACACTAGTCGGTCAGTCCTCGGCCACGACTCTTCAGTAGCACAAGCCAAGGTATATAAAGGCAGGGCTCACGGAGGAGAACTCAGGCCAGCACAAACACCAGAACGAAATCATCGCCGCCAGGACCCACTTTCCCTGGTGTAAACTTTAGATTAGATCAGACATATGCTCCAGGCCCTCTGAAGCCCCCAAACCAATGAACCATTCTAAGAAAAGCTTTTCAACTTTTAACATACTGAAACATTGTAAAATAAAACAATACACAGGATTTCATTGATCATAAATTATACAATGAAGCCATAAGGATAAAAAAAATTTATTATACATGTCAGGTTATGTAAGAGTCCCCAATACTGCATATTAACCATTACACCACTGACGGCCACCACCACCCACCACTCCTTAACCGAGCGTGACCACCACCTACTTATTATTACCGCTAAATTATTCTCACAATCTGATTCCTCCATTTCTACGTTTCCCTGCTTTCATTTCCGAGCCTTACACCTGTGCCAGGGTGAAGACTACTGTATATATTGTACTTCATATAGTCTTTCGTGAACTGTTCGGATTTGTTAAATCTCATATTTAATTTTGAACCCTTGCATACGTGCCTCTTCTGCCTTTGATTATACAAAGAAAGTTTCTGCAATTTAGCATTCTAATACAGTAAAAAAGTATATACCCTGTATACAACTTTCCACGATAATGTGTTAGACGATTTAAATGTGAATTCACCTCTACCCAACCCCTTTGGGTATTATTTTTGTCATCCCGGGAATCTTAGGAATTTAACTATTGGAATTTGGAGGGTCTGGGGGGGGGGGGTCCCACCCCGTTAGGTTAGATATTATTCCTGGGTTCTGTGGCTACATTAGGTTAGGTTAGGTTGGGTTGGGATAGGTTTGTTAATACAGGGATGACCAAAACTAAAATTTTTGACCACCTTTTTGTTGTGGTCTTGACACACAATGTCTTCATAAACTGTACTCATACTGCAGGTGTGGAGGTCAAGTTCAAGAATCAGGTGTACCCAGTGCTCATCAACCCCACCAACATTGACAGACTCACCTCCATCCAGCTTGAAGAGTCGGGGGTTGTGTTTGGTGCCTCCGTGACCCTCACCACCATAGAGGACACTCTTCGAGACCAGGTCAACACCCAGCCAGGTCTGTAGGTCATGCTAATAACCAGCCAGGTCTGCAGGTCATGCTAATAACCAGCCAGGTCTGCAGGTCATGTCAACAACCAGCCCTGGTCATTTATTGGTCACATCAACAATTAATCAAGTTAGGTCTAGTTAACCATCTAACCAAGTAAAATATTCTAGATAATTCAGACTTGACTCATAAATTTCAGTGAGATCAATTACCAGGTGACATCTGTGAGTCAGGTCAACTATTTAGTTAGGTGTAAGTATCACACAATTCAAATAGTTCAGTCTCCTAGCTTATACTGTAAGCAGGCAAGGGGTAACTTAATTGAAGTCTATAAACACCTCAGAGGACATTACTCAGTCGCGTGTCCATACTTGGAGCTGGCGGATGCCCACCACACTAGAGGTCACAGCTTAAGGTTGAGGAAACCACGTTAAAAATATTCTGAGGGCAAATTTTACTAAGAAATAATAAACAAAATAAGCAATGATAGAAAAGCCTGACTGACCTGTAAACCTTGTCTGGCTGGCACCTGTGTTTTGGGCCATAGTTTGTCCTGATTTAGGATTCTGCCGCTTGGTACTTATGTGAGCTTATTTCTTAAGGATGATTGCATCTTAATTTATGTTAGTGAAGTTTGCGATGTAGCTCGTATAATGTTGTGTTGACTTGTATTTCTTGTGGTAGAGCACCGGACACGGGTCTTCTCTGCTGTACTGGAGATGTTAAGATGGTTCGCTGGGAAACAGATTAGGAATGCTGCGGTAAGTTACTGGCTTGTTGGGAGGGTGTGGCTCGGTGAGGGAGGGTGTGGTGTTTGGTGACGGGGAGTAACATGTTGTACTGTACTTGGTGAGACAGGCTATACATCTTTCACTTTTAATTCCTAAGTACAGATCAAGAAATAATTTACAAATATAGTCCACCAAGATGAAGTACAATACTAGTTTGTTGATGTACTTATTTAAATAACTTTAAGTGAAAGAGTCATTTTAAATTTCATGGACGAGAGAATGAGTAGTAGTGTTTATATATATTATTGTTAGTTAACTTCTTTCATTAATGAGTACTACAGTATTTCTTTTTCACCTGTGGGATTAGCACCATAGAGTTATTATTACAGTGAATATCTTTCTGATTTTGCTGTCATGTTTATTGCAGGCTATTGGTGGAAACATCATGACTGGCTCTCCCATCAGCGACCTCAACCCTCTGCTCATGGCTGCTGGGGCTACACTAACTCTGGGCAGCCAAGGTTGACATCACACTAAAACAAATGATAAATATGTTTATTGTTATACATTGTTTCTGATACAGTATAGTTTAGAGTTAACCTTTACCTTCTTTGTAATCACAGACAAAATTATGCATCTATGTACAGTACTGTAATATCTGTCTTAATATCCTCATATACAATAGATAAACTTCCCAGTGTTTTTGCTTTCACCGTCAACATCTTTCAAAATGTCAAATCATTGTTATCATTTCACTACAAAACATACAGTAAATGTGGTAGTCAAGTAATGAGCTATGTGTCGTGTGGGCAGGTGGAGGTGAGCGGCAGGTGGTGATGGACCAACATTTCTTCACTGGATACCGACGCAACATTGTCAAGCCCGAGGAGGTGTTGCTGTCGGTCCACATCCCCTACACCCAGCAGGTAGGGGTCTGTGTGTGTGTGTGTGTGTGTGTGTGTTTGCAGATTAATTTTTTTTCTGAATTTGAACTTGAATTTAATAATTTTCATAGTACGTAACGTTTTTTTTGGGGGGGAGTTTAACAATAATTGACAATAATTAATATTCTTGTTTTCACCATCACCTTCATCACACCTTGTGTCTGCTGATATATTCAAGTGTCTCATAAGGGTGTCATACTCTATGCCTTCCCAAGATAATAGTAAGTCCCTCTCTTGTGCCTCCTCAAACATTCACTTGTCGCTCATGTCTCCTCATTCTCTTGTGTCATTTGACCCTCAACATTTGCCAACGTGTGCCCCTCATCATACCCATTAGTCCCTTACCCCATACATACTACACTCATGAATTCCTCCTCTTACTCAGGATGAATACTTCTTGGGGTATAAGCAGGCAAGACGTCGGGATGATGACATAGCCATTGTTAATGCTGGCTTCAGAGTTAGGGTACGACCAGGCTCAGGTGAGGTGACTCGGCTGGATATGGCATTTGGTGGCATGGCTCCCACCACTGTGATGGCCCTCAATACCATGAAGGTAAGACACTACCTCTGGCAGAGTGAAAATGTCTCAGCAGTTGAGTGATTTGCAAGAGGTGATTTAACAAATATGTTCAGCATTGAGCTCAACATTTCCAGTAAACCTGTAGACCATCTGGAACTAAACAATGTTATATGTAAAATAATGTAACATGAATGAGACTGAGAATTATCACACAATATCGAATCATATTATATTGTTTTATGTAGTACACTCACCCAGTAACAGGTGGCACTGTAGTAAAATTTGGGGACCTTTCTAAAAATAATGGGAATGTGTGTCAGTTGAGCTTCCTTATTAGATAATCCTTGGTTCAGCCATATTATTTACTGTACAAAAAAGCATATTCTAGGTACCTTACTGAGACTCATTAGCAATTAAGGTTTTCTTACCTTCCTTGTCAGCCTTGTCCTTAACTTTCTTAACGTCCACTTCATCCTCCAAAGGACTAAAAGAGTTATTACACTTTGCTGCTATATTGGCCTTCCTCACCACCTTCCACTGGTCTGTGTTGTCGTCAAACACAGACTCTCCCCATCTCGCATCTTCCTCCTTCAGCCTCACAGTCTCTTCCATGAGCCACACAGTTTTGCTCCTGACCTTCTCAAGCTCAGCCTTCAGAGGCACAGAACTGTTCCCAGCTAGCACTAAACATGGTAACACTGCTTCCCTACAGGAGCTGGTGGGCCGGTTGTGGGATGCATCACTCCTGGAGGCTGCCACCTCACTCCTGCTCCAAGACCTACCACTCTCTCCCTCAGCCCCAGGTGGAATGGTGGAGTACCGACGCGCTCTCACTCTCAGGTAAGTCTCAACATCCCTACACTGATGTCCTTTTGGGGTCAAACAGTGTTAACCCCATGCTGTAGTGTTGTGGTGCTATGCTGTAGTGTTGTGGTGCTATGTTGCAGTATTGTGATGCTATGTTGCAGTATTGTGATGCTATGCTGTAATGTTATAGTGCCATGCTGTAGTGTTGTGGTGCAGCCTGTAAATGCTTTTTGACAAAAATTTGTGATTTTCAGATTCCTTACACTTGAAACCTGTACAGGTCCAGCACTTGCCAACAGTGTGTAACAGATACATGACCGATGAGCTGAAATTATAATTGTTTGTTAAAGATTGTCACAATATAAAGGATAATGTAATATTTTAAGATATGACAACAGTTTGTTGGATATGTAGTGTTGAAAGAACATTTACATTTAGATTGTGTCACAGGGCTGTCCAGTGACCTCTCTAATACCAATGTTGTGGGAGGAAAATTATGAGAATTTTGTATTCTTTTCAGTTTTTTCTTTAAATTTTACTTGAGTGTGAGAGGGTGGCTGAGTGAGCGGCTGCCACAGCAGGTGGCGCCGCTGACGAAGGAAGAAGAACTGGCCACCCAGATCCACCGCCACACTGCACCCTCAAGCACACAACTCTTCCAGAAGGTAAGTGTTAATGGACATTAGGGAGGAGTGGTAATTTTGTTGTAGCAGTACAGTACAGTCTCAGCTCATTAAGATTTTGTTTGATTTATTATTAATAAAAAGTTAAACTACTGCCGAGCATCCACATGGTATGGTAGTGAGTTGGAGGTCCAGCGGGTGAAGGAGGGGCATCTGGACCCTACAGTGTACCTGGTGGTTGCTATTTCAATCCTGGAGCACTCCCAGTCCACCCAGCTGTAAATAGGTACCTAACTATACAAGTTGGAGACATGAAATCAGTCAACTACAGTGCTGGTGTAGTAGTCTGAGAGCTTCCCAGTCTCACTGTTCTCGTTGCCAATAATGTTCACGAGTGAAAAAAATTCAAAATTCAGCCAGGCTGAGAGCTGCCCTCATTCCTAGCTTTGTTAATGCTTTAATGCTTTGGTATCATATATTCAGCCTCATAATACATACTGTACTGTGTTTAATTTGTAAATGTAAATATTGGGACCAGTTTGACATTTGCCAATTTTTATTTATTTTTTTGCAAAATACTGTACTTATTCACAAATGTTGAACAAAGGAATAAATATGTTTGAGACAGACATTCATAATCCCAGACAAGAATTCTCTCTCAGAATCAAATACAGCTCCTCCCCGACTTACGACCTACTCGACTTACGACCACCCTAACATACGACCGCCTCAGTCGTACCAAAAATTTTTCAGATTACGTATTTTCGAGTCCCAACGTCAGTGATTGCGCTGTGTACTGACAAAATTTTTGTTTGTAATTCACTTTAAAATGGCTGGCAAGCTTAAAAGTGATGATTTTGTGGTGCTGAGAAGAAAAAACACCCATTTTAGATTTTCTATGTATTAACTAAGCATTATTTAATTACGACCATTTCGACTTACGACCTGGATTTGAGTCCCTAACCCCGTTGAAAGTCGGGTAGCAGCTGTATCATATCTCAGTGTCTTAATGAAAGGATGTTTAAAATATTCCCAAATTTAACAGGTTCCTCCAGGACAAAGCCCTGTGGATCCCATAGGGCGGCCCATAACACATACCTCCGCTCTGAAGCAGGCTACCGGGGAAGCAGTGTATGTGGATGACATGCCCACCTTCTCTAACGAGCTTTATGCTGCCATGGTCCTCTCTACTCGTCCTCATGCCAAAATCCTCAACATTGATGAGTCTGAAGCTCTTAAAGTGGAGGGCGTAGAGAGAATCTTCTGTGCCCGGGACCTCCCAGGTGAGTTGATGTTCGATGGGCTGAAAGGAAAGACATGTATATCATGTTCATTAGTTTTATACAAACATTTTTGGGCCTACAAGGAATTTATTGATAAGATTTTCAGGATTATGTCAAGAGAGATTAGAGAATACTGTACTGTGAAATCTTTATGGATCACATGTTTCTGGATCACTGCTGGTTTCATAAGGACAACAGTCATTTTCACGATGGCTATCAAGGTTATCACAAACAAGAGTAAAGAGCCAATTGCTAAGTGAAGGCAAGACTGGGGAGCCAAGAGAAAGCAAAAATGCCAGTCATTAATTGGCTTATATACCATGGCCAAGATGCCACTGAGATAACACATGCTACCTCGTACTGTACTGTATGTCATTTCAGTGCCAGAGCAGCAATAAGCAGGCAATAAGTCAGTGAGTGGGAACCACACAAGATATACAGTACTGTACCTGTGTATGTATTTATTGGGCTGCTTATATTCACACTTAAACATATACTGTACTATTTTTTAATTTGTATTGATCCAGTTGTTTGTACAATATTTTGTTGTATAATATTGTACTGTATTAGCACTGGGAGATCATAATTACACGTTTAAGATAAAAATTTTTGCAACAATCCTTAGGAAGAATTTGATGTACCTCTACAATGTCATGAATGTTAGTGATGAAAGATATACCAGTAATTAGCCATGAAAAGTCTTTGGAGGTATGTGCATATGGTAGTTTTGACTCATTATAATTTCATCCCAAACTACATAATCTCTTTCTTTTCCAATACTAAACTATGATGTTTTTTCTCACTAAAATACAGTACAGTATTTTCATGATTTTTTAGTTATGTAGTTAATAAGTACAGTACAGTATTCAGAAGTTTGATTATGGCACAGTACTTAGGTATCATGACTAAAAATATATCCATGTAAGAGTTCAAGTCTAGAAAGTTGGAAAATGACTGCTGTTGAACCAAATAAAATCTTCCTATTATTAAGAGCTTTGATTGGTGTTTGTTATATCCTGAGGGATGGTGGATGTAACCTTATAATCCATCAGGGTTACACCGTGTTCTGTTTATTTATTTGTACTACTGTGTACTTATTTTATTCAACACAGGGGAGAGGAACATAACTGGCTCTGTGGTCCCGGACGAGGAAGTGTTTGCGTCAGAGAAGGTGACGTGTGTGGGGCAGCTTGTGGGACTGGTGGTAGCCAAGGATCGGGCCACTGCACAAAGGGCATCCAAGCTGGTCAAGATACACTACCAAGATATTGAGCCAGTCATCATCACCATTCAGGTATCCTTTCATGGACATTTAAATGAAAATTATAAACGGTAACAAAATACTGTACTTGAAACTTTCAATCAATAAAACAACCTCATAACTTAATCTTTTTGAAGAATAGTTAGATATGAGGTTGACAATAGTCTTGTGAAATATATTGAGGAAATGCTGTATATTAGTATTTATTCATCATTACAGTAAACTCCCTCTATGTCATGGTAATGTGCTATGATAGTGTCCACACCATACCTGAATATGTTACTCGAGGATCTGGATCATATGGAAAAATCCTGAGTCTCTTTCCAAGATTAGGAAATCCTTGATATTGGTGATACTTACTGTATGACTGTAGGGAAAATTTGGATTACTGTCCTCGGCTGACATCTTAATTTCATCTCCAAATTGGTGTTCAATGAGTGTACTGTAGTATAGATCTAGTATGCACTGCCTACTCCACCCAAGACAGCTTGCAAATCATTAAAAACACCCATTATTGCACAAGACAAAACATAGTAAAAATTATCGCCACAGGGGCTGAGGTTTGGTTAAGTTTATAGTTCACTGGGACTGGTGAGGTATGAAATGAGGTGGTGAATGATCAGGTCAGGTCTGTAGAGGTGGTGTTCCCACTCACAAGGTGGAGTTGGACCACTAGTGAGGCACAGTACTGTATTTCACTGTACTGCATTGCAGAGTTATAGGTGTGTGTTAGACAGAGAGGAGTTAGCATACAGTATTGTAAGTGTGTGTGTGTGTGTGTGTAGTTGCATATACTGGTTTGTATTGGTCTCTGGAAGAGTGGTGCCTTGTTGAATTTAGTGAATTTAAATTTGTCAAAATTTCACAGGATGCCATCCATGAGAAGTCATGGTGGGAGCCGTGCACAATATGCAATGGTGATACAGAGGCGGCATTCAGTACCTCAGATCACATCCTGGAAGGTGAGATGCATTTGGGAGGGCAGGAGCATTTCTACCTGGAGACCAATGCTCACCTTGCTGTACCTAAATGTGAAGATGGGGAGCTTGAGCTATTTTCATCCTCTCAGAACCCCACTAAAACACAGGAACTGGTTGCCAAGGCCCTGAATGTTCCAAATAACAGGATAGTTTGTCGGGTGAAAAGAATGGGTGGAGGATTTGGTGGCAAGGAGACACGAACAAGTGTTGTGTCTGTCCCCATCAGTGTGGCTGCTGCTGCGTGAGTAACATTTTTATAATCAGTTTAGTTCCTTTCCTTTTTCTTTTCCATCAAGTGTCACAAGTCATTGATATGAACTTTTCCATTTCTGAAATACATTACAGTACTATTATAACCAATCTGTTTCATACTCACTCTCGTCCCTCTCTGATACTTACTACAGTACACAACTCAGTCTCTACTTTTATCCTGAGATTCACCCCCTCATTTTCAGTCACTAATCACCATATTTTATCTCTCAGTATCATGTTTGGCAGGCAGGATTTATGAAAATGTTTAACTGAAGAAATAATATTTTCAATCAAATGCTACATAATTTTTCATTCATGATAGTATATTTTTCTTCATATTGTGGGTTTATCAAGAGCACTACTTAAGTTAGTACTGTATTATACATTACCCAACTTCCATGTGTGCTTTTGTGCAGGTTGGGTCGTCCGGTACGTATCATGCTGGACCGGGACGAGGACATGGTTATCACAGGCGGCCGACACCCATTCTTGTGCCGTTGGAAAGTTGGCTTCACCACCCAGGGGAAGTTCCGTGCTTTGGAGGTGGACATCTACAACAATGCTGGCTGCTCCCTTGATCTCTCAGTTTCAGTTCTTCACAGGGCCATGTTCACCCTCGATAATGCCTACAAGTTTGTATAGACATTAGTTCTTTATAGATGCTTAAGAGATACAGTACAGTTTTGTGTGTATTTAGACAGATCTTATTAATCATTATAAGTGGTTAAAGCTTGTCCAGATCTATTAACATTGATATGACACTATCTTATGACAGAATCCATGAGATTTATTTTACTTTTTCTACAGCAGGAGAATATCAATGTACTATATTGTTTAAAAGCTTTATCGGAATACTCACGCTTATAATATATACAAGCAGTAGTTGTCGAGTCACTGGGTTATCTACAAATGATTGGAATTTCACATGACTGCATGTCCCTTGAGTTATGGAAGCTTGATTTTTGGGTATTTGTATTAAAAGAATCTGAAAAATAGTGAAGAGCTTTGAGATATGGAAGGAAAGGTCATGTTAATGGAATTTTACAGAGTTTGAAAAATGTGGAAAAAATTTATAAATCTCACCAACCTGCAATATTTCACACATTTCACACAACATAAAATTAAATACATTATACTGTATGAAGCTATTCAGTGTACATGTAATCTAAAATGATGTATAAATTTAAAGTGTTATAGATACCTTGACTGACAGGGACGGTACAGGAAGGCTGACATAGAGCTGGATGGGTAATGAATGATGAGAACAGTTTAAGAACCTTCAAACTAACCTAATTATGGCTTATGTTTTTAAGAATTGGCCCCAAGGTATTTCTTCCAAAAATTTTCATTAAAAACAGAAATAAAATGATACCACAACTGTTATAAACAAGCCATACCCTCACAGGACACCCCAGCAGGTAAACCCCCCCCCCACTAAACCCATCATTAGTGCCCTCCAGTGACAGGTGTTTTGACTAAGTACAGTATAGCACAAACATCAGTAATTACTATGAATGGGTCTTTGGAAAGGTGTGTGTAGAGGTGGATGAATTTGTCTATCATAAGCTGATGGACCTGTTACTAAAACACCTGGGATCCATTGCAGTTTTATGATGTGGTATTTTGTTCATCAGGTGGGGGGTGGTGAGGGTGACAGGGTACGCATGCAAGACCAACCTCCCCTCCAACACTGCCTTCAGGGGCTTTGGTGGTCCCCAGGGTATGATGTTTACTGAAGACATTGTGTCAAGAATTGCTGCCTTCCTCAATCTCGACTACGTCCAGGTTGGTGATTGGAATATATTTTTTTTTATATTAGGGTATCTTGTTTTCAGATGAAAGAAGTCAATGACTTGTTTAATCCCCCAATTTTTCAGAGGAATTTGCCCTTCACGGTACATTAATGGAATAGGAAGAAACTGGAATACCTTGAGAAAACATATGAATGGTAGATGAATTCTTAGGTAAACAATAAGGGGGAGAATTTAACCAAATTCAGGTCCTTTTGCATGAGATAACACTATTTTACTATAACAGGTCGCTGAACAGAACTTGTATGAGAGTGGTGATGTGACACACTTCAACCAGGTGATGGAAAACTGCACTGTCCGCCGCTGTTGGGAGGAAGTCCTCACACAGTCCAAGTACCACCCCCGTACTGCTGCTGTCCACCAGTTTAACAAGTGAGATCACTTCCTGATCTACTGCTGTGTATGCTGTAGTTTCTATAACACTTCTTTTTTTTTCACATTCTAAATACAGAAGGCAATGCAACCACTAGGGAGGGGCCCTCCATCATATAATATAATTTTTATTTAGCGCCTAATTGTAGCTTTTGTGTATGATTTGGTGGACTCAAGTCACACTTGATACCCCCACCCCTACACTTCTGCCTTCACCCATACACGTCCTCAGTATCAGCTGAGCCATTATGGTACATCACTTCCCGTGGTAGTGGTGGTGCAAGGTGTAAGATTATTGAAAGGACAAAAGTATCCATGAAACATAAACTGCAAGAAGATTATCAAAGTAGTAGGGATGAGAGTGTGGATGACCCAAAGGTGTGTGTATCATGGGGTGGTAGGAGGAAGTAAGCTCTCCACCCTCTGCTGCAAAGAGAAAGTGATGTTAGTATATACTGTAGTGTGGTGGAGGAGATGGAAGAAGAGGAGGAGGAGGAGGAGGAGGAGATGCCTTGTGATGTCACTTTTCATCCCGTTGGACTGATGCGAAAGATTTTAATTCAGACATTCATGATTTTCTTCACCTTGGAACATCTATTAAAAACAGAACATACATTTATCCATGTAACTTTCTAAGAATAGATATAGAAAATGTGTAAATTAATGATGAATAATTTTACTCCCATAGAGAGAACAGATATAAAAAGCGAGGGATATCATTAGTACCAGTAAAATTTGGGATTTCCTTCACTGCCACATTCCTGAACCAGGCCGGGGCTCTAGTGTGTGTCTACATTGATGGCTCAGTGCTTCTGTCTCATGGAGGTACCGAGATGGGCCAGGGACTCCACACCAAGATGATACAGGTACAGTGCAGTAATGGTCAAGCCTGGAGCACAGGTGAGGCTTGGAGGCTCATTTCCACTCCTTCCCCTCAAATTTAGTGATAAAAGAATGATTGAATGACATCTGTGTGATTCTTTCTCTCTTTTAGCTGCTAGTAGCATCTGAGGTGTTATTCTGTTCTGTAAATACAGTTTGTACAGCTGTACCACTTCTTCCACCCTCAAACTGGAGAAGACTAAGGCAGAGATAGACTGCTTTGAGAGGCACAAGGAACTAAGGTTTACTACTGTATACCAGATGGTAGTTGCCACTTTTGGCTCCAAGCATTTTGTAATTGTGTTTCTTGGGCTGCCGATTGGTTCAGTAAAGTTCATACTGATACATAATATATTTTGATGGAAGTTGCAAATCCTATTAATGAAATATTAGTAATAAGTGTACCTTTTTATATTACTATTATTATTATTATTGTTATTATTATTATTATTATTATTATTATTATTACAGTATTATTATTATTATTATAATAATTATTATTATTACTGTATTAACATAAGAAAATTATTTATCATCTAGAAAATAGGCTAAAGCTGCTGCTGTGGTTTCTTGAATTGTATCAGAATAAAATTATTATTAATGTCTATGATGATTGATCACATCGCACTTGAACGATTCCCATTTGGACGATCGTTTATTTTATGCAATTTAATGTAACGTAACGTAACCTAACTTAACCTGGTCAATTAACTAAGATGGTAAGAATTGCAGGTATATAATTTCCAAAGTACAGTAGTACCTAGACAGTGTAGGTATACAAACAATGTTAAACAGCAATGCAATGCAGCCAAAGAAAGCCAACAAAGTCATCAGATGCTGGGATCAACTTGTTCTCAGGTGTATGTGGTAATCTACAAGTAAGAGTACAGTACTAGGACATCTGTTTTTGTGTACTTTACTCTTCATTTATTTTTAGAATCACATGGTCCAGTTTCCCGCTGAATCTTACATAGGGTGAGTTGTATCTTTAATTGATGATGTCTTTAACAGGTGGCATCAAGGGTACTGAAGATCCCGACTGAACAGATCTACATAGCCGAGACATCCACAGACAAGGTCCCCAACACATCCCCCTCTGCTGCCTCTGCCTCATCTGACCTCAATGGCATGGCTGTGTTGGTGAGTGTTTACTGCCGCCACTCAAGTCTTTCAAAGAATACCAATGTTTAGATTAAACATTTGAAAGTACAGTAGTATGATTTGTATTTTTTTTTTAATATAGAGACTATATCATTACCATACTGATTTATCTGTAACTCTTAGGATGCCTGCACAAAGATCATGGAGCGGTTGCAGCCTTACATAGAAAAAAATCCTAAAGGGACTTGGAAGGAATGGATCAAGGGAGCTTACTTTGATCGTGTATCTCTCTCTGCCACAGGCTTCTACAAGTGGGTGTTATTACATATTAAATAAAATGTTAGTTTGGGGATATATTAAATGCAGCTGTGACTCTTTGTTCCTAGATTCAGAATCATCACTGTTTTTTTTTCAGATTTACCGTACTGTTGTCACCAATCTCATCCAGTCATCATTTACATCTTGTCCCCCCAAAAAAAAAAATTTATATCTAGCCATCAGTACAGTACTGCCTTTTATCCTGCAGCACATACTTATGGCTGTTATTTACAAGAATAGATGGTACATTTACAAATTTGAAGTTTAGAAATGTTTTTTAGGGAGTTTAACCCTTCTGTCAATCAGGATCTACCTGTGGTATCCTGAGTTAATATTACCACATTTTCCAACTCAAAACAAATACTTGATTGTGAGAACTGTATACCTTATGGATAGACTGGTAGCCATGCAGCTAACTCTATAGATAGAAATCACAAGAGCTTCAAGAAAAATTCTGCAAACAGTAGGAATATTCAGGCAGCACAAAACTTATCACTATTTTCAAATATATACACTATTTACATGTACTTCTACTAAATTTAGAACTTCTTGATCATGTGGAAGTCTTTGTAGCACAGAATGCACAAGGCAACTCCGCATTCCTTACATCAAGTCACCATATCTTTGCGACGTGATTCAAAGTGGCTGGCAGGGTGGGGAGGGGGAAGAGAGCACCAGTCTGTAGGCCTATCAGTGTCCTCACCTCCTTGACATCATCTGGGTACTGTTTCCTCCTCATCATTGTCTTCATCACCCGATACTATATCAATGCCACTCAAATCAAGGAACTATTGATGAAAAGTACTATTGTCAAGCAAATGCCTTCGCTTGTGCTTGGGTGTGGAGGAGTGAGGTGGGTCATAAGAGACGTCTAAGGATATGCATTCCTCACAGTATCTAGTGTGTAACTGACCATGAGGCACGAGTCTTGAAACAAATACATGTGAGTTGAGTTGCCAATTACACAAATATCCCATCCAAAGTATTTTCTCCCACCTGGACATTCAAAAGATGTCGCGAAAATTAAGAAAGTTCAGGAACGTCACCCGGGGTTTAAGGTTTAATCATCTGTCTGAACTCTCATGGTTGCCAGGCTCAAACAAAACTGGGCAGAGCTTAGTTGATGGGTCAATTTTTAAGCCCTGAACTTACTCTGCATCCAATTTTGAGGTTTTCTTTGTGTACAGGCATCCCTCACTATACGTATGGGTTAGGTTCCTTGAAAACTATTTTAGTGAATATTTGTATAGTGAATAACATAGCATATGGAAAAAATAGGATTCAGTTCCCCAAAGACAAGAAAACCCCAATACATTATACAGTACACCCAAAAATTTAATTGGTTCTCAGACAAAAACTAACTTCCTAACTACTGCAATTTAGTGCCTAACACATTAAAGAATTAATAAAATATAAATTTGGTAAATTACCTTAAGGGACCATCATACGTGTAAAAGAGAATAGCTTTTGTATAGTAACAAAGAGGCGTAAGAACAGAATATTAGTAGAGTGAATGTTTGTATAGTGAGGGACACATGTACATGCTTAGCATTTTTATTATTACAGGACTCCTAATATCTCAGGCTACAACTTTGAGAGAAATGAAGGTCGACCATTTAACTACTTTTCATATGGAGCAGCAGTGACGGAGGTGGAGGTGGACTGCCTGACGGGCGATCACTCGGTAAGTCCTCAATGGCAACTGAAGTAGTGCTTGCCAGTAGCCAGTCTGGTCCAGTTAGATAAAGGTGGGTGACTTAGCTAACTGTTAGCACATATATAATAATGTGTACATAGTAATACTTCTGTACTCCGATGATGCTTGGTATGTACCAATTTCATTTTCTTTTACTTGTCACCAGAATGATTATGTTCTCTCAGACCAACATTTGATGTCCTTTATGTATGTCCCCCTCCCTCTTAGGAAATACCTAATGCTACCCATGTACAGTATTTATATTTAAGTAGTTGTCAGATATTTTTATGCTATTTGGAAATATATTATAGGCAGAGGGGGAGTGTTAGGTGGTATGAATGATGAGTTCGGGGGTGGGGGTATTCTAGCTGCTGGCTACACCCTCGTTCATTCCTTTCAAAAATTACAATCAAATTCTCTTCTGTTACAAACAAAATTAAGCATACAATATACTGACCAAAACTGTTAGACATATGAGACAATGTTGCCTATGGAACATGTTACAATCAAGATATTACTCACTTCATGTCAACGTCACAAGTACTGTATGCTGTATAGCTCTATATCCCCCCTTGACCAGGTGCTGCGGACGGACATTGTGATGGACGTTGGGGACTCTCTCAACCCAGCCATAGACATAGGACAGATTGAGGGAGCCTTCACACAGGGTCTTGGTCTCTACACCATGGAGGAGCTGTGTTACTCCCCAGAAGGTGTTCTCCTGACCCGGGGTCCTGGAACCTACAAAATACCTGGTAAATTACGGTAGCTCGTGTTCCCACACTTTCAGGTGCAAGAAACTGATCTTAACATTACTGTAGTATACTGATATGTTATCTACTAAGCTACATTCTGAACTTCACTGATACTGAATGTGGAGCATTCTTATTCTAAAATTATATCCACCTAACTTTGAACTAGAATCATTCTTGAATGAAAGTAACCTTATTACAGTTATTCTACTACAGACGTAATCTTTGGATTACATCCATTCTTCATCTACACTGACCTTTAACCAGGCAGCTGTACTGTATTAATATAAAATGACTTAGTACTGGGTACTCGAGTTCTTTAAAAGGGTCTTGTTAAAGCCATAACTGCTCAGTGAGTACTGTACTCGCTTACCCAGGCACGGGTTTCACTATAAATTTGTGCCTGAAAATGGAACAAGTTGACCAACTGTAGCCTCATTTTCCGGTTGATATTCCAGGGGGATGAGATGGCTCACAGTGACTGACTATCCTTGGGTCTGCTTTATTCTTTAGAAGCTCGACCATTGTCTACATTTATGATAAACAGGGATCGGTCATGTCTGTATGTATTGTATAAACATAACTGTCATCTGACTGCACTGTAAATAGTATTGTAGATAGACTAAATAACTTGGCTGCTGATAATGAAATGTTTTAGAAATATTAAAAAGTTTTATATACAAACACTTTTCTCAGCAAAAAAGGAGATTTTACAACTCTTGTTAAGATCCATCAACCTGATATAGTAAGTGTTCAGAAGCTGTGGTATCAAAACAAGAGGAGTAATGTGGATAAACCTGACCCAGATATTGATGGTTACGATGCATTTACAAACTTGTTCTTGAGGCCTTTTTTTCATTTTAACTGTGTTAGACCAGTAGAGGTACATGTGATGTGCCCCCTGACTAGTGAGGGCCTTCTTACCTGAAGCCCACCACTACTTTTAACACGTAATTTATGGCGCATAGTAATTGATGAGATTTTCAGTGTCATTCAGTAATCTAATACAGTGTATGACTTGTTTGGTTTATCCATAGGGTTCCAAGACATACCAAAGGAATTTAATGTTTCCCTTCTGCGAGGAGCACCTAACCCGAAGGCAGTATTTTCATCCAAGGTAAGATATCCCCCAGCTGTTCCTTATCTGCTACTTACAGTTGTATACAGTCCTGTATTTTGAAAGATTCCACTGGCAATTTTATTTTTGTTTCTGATGCTGGTCACATCTTCCATTATCATTTCTAATTCCTGCTTGATTAGGTTTGAAGTAGCACGCACAATATCAGTAATTTCTGTTGGTTCTTATACAGCTAGAAGAGCTCCATTGAGAACTTATCCTTTATAAAACAAGATTAGAAACTTGATAGATTAAATACTACTACTGTACTGTACTGTACTATACTTTGCAGGCTGTTGGAGAGCCGCCTCTCTTGTTGGCTGCTTCAGTGTTCTATGCTATCAAACAGGCAGTGGGAGCAGCTCGGGCAGATCAAGGTCTTCATCCTGTCTTCCAACTGGACGCTCCTGCCACAAGTGCTCGAATTCGTATGGCCTGCCAGGATTTCCTTACTAAGAAGGTAAACTACAAAAGATTCTGGGGACGGTGATCCAGCTGTACCTCATTAATTCTATTGTAACTATCTCAAACTTTTTTTATACTGTTTGTAATTATACATATGAGACATGTCACCAGTGGGCTTCAGTGACTAGCTTGAGAGGTAGAGGTTATGAGAGGTATACTGTATATGAGGGGAATGTTCATCAGCTGTGGAAATTTATATTTAATGGATTGTGCTTTCTCTGAGCCAAGACTACCACCTATAGGGATTTTCTTTGCCTTGAGAACTGTAGGCCTCTGTGCCTGGTGTAGGTGGCAGGGACTTTACTTATTATCAGACCTCTTACTAGATGTAATTTCATTAAGTACTAAGATCTGGAAAGCCCTTGTGCCCTAGTGTCAATACAGTATATTATTATTTAAAAGTCAACTCAGATGTCCTGCAGTTCTTGACCTTTATGGCACCCTCGCACCCAGTGATGCTGACTGTAAAAATTTATTTATTTATTTTTTATTTAATAATTTCCCCCATCTCATCTCGGCAGTTTTTGGTATCCCTATGTGCTGTCTTTAAAGTAGCTATTCCTTCCCACAATTGACCTCCCTATGAATGGTGGATCACTTATGCAATTAGTCATTAAAAATCCTTTCTTTGAATGTTCTGAATCTCTTCCAATGTGAACTCCTGGAATGCATCTTTCTTCAACAAGATAGCTCTGGCCTTGGTGGGGTTCTGACTGTTTTATATAAAGTTACCCGGGAACATTATTTCTCCACAGATTGAGTCAGCAACTCCTGGAACCTTCAAGCCTTGGTCAGTGATAGTGTAGGAGGAGACCCCAAGAGGAGGAGCTGGTTGTTGAAGAGAAGCTCAAATGTACTGTTCTGTATATTACAGATCTCAAGTTGTAAATGGCTCAAATACTACTATAAGTCGATCTCATCTTGTGCAGGCAGTATGTCATCTCTTCATGGTAATCAAAGATGTGAGACAGATCAAAATGACTGTGAGATCTCTTTTCTGTGTTGTTATTTTTTCTCTGGATACAGTAAATCAAGCAGTGAAGTTTAGAAAAATGGTTGAATCTCATGGCTTAGATTTTCAGTGAGGGACAGTATTTGCAGTACTGTACACCCTATTACCTGTCACATGTTACCAACCTTTACCTACTCTGTACATAATCTAATATGAATAGTTACCTTCTATGTACAGCATTAGTTCCCCTGATTCTATTTTCTTCATTTCAAAAGTGATATGCCAGTTGCTCTTCATTCTTCCATACAAATATTTACAGACCTGGATGTATACATATCACGCTGTGACGGTCACGGGCAGAAATGGTAAATGTTGGAAAAATTACCACAAACTGGACGGCTAAATTTTTTTTTTTTTTTAAGATAGACGATATAAAACAACAATACAAAATACACGTATAACATAATTAAAAGCTGATTTAGGATTTCAGTATTGGATTAGTTTTAATTAGGATAACATTTGTTTATGTCTTACGAAGAAAAACAAATGATTTGGTAATAATGTTCGTAATCCCATTTAACATTGTATGTCTCATTAAGTTCACCTGTGCTTCAGCCATTCAAAAACACCGAATCAACTGCAATTCGGTAACGTTCTGCTGCATGACCTTAACAAACAGTTAAACCACTATACATTGTAGTCGCATGATCAGGCCAAATTTGTTTACTTGCAACCCATTCCTTTAAATTTACTCTTGTCTTTGAGAGAATTAAAGAACTCAATTACAACACACTGAAACACATCCAAATAAGGCCCACGTCTCTCTCTCTCACAGTGGTATGTTGTGGATCAGTTCAGAGTAATGACATCCTGGCCAGAATCATAACACAAGGCTGTAACAAAAGATTAATGTCCCAATAAGACATCAAACAACAACTGGGAATTTTTTTTATCTAGCAACATTTACTAACATGAATTAGGAGCCAAAATTAATATTTGGGTAATTATTCGGATAATGACCGTCAGCTGCTTTTCATTGAGAATGGGTTAAAGAATACCCAGTTTTCACCGATTTTATTAGGGGATACTGTACTGTATTATGTTGGGATAAAATATAAAAATGGCTGAAATCATGTGCTAACCTAACCAAACCTAAGGAACTCTACCCTAACCCAACCTATATATTAACTCACCTATATGTAGAAAACTAAGCATTTACACAAGAAAATCACTAGAAATAAAAGTACACTACTGTAATCTGCATACAAAACTGTGTCTAAAAACACCCTCTATAATTACCGAACTGCTGACGGTCACCAGTTGTGCATTAGCTGTTATTTGTAGTAGTACTGTATGTCCCTTGGTTATTATACAGTACTGTATAACCAGTGGCGGCTCGTGAAAAATAAAATGGAGGGACTGCAAGCCTCACACCGAGTCCCCACCAAACAATAAGCATGGAAAGCAGAATAAAGTATTTGCCTCGTCACAACCACAGAGCCATTCACATTTCTGATAAACACTGATGTTAAACTGGCGTGTATATTCTTTGTTCCTGCTTGTACTGTTCTGAAATTCCATGCTTATTGTTTGGTGGGGACTCGGTGTGAGGCTTGCAGTCCCTCCATTTTATTTTTCACGAGCCGCCACTGGTTATAACAACACCGTGACATTTATACAAATACACTATACAAATAACAATTCTAAACACTGTTACCAAGTGCATTATATATATATATATATATATATATATATATATATATATATATATATATATATATATATATATATATATATATATATATATATATATATATATATATATATATATATATATATATATATACACACACCCTCGCTTTACGCGGTTTCACTTTACGCGTTTCTACATTTACGCGGTACCCTGCCAGAACCGGAATTCCCACTTTACGCGGTGCATCTACTCATATACGCGGGTGAAGTATAATTTTTTTTTTTAGCTCATAAAATTCATACAAATTATCCGGCCAGAGTATAATTTACATTGCTGGAATTCTTACAATTTGATGATCATTTTGAATATACGCATCATAGATTTTGCATTAGACATACAAATTTTAGATCTAATGCAAGTATTTTGTTTACTCAGAGCAAATATGTTATCTTTTGTGCAAAATATATGAAGTGTATATTCAAAATATTCCTGGTCTTGCAAGGAATCCAGCAATGTCAATTATATTATCCTAACTTTAGTTTGAGGTATTATTTATTACTATATCTTAAAATCTAGTGGTTTTCCCCCAAACATTTCTCAGAGAGGGAAGAGCCATGAGTGTGAGAAGAGGGGGCGGGAGTTGAGTCCATTATTTGAATGGACATTAACTTGGCGACTGTATTTCTCTATTTCTCTTAAGTAATAATTGTGTGCATGTACCATCATAAAATTAAGATGTTATTTTTACTAGAACATAGGTATTGTGTCGGAAAAAGTGGAGTTTGGGGGTCAGCCGGTCTCTATTTCATTTAATCCCATATGTTATGTTGTTCACTTTCCACGTTTCTCGCTTTACGCGGGCCTCCGTGGGTTCAATTGACCGCGTAAAGTGAGGGTTCACTGTATATATATATATTCATTTTTTATAATGACTTCCTTTACTTTATCTTCATCGCCACTGATTGATTGGCTCATTAGCCATTTGAGGGGTCAGTTACATCTCTGTTATGCACTGTTGGCTGGTACTGAGCATGTACTGTACTGGTTACAGGATGTATCTGTACCAGTGTTAGTCGAGTCTGGTCTTGAATGAGCTCATTCTCACACTTGGCGTCATTACAACACACACACTGGCAGCTCTGAAAAAGTAGTCCACCTCCACCCTCTATCCACTTCCACACCACATGCACCTCCACTATGCCTCTACCTCAACCAAGCATCCACCTCAGGTAAATAAAGAAAAATAATATCCAAAACTTTGCAGGAACAGAGTAATTAGTTGGTGAAAGTTATTTTAATTCAAGGGTTATCTTGAACACTAATAATTATCCCGACTGCAACTTTTGACTCCAGATCCTTAATTATCGAGTAACATCAAACTTATAAACCAAAATTACCAAAAGACATAGATAAAAGGTTAACAATTTTGAGAACACAAATTTTGTCACTCCGTAGCAACTTGCGTGCTGATTGGCTGAAATTTTTTACAGTGCCATATAGCGATAGTCTTCGGGAATATGCATCAGGGTCAAGCAGGACTCCAACCCTTGACATATTGGGGGAGATATATTCACGTTACCACATTACAAACATTGTCAATAAGGGATTAACATTCAACAATACAAATTTGATATTCACTTTGTTATTAATAGTTAAAGTAATACAGTCAGGGAATCACGTTATCAACATATTTTAACAACACTGTGATCATATGAGTTCACCATATGTAAAGAGGAACACTGAACGGTACTGACAATCCATCACTGTTGGACCATTCTATTACTCACCTTGTTAAACGCACACACGTTAGTTGTTGAGGTGCAGTAATAACATTATAACAACAACAATAATCGTTTAGTTATTGGGATTTACAGCACAAGTTTTTTTGTTTTATTATTATTGTTTCGGCCACCAATCGGATTTTAGGTTTAAGTTAGGTTAGGTTGCAATTATGGTTTTCAGGTGATTTTTATGTGTTTTGAACGACTTCCAGATAGGTGCATGACTGAAACGATAATTTTACCTATTTTCAGTGTTTCAATATACCCTTTAAATGATTTGGTTGTGGTCATCAGGGTGGTGACCAGATAAAACCCCAACGGACAAAACCCCAGTCTCATATATAAAATATAAAATAAAACTTTTATATTTAGGTTAGGTTAGGGAATAGGTGTGGTCAGGTGTGCTCCTCAGTGTAGGTGTGGTTCTCAAAGTGCTCAATGTGGTCAGGAAGAGTTATATTTTACATAGTGTATTTATTGTTGATGGCTTAGTGTAAATATTGACCTCCTACACAGGCCTACTTCCCTCGGTATGGCCACCTCTAGTGTGTGGCCATAGGTAAATAAGATGTGGTCATTAGAGTAAACGATGTGGACGTCATCAGCCACACAGTTGTGTATCACAGCACCTTACTATAGACTAAGTGGACTTCCACTCACCTGTTGGTTCGTCTCTCAAGTGATGACACCTGACAGCAACAGATGTTGGGAACTTGTGTACGGTGTGTATTAGGACGTTCTAAACGAAACAACTTGTTAATGGATTTATAGTCTTATAGGTTGCACTATCACTACATGTGCCGGTCACTATACAGGTAAATAATGTCTCACTGTGGTCACTTATGTTGTTGATGTTTACTAATACCGGGTCATGTAACAGCAACTATATTGTTGTTTAAAATAAATAAATTATGATAGATGAATATAATAGTTAAAATAATAGTAATTAAGTTGTTATATTACTTATAGTTTAAGAGTCTTAATAAACCTGAAAATATTACTTATTCAAAGCATAATTCACAATGGATCCCCATAGACCATTAGCCATACATAACATTTAAGCTTCCTTTTTCTTTAACAATTATTAATGGCCTTTTTTTACAATCTTTATGATTATTAAATGCTTGAATTATTTTTAAATAATTTCTTTTCCACTTTTATCATCACAGCTTATATTACTTCCCAAAATGAAAAAAAATTCCCCTAAGTTCCTGTTGTCCAACATAATTTAGATTTTTGGGCTTACTTTCAAATAACCATTCCTTTTACCTTTACATCATTAACTATAAGAACCTATTTTTAACCTCTTCCCTCTGTTTACCAGTTGGTGTAGTGTTTCTTCATTGCAGTATCTAAAGTAAGAACAGTATCATCTGCATATCCAATACTGTACAGGTATTTGATATTACTTTACCATTCATTTTAATTCCTTCACTACTACTTACAACGTCTCATAAAAAACCTGAACACTGTAGATATTATAAAGTGTAATTGAGCACATATCCTTATCGTAACTCCCTGCTTTGGGGAAAGGAGTGATATTTTCTGTATAGTGTCTCTCCCGGGAGTACACCAGCACATAGCACACACGTTTGCTCACCCCATCAATAACTTGGTTAATATGCTTAATAAATAACTGTTCTTCTAGGTGCAACTCCAAGTTCTACTTTCAGTTACAGTCATCTTATTCTAAGAAATACCTGTATCTAGATTTTCACCAAAAGACACTCTTTATTTTATTTGCAAAATACAATTGAAGATCCCCAGTTCAAACAAAACAAATTTCAAGTCTGCACATTTTGAACTCTCGCCAAAATTGTTCACATTTTTCTGAAGACCACTGCTTGCTTTCTGCGCATAACTCTTCTTTAGCCCACATCACCACTTGTGCCAATGTTCTATCATTTTTAACTTGAGGCAGTTATTGTCTTTTCTATAGTTTTTGCCCTTATAATGTCATCCAACATGTGTCAGATTATAGTAAGGAATGTAGTGAAGAGGAAGCATGATACACTTACCTTCATGGGTGTCTGCTGGGGGGAGCAAGGGAAGGCAGTTGCCCCCCCTCCTGGATCAAGCTTGTGTCAAGGGAAAGCAGTGTTTGGATCAGGGAATTAATGCACAGAATTTTATCACTGATAGCAAGATAGCTGATACTGTACAGTCTCTCCTCGAATTACGACGAGGTTCCGTCCCGACGACCAGGTCATAAGTCGAATTGGTCGTAAGTCGAAAAGGCGAAAATAATACATAGAAATTCTAAAATGGGTATCTCTTTTTCTTCTCAGCACCACGAGAACTCTCACTTTTATGCTTGCCAGCCATTTTAAAGGGAATTACAAACGAAAATTTTGTCAGTACACAGCGCGATCACCAACGTCAGGACTCAAAAATACGTAATGTGAAAAATATTTTATACGACCATGCCCATCATATGTCCCGGTTGTCGCAAGTCGAGGAGAGACTGTATACTAAAATTGTAACAACATTTGGCATCTAGTAGCTATTAAGCTTCTATTTACTGAACAAGCAAACAATATACAGTACTGGAAATACTCTATAACACTCAATGCTATAACATCCTGACCACTGGGGTTTGATAAACATCATTTGAGGCCTCTACTCTGTAATCCATTTTGTGCTAATGCTCACAGTATGAGTATGGGAGTGCACAATAAACTAGCTACTGTCTTTGACAAAATTATAAAAAATTTCTTAAGAGCCCATCTATGCACACCACATAATGACTTATCAACCCCCATGGCCATCAATACACGACATCAACACGTCTTACATTTTTCACCGCATAAACAACTTCCCCACCATGAGCCAATCAGTGACCCAACCACCTATCCACCCCTTTGTTCTATCCATCATATTAAATCAATCCACACTGTATACCTCCTAGTCATTTTGGCCACCCATAACAATTTTATCTTTGGGCGTTTTCTTCTTGTTTATAAATATTCTCTGTGATCTGTATCTGTCCATTCTTTTTATGAATTTGTTTTCGATTTATATTTTTGAGTGGTTGAAGGTACAAGAATTGCTGTATACTGAACTTTAGTATATGTGCACATTTATTAATATTTTCAAGTATGGTACAACTATTTATAACTTTTCACACGTCATAACACTGTTGTAGTTCTATAAATTTTCACTTCGTCAGTAGAAGTGTTTATTAAAGAACGCTTAGGAGTTATGAGTGTTTATAATGCTGATGATGGGGAATAAATTCATATGAAAGAATGGTTAGAAACAAGATAATGACACTGAAGGGAGAAAAAAAGAATCTTATGTAATGTGGCAGTGATGGATCAAGGCAAATGGTATAAAGTATTAACAGGTGAAAGAAATTCACTGAAGAACACAGACGGGTCATGTGAAAAGAAAAGGTGATAGATCAAAGGGACAAAGGAAAAGGTTACATATAGTTTTACTTTCAACAAGTATGCCACTCCCCACCATGAAGACTGTGCCATAAGGAATAAAGGAGCAGAGATTCTTGAGATACTGCAATATGAGGCTTTAGGAAAATACATGAAAGATATATATGACAAATACCAAGGAAAGGGAGGTCATAAGAACAACCATAAACACTGCTTTTAATGAAAAATTATTTGTTTAATTTTACATCAAATATGTAATTTTACATGTAATACTAATCCATCATTATGTAGAAATTTAGTAAACTATAATGAGAGAGTTTTCTGAGGCCATGAGAGGTATCGAGGAAAGTTACAATTTTCCCTTTTCAAAATTTAGCACTCGATATGAAAAAAATGCTTCAGGAATGGTAAAGCATATATAAGAGGAAGATACATTACTTTAATAATGAATGTGTATATAGTGAGAAATGTGGGTAACCAACACATCTGGGGCCAACATTAGGTATACACATGGTGAATGAGCTGTGGAAACTAGAGGCGTCAAGAGAATAAATTAGATGGTGAACTAGGTGTTAGATGAGGATGTATTTGCATCTTAACAACTGAAACAATTAAATCCTCATTCACAAAAGTAGAGAGACTAATTAAACAAAAAATTAACAAGGGAACTTATCACTTTTTTTTATCTGATACCTTCTAACAATCTGATTAGTATTGATAATAAAACTACAGGGCTTAAAATTCTGCATTATTTATACAGTGCATAAACTAATTTCTTTATTGACCATCCACAAAATGAAAACAACACTAACTATTACTTATTGTAATATGCTTTAAGTAAGATTTACTACAAGTTGGTTTTATCATGTTCAACTGAATTAAATTACAAAGTTTTGCTAACTGATCAAAAATTTTGATTATATCGACAAGAGTATTTTGAACACTTAAGATCACAAAGGTAACAAAACCAGTACGATAAAAAGTATTGGACTCCACTATTCAGTTTGAGAAATATCCAGATAACAATTATTTAAGATTACTTGCTGGAGAGTACAGAAAATAAAATTGTTAGTAAAAAAAATATTTAAATAAATAAGAATAAAATTTGAAGAAGGCCCTGCTCCGTATAATACTGGATGATGGTCAGTTGTTTTTAAAGTGTAATACCTCCATGTAAAAAAAAAAAAAAAAAAATGAGACAGCAGCTTAAGAGAATCCTAACTTCCCTCCTGCTGTAATAGTCTGCGCTACAATGACAGTACAAACTGGCACATGTAACTCAGCATCCCTGGGTAAAAACACAGGAAAGACTTTTTTCATTATTGCTAAACCCAGTACACTATGTGCATGCATGTGCCTTCTCACATGTGAATACATGAAATAAATGACTTTCCCATGATGCTACGTATTTCCACAATCTACACAATTTTCCTACTCAAATAACACCAGTTTGAAACATCTGTAGGATGCCTATGAATCTATGAAAATACAGTTTACAAGGAAATGAAAGCTTCACAGCGTGGCAGTATCTCTACAAAAGAATTACTTAAAAGTCTATAACAAAAAAGCAACACCCCTCTGATGTAAAATTATCCCCTTAATAATGAGAGTCATGATGATGGAAATGATGTTAATGCTCAAGATTGCTGGACAAAAAAAACAAAAGAAAAATTTTTAACACTTAACAAATAAGAGGATGATGGGAAGTATGATAATGTCCCTCGTATGACTGTGGATCCGTTAAGTAGACACACGCAAGTTCTGCTGTAGGGATCACCAAGGAGGCCAGTCTCAGGCTTCCCATATTTATGTTCAATTTTTTATGGGCTTCCCTCCTACTCTATCCCTCAACACAACACACTATATCCTAAATATACATTGCAATGCAGTCACATACAACACAGCAGTATAAACTTACTTCACACACAGCTATTTATAAATAAATATTAATAAAATTGTTATTTATTTAATGTTTCATTAATTACAATGAAAAATTATATAGTATTAAGATGTATATAAGACACTTGACATGTCAGATAGGATATACAGTAAGAGAGTTAAAAAAAAAGTGAGGCTCTCCTGTTCCTGACTTTCATCAGGTGAGTGTGATGAGGAGGAAGCATTTGTGACCAGTTTCCTGACAATAATTGACAATATACACAATGGCCATACTGACCGTTGAGACTGTACTTGTACAGAACTACACATCTTACAAGATGACTGTATAAACAGGAAAATACACAATTATCACAAGGATCAAAAAAGTATTTCTCAATATAGTATATTAAGTTTGCATTTCATAGTCACAAGCTTATGGATTGGTGCACAAAGCCCAGCAAGAATGCCTCGAGAAGACTGTGCAAACATGTTGTGCTGCACCTCACAGTAATCTATACAAACAGTTGTTCATGATGAAGCCGTAGAATCTTAAAGGTTACTGCGACACATGTTTTAAATCACTCTCACAGCAGCACAATTAAGTGCACACACAAGAAAGAAACACAAACAGCACAAACATGAAAATTCTTTTTACCAACACCAAAGTTGACAGAGTGTCAACAAGAGAAGCTGGCAACAGGTCCACCATAGGGGTTTACTGCTCATGTTGTCACTGGCAACACATTAAATTAATCCCACATCTCATCTCGCGACGCACTCACTTAGTAAGACATCATCACAGTGTCAGTGTAACAGTTAATCCTAAAGATTCAGTCCTACTGTCTGGCACAAAAATAGAGCTGTGAACACTTAAAAAGTTCAAAGATTAACTCCACCTCATGTGTTTACCTAAAATAAACCAAGAGGATTGAAGTGCATTTTGGGATACAACAAGCAATAAGAGATCTGCTACAAATGGTTTTTCCACCTACTCATATCCCAATTTTCAGCCAATATATATTCCACTGTTAATATAATCTTTGAAATATCAGTGATGCACATCTTTTCAACTCTTCAATCACTTTCTGGAGACACAAATGTACACAACAGTAGTGTGTAGCAACATTACAATACTGAGTTAAATGTACACAGCATATCCAAGAAAATAGATTTATTCCTTCTATTTTATCTCTGATTGGATGCTATTTTCACTAATGCACTGCATTTCATATTTTCAGAAAAGACTCACTGCTAAAAAGCATTTCTTGAGAATCTGTATCACAAACCTCCAGAAGGTCCTATGAAACCAGATGGAATGACTTCTGTCTCATGTGAACTAAGTTCCATAATGAACATGATATATATGTAGTCTAATGATAAACATAAGCCTTTTCTTGTTCTCCATTTCCAATTGATTATTTTTAATCTAATCACAGTTGCTATTTTTTTTCAGTCCCTTTGTGTATCATACAAGAAACTTGAGTTTTTGCACATAATAGTGTTGCATCCATTAACAATGACACATTTTTTGCTACAACTACTTTGGTTAACAACTTGTTCTTCTCTCCTTGTGTTGCCTGAACACCCTGTTTATTAGTCAGGAGGAAGTAAATAGTCTTTACCAGAATCCTGGTTATTCTGAGAATCATAGTTGGTCAAAGTGGTAACATATAGTGCACTAGGAAACTTCACTTTATCTTCAATTTAATTACCATTGCCATTCCTAGCCATCAAAGAGGGTTTATTGTTACCCTCAGTTCCGTAGATTTTCCCAGCCTTCTTAGCCATGTTACTTAGAAGCTCAAGGGACATCTTATGAGCTGACCGTAAGGACATGGACCATTCCTTGAGACCAATTTCATCCTGAAATTAATATCATAATTAATACTCCATTTTATAAACAGGTCAGGACAAGGAGATATGTAAATGAATGCTGAAAATCTTTAGAAAAGAATTCCTGGATGGAATATGAAAGGAATAACATCTAACTTCATTTAAAAAATCCTAATCAAACCTAGAATTTGAAAGCCCACACTGTAGATCTCACTTGTAAAATGAGTTAATCTCTCCCAAGTACACCTTTTCACATATATGTTGAGACATTGTTATATATCTATTTGACAATTATTTCATAACCGAATGACAGAGCACATATCAAATGACAATCTAAAATAACTGTTCGTTCATGCTAACGGAAATGATTGACATAAGTTATGAAATTGACAGATGTGAACAATAAACCGACAGTCTACATATAGTTTGAGAATGTAACAATTGGAGAATGACATACCACCAACAGTTATTTTAGATTGTCATTCGATATGTGTTCTGTCATTCGGTTATGAAATTTGTCAAATAGGTATATAACAATGTCTCAACGTTTATGTGAAAAGGTGTAATAGTCCAATAAGTTCTACTGTGTCACCAGTGATTCAATTCCTCCCTTAATCAGTTGCTGTTGCCATATTTTAGGCTGGTGCCCGAAGTATGAGTTCTTCCCCACACACCTCTACCTCTGCTGCACAATCCTCCAAACCACCCAAGGATTTGTGGGTTGTGTATTATACTGAGACTACAACACATTATGTTGACAAGCTGAAGCAGCACAAGACCCATTTGAGGTTTACTCCTGAATGCTTAAACCCCCTTGCCATAAACTAACCCTTCATTGGTATAATTTCTCCTGTTGTTAGGATGATTTAAAAAAAGAGCCAGTGATAGTGGCTCTAAAAGGTTAACAAATCCACATAAATCCCTTCAGAATTAGCACACAGACTGCTCATCCCACCTGACATGGACTCTTATGGAAAACCCAACCAAAAAGTTCCTTCAATACTTAATTTACACATATAAAACAATATCCAATTCTCCCCTTTTCATTAATCTAAAAAATACTAATGAAATGCCCATTAATGAAGTAAAGAAAAAATGAATAAAATTATAATTGAGGGATTGAGTCTGAAATCCAGAAATTGCAGCAAGTGTTGTTACATCACATGAGTGGGATGGTTCATTACACCTCACCATCCTTGGTAGCTTGGGGCTCATGTGATTACATATCCCTCCCCATCACATCCATTAGCATCAAATGAGGGAGATTAGGTGTACGGGTTGTCCTAATGAAGCAGGAGGTCAAATTAGAGCACATGTCTATTCAGTCAGTGCACATACACACCCAGAATGGACACATGCCATCCTTACACCTTCTGCCTCTAGATGATAACCTTTTCATCTAATAACCTTCATTAGGGAGGATGGATAAAACAGGGAGGGACAGATGGATGTAAGATCACCCTTCAACAGCCAAGAGATCCAAGGCATGATGGATGATGCTACCAACCCTGGAATGCACAGTAACAAGAGGTGCTAGGAGTATGGTGTCAACTAAATTTATATTAAAATATAACACAATCCTCTTAAAAAAAATTAAATAAATGAAGTTCATACTTTTGTTTAAACATCAAATTTTTTGTGAACTCACAGCCAAACAATTTACTGTATCATTATGAAAAATACTTCAAAATACCTACAGGATTTGTTAGAACAATCTTGCTATCTTTGGTCTTAAGAACAATACAGTTCTCTCCTTTTATTTGCACAAAATCTGAAGAAACGTCATCTAGCTGATCCATGAAGATGAGTTCCGGCTTGCCCGAGCTAGATTCTGAGTGCAGTTCAACACGATTTGGGTATAGCTTTGCATATCTTGTTTGCCAAGCTGATGTGAATGGTCCTCCTAACTTCTTAATGTAGCCATGAATTATACAATCTGATTCTGTAAGAGAAAAATATTCAGTAACATGGTTCTTTCAAAAGAGATCAAATCCAAATTAATAATGGGTAAGAAACTTGTTTACATGATAAATGAGGCATCTACAAATACTGTATTAAGATAAACCACACAGAACTTAGTTGTACTAACATGAAACTCAAATAGCTTGATACCACACGTATTACCCACCTGGAGAAAACCAGCTGATACCTGAAATAACTTACCCAGTCACAGCTGTAGTTAAATGGTTTTCATAGTATGAGCTTTTTACTGGGGGTTTTTTGGTCTTCAGATCATGAACTATTGTACAGACCGAGGGTTGACTCTGATCCATTTTGAACATACCAATTACCCTTCCTTGCCACCTCAACATCAGCCTCAAATGAAGGGGATATGTTACTTTGGCTGGAGGTTTTATTAACACTAAAACATTGTGTACTCAAATTAAAGCGCTGTACAGTAAGTCCTTGTTTAACGTTTGTCCCCGATAACGTTGTTTCATTATAACATCGCTACTCTTTAGATACCCATGATTCGGATAACGTCCCGCTGATTCAGTATAATGTCGTCACAGACTACTTTGTATGGCGCATCACCCTCTCTCATCTTGGCGTGATACGCTCTCACCCGCGGAGCATCACCGCGTCCCCAAGCGTCGCCAGTCTTTGTTAAGCTACCACACCATTCGTGCGTGCTTAAGTGTTTTTGCTCTAAAACTGTACTCTAACCATTTGAAATGGCTTCCAAGTGCCCATCAAGTGCTACTGATGCTAGTGTTGTGAAGAAGCAACGTAAGACCATTAGCCTTGCTACAAAAATGGAGGTTTTAAACTAGGAGGAGGAGCCACCCGCCGGGTCTCAGTGACTCGCCACCTTTCTCCTCCTCTCCTGCCCTCTTCCTCCGCTCCACTACCCACCACACACTAGCTCCACCACCTCCATCCATCAGTGAGTACAATACATATGTAATGTATTTTATGGGCCAAATGGAGGCTGGGGAATGTAACTCCCGTATTTTATCTAATTCTTATGGGGAAAATTGATTCTGTTAACGTTGTTTCCGTTAACGTAGCGGTTTTCGGGAATGGAACCACGACGTTAAGCGACGACTTACTGTACTTGACTCATAAACTGAAAAACTGTCTAAAACATATAGAAAATTAGGTCCATAATCACATTTAAATAAATAATTACTATCCATGGAAAATTTCGTTTTATTTCAGTGTTGTAATTCAATTTAGTCACTTCATCAATATATTTTATAAAAAAATAGATCATAAAATGCATAAAAATTTACATATGGTTGAAATTAAATCCTCTTACCTTTTTCATCTGCATCAAACTTAAACTTGTGTTTTGCACGTCGTTTGTGTTCAACTTTATCTGCTTCCAGATTCACAGTGTCAAATACAGTTTCAGCCACTTCTGTCTGCCACCGTTCACTGATTACTAGTGGGAAGTTTTTGTATAGTTCCTGGTCTGCTTCAGTTAACTGTTATGCAATAATAATACAAAATAATTAATAAACCTGGAAATACTTTATGTTTGTCAACCATATTCTAATCTACACAGCATGGGTTGGGAGAAGTGTACTAGATATAACAATAAAACAATGTAGTACAATATAATAGAAGAAGAAAATGATTTGAAGAAAATTACAATGAATCAATCCATCTTCCACTTAAACTAAGTGTGACAAAGTAAGTCAAGACTTCAGCATCACCTGAAGGTCTCACAAAGTCAATTTATTAGCAAGATGGCTGGAGAGTCATAACATGAAAAACAATGGATGAGAAGAAACCCACAATGGCAGACAAATGTTTGGAATTAAAATTTTGTCTGCCATTGTAGGTTTTCCTCATCCATTAGCAAGACTCCTGTATCTCTCTACTCTTCTGGAATTTTGTCTCAGCCACACATGTTAGGGCTCCTGGGGTCTTGTACGGGTAATATTAAACTCACAGATGTATTGACTGTACTATACGAGTTGCCCAATCCATTGAGTGGGTTGTAAATAAATGTAAATAGGATCACATGAATATTATGCACCCCAGCTTATTACATCTGATGATTAAACATCTGAATGCTAACTTACCTAACTTCCCCAGGTAGCAATAGGGTGTTTAACCATCAGGAGAAATAAGCTGGGAAGCCCAATCTTCTTAAGAACCAGTAAATAGGCTAAGAGTAAACTGGTAAGAAATGAACTTCAGAACAAGATTACAATCAACTGAGCCAATTGATTGGAGGATTGGAGACATTCAGGAAGTCAAAGGAACAAGTGAAACAGAACAAAGGACAAACACCTGAAAGGAGGAATGTTATCTGTGAGTAATTAACAAAAGTTATTGATGAAAATATGCATCAAAAACATCAAGCCAAACATAAAACAAAACACAACATGTAAACAAGAAACTCTGTTTATAGATTTCCTGAATATTTTATAAGAAATAGAGAATAACTTGAGATTTATGTTCCCCCCCAAAAAATCCTTTTCAGTGACTTTAGTACTGAAGTCATTTATTAATTTCAAATATCTCATTTAATATTAAAATCCTACTTTAATGCCCTTTGTGTCCTCTTCATCGAATGATCCTATATCAAATGCGTCCGCTGCGTTAACTTCTCCCCGGGGTGGAATAAGAGGTGGCTGGTACTTCTGCAGGTAAACCTGTTGCCAATCAAGACCCCCAAAGAATGGATGCTCTTTGACTTCATCAGCCCTATGAGAAAGTATAGAATAACAACAATATTATGATAATATTAAAAGAAATTGAATGATATTTTGAATATAGCTACAGTATTCATAGAGAACATGAAAAATTATGACTACTTAATAATACTGAGAGTAAAAAAATCTTGGAACATCACCAAAAGTTAAAAAATATAATTTTCTGTATTCAGAGCAATATTTTATCCCTTTATCTACTCATTTTTTTACAACTATTTATATTGGCCTCCTATGAATGTACAGTACTCTCACATGTGACTAGGTGCTGGATTCTTGGACCCAAATTCTGGAACAGGGTGGCAATATCGACAACATAAAGAGTATATCTGGATTTTGCCAAGTCTTTCGACAGCATACCCCACGAAAGGCTGAGAATTAAACTGGAAGCGTATGGGATTTGAGGAAGTGTCCTAGCAGGGATCAGAGACTTTCTTCATGACCACAAGCAGTGTGTGTGGTGATGAATGGCACAAAATCATCATGTGTACCTGTGGTAAGCAGGGTACCACAGGGCAGTGTACTGGGACTGTTGTTGTTTGTTTATTTCATAAATAACACGCTAGAAGCAATACACTCCTCCATACAAATGTTTACAGACGATGCCAAGTTATTCAAGGAAGTTAAGAACCAAACAGACTGTGAAGAGCTACAGAAAGATCTCTGTCAGCTTCAAGAGTGGTTGAAGAAATGGCTGTTAAGATTTAATATTACCAAGTGAAGAAACAGCAATAATAAAGACCGACTGTGAAAAGGACCTGGGTGTATGTCAACATAACAACGAACTAAAGTTATCAGGCCAGTGTGAGAAGAAGGTGAATCAAGCAACTAAACCAGTAGGTCTTGTAAGGTAATTTAGATATCTATACGGTCCATCCCTCGTAACGTTATTCAAAGTGAGGTGCTTCCCCGTCTGGAATACTGTCATCCCATCTGGTCCCAGAGATATGCTAGAGACTGGCAGTTGGTTGAAAATGTCCAAAGGGGAGCCACCAGACTGGTGCTTGTACTATGGCACCTCAGTTATCCAGAGAGATTAGAACACCTGCAACTGCCTAATTGAAGTAAATAAAAATCTCGGTCAAGTGTCCATACCTGGAGCTGGCTGATGCCTTCCCCACAAGGGGTCACAGCTCAAAGTTGAAGAAGCCACAAGTCCAGAAAATTGTGAGGGCAAACTTTTTCAGAGTGAGAATTGTAAATTCTTTGAACAATCTGCCAGGAGTGTTGTCATGGTACCTAGTGTAAGCTCTTTCAAGACCAGACTTGACCAATACTGGTGAAGGTTCAGATACATTCAGGAGCCAGTACATGCCTAGTACTTGTCAACAGTATGTAACAGAGACATGACTGACTGCCCAAGTGGCTAACGAGCCGATCAGTGGTGAAGTAATAAAAGAAACTAACATGTCAGGACACACATACTAAACCACTTACGAAATACCTGTTATTGTACAGTGCAGTGAAGAAAGTACCTGTCTCAGAATTATAGCATAAAGGATTAATATTTCACTACCTTTAAGAAATTGTCTTTAGGCACACAAGTTATCGATAATACACTATAATTCCTGGTTGGATATTTTCCTCTGACTAAATTCCTCATCCACTATCTACCCAGAGCCCTGCACTATACAGTACTGTATTAAGTTTCTACATCCTAAACCAATTTGTCCCTTTGTAATAATATTAATAAAATATATTAGTATTAAAATAGGAAGGAAAACTAATATAAAGGTTCTTTCTAAAACCAAATCTTACCCTTTTCCTTTGCAACCCAGTCTTTTGTCAACATCTCTATGAAGAAGGCCTTCTAAAAGACCCCGAAGCTCTTGCGTGAATGTATCGGGAAGCTCAACATTCTGAAAAGGTTAAATTGTTATCAACTACAGTCATAAATATTCTACAACAGCGGCTCCCAACACATAGGCTGAAGGACACATGAGGCCTCTGAACCATTATTGTGCTGATCTCAAGCCTCTCAGTAAATGGCTAGTTATAGTTCTTGTAAGGGTGGTTTTTCTAATACTGTAATACTAATGCTGTAATAAAATTGTTACCTGCACTTTGCTGGGAATATTCAGTTTGAGATTGGTTAGGAGAAATTTCTCGCAGTATGTTCAGCAGCCAATGTAACCTTGTTACTTAGTCTTTTATAATTTGAGTCATGTTCACACTAGTGTATTTATATAAATTCCTACTTTTAAAAAGTGTAATATTTCTTGTACTTTACTTATTTTCATTAACCTGGTGAAAAAGTAAGTAACTAATTTATTTCCTTTCCCATTTTGAAAGGTGGTCCTCACAGCGTATTAAGACTTCACACTTTAAGTGTGTCCCACTTACATAAAAAGGTTGGGGATCGATAGTCTACAAGTCCATAACTTACTCCAACAGAGTAAAACATAACTAACAAAAAACAGAAATGGAGGATTGTTAAGGAAATCCTGGTCAGGATGAAGCAATTCAATATAATGAGCAGTTCTAGGTGTTGAAAACTCCAAGATCTTGGGCCACAACTTGTAACTGAAATCTAAAAACCCAATGCATGTAACAATTAGATTATCCTTCATCTTCATAACAGACTTCATAAGGATAGCTATTGGTAGGAGGATGTTCTATAAAGAGATCCATTCATCTGTTTGGTGATATCAACTACAAAGTGCTCAGACAGGATCAATCGCTCTGGATCCAGCTCATCTCAGTACTCCAAAGGGAAAGGGGATGGATGACCAATTGCTTGATCCCATCTTGGCGATAAAAAGGAATTTCATGATCAGTTATCTATTTATAACTTATATTGTATAAGGAACGAGCAACTCTGTATATCAGAGCCTCAACATTCGCGAGGGATAGGTTCCTGGGACGTCCACTGACATGACATAATTCTATAAGAACTTAAAACCTACAAAGAACACTTAGATGTCTACACAGTCTGAAAGGGCGTAGAATGTCAGCAACATGCAATAGGAGATTGGATTATTAAGTGGTTGCTGTGAACTGAGCAATTTGTAGGTGATATCAAGAAAAATATACAGTAAATGGATCAGGGTAATCTTGTTATGCTCTAAAGCAAAACTCTCAATTTTCTTCCCTTTAGGGTAGTGTACCTACTTACCAGTTGGGGAAGTGAAGGCTGTTGAGTACAGTGTCAACAACACTATGTGTTCTAAAGGCTTGGTATCCAGTGTGTTGCATCTGCACTGCCCCTCATGGGGTGTTGGCCTATGGGAGCCACTTTCACCTTTTGAACAATTAATTATCCTTTGGGACCCCAGTATAAAGGTTGAAGGATAATCTAATCATCAATCTTTATTCAACCTTATTTTTTTATATAAATATATACAAGTCACTACTTGAGGCGCTAGAACCTGGGGTTTCATCCCCTAAACTATCTAGTAATACAGAATGACAAATTTGATAGACAAATCAAAATACAGAAACTAAATACTCATTACATAGTGACATACAATAATATGGTTTGAGGTGTAGGAGAACAGTGAATTTGAGAATTTATACATACTGTATATAGTTACATTAACTTATGACAAATACTATATCCTCTTTTATAAGAAATGTGACATTATATTATCAATAAGTTAAGAATATATTACACATTATCACCTTTAGTACTGTCTTGTTTTTGCTGGTGTGTTTTTCATAACTTTTGCTACAATAACAAAAATACAGTACCTCTTATTATAACTCACCATCGTTAAGGTCATGCGGTCTATTTCATGTTTGTCTCGAGTTTTATGTTGCCTGAATGGAGAATGTCCTTTGAGCAACTTGTACAACATACAACCAAAGGAGAACCAATCTGCTGAACTATCATAAGCTGTTCCCTTACTCAGCACCTCAGGAGCCATATAGCCATGAGTCCCACTGGATATGGAAAAGAAGAAGAAAAAAAATGAGTCAACCAAGAAATATCTTTTATGGCTGAGAACCGAAATGAAGTACAAACACACTGAACACCCCATATTGGAGCCTGCTAGTGCCATCGGGTATAAATGTTCAGTAGCAGGATGCATTATTGCCACAAAGCAGTTCTTTGCCCAGTCACACCAAGAGCTTTTCTCAAATATCTAATGATGAGTCTGTTTTGTTCAATATGTGTTAAATTTCTCTTTCCTTCAATTTTCTTTTCAACTCTAAATGACCAGTTTAGGAACCCTAACCTACCGTAGATCTTGCACATTGACAAAAATGAAAAGTGAAACCCATTACTGTACTGGTAATACATGCATTTTAAACCCATTGTTTCCTTCAATTTGACAAACAGTAATTTAGGTTATAGAGGGTTGGTCTAATTTTGGGGAAGAGAAATTCTTAAAAAAAAATAAATAAATAAATAAAAAAAAAACATGAGCAACAAGTTACTCAATATCTTCATCAAATTCCCAGAAATAAACTGACTCTTAACAACCTGGACTATCTACCAAAAAGTAGAAGGCGATGTGGCAATGTACTGGCTGTTCAGGGATACAGTGAGGGTCATCCCACATTGTTGTTGGCTGGGTGAGGCAGATCTGAGGGTTGGGGCTCTGAAACTTCCTTTACAGTTTGGAAGGTTCAAAATGCAGTGGGCTGTTGAGTTAAACTCCTCATCAAGATAGGTAAATGTTTCACTAGTCATCAAGGCAACCATCACACTGCTTGGTGCCTTAAAAGGCTTCTGGTGTTACTGGGTTAAGAACAGTTTTGCACCAATTGCATTATTCACATGAATAATGTACTCTACCCTGCTGCTGAACAGCTGTCTCCTCTGATGCTGCAGAGTCTGTCTTGGGACATTCAGTGTTGGTAACTCACAGGTCCTTCACTGAAGTACAGCAGAGTATCATAGACTACCATTAAATTATACTATAATTACCGTATATCTAATAGTCTCATACCCTGACTACAGAGATCCAAATAGTTCAAACTGTTGACAAAATTTTAAGTTATAATGTACAGTAAAGGTAAATGTTAAGCAACTACCATGGATGACTGTTTAACATTGGATATACCATACAGTGCAGTACTGTATGTTTAAAGGACAGTACTGTACTGTACAGTGTTGAGCAACATGTATACTCATCAAATGATGATTGGTAATAATAAAATAATTTACATTAACAATCAGTCTGTTGATACACATTTATTTACTGTTTAAACTAAACTATTTCATTAAAGATTCTGGTTCCTGAAAACATTAATTCTAAATAAAAAAGAAAATCATAAGAAAACAACTGGGAACTTGTATCTGCCTCAACTCTGTGATTAAATGCATGGTGCTGTACCTGTACAGTATATTAATACAGTACGTACTTATATTTAGCAGACGATACATAGTAATACAGTACAGAATAATATTGCAGAAAATGTTACTTGTATCAACACTTGTATATCACTTTACTATGCATATGATCTAATGGGTTCTCATCAAATATAGAGGAGTTCTGTAGCAGATATACATTTCTAAATGCTTGTACTGTAGTTATACTCTACTTACTATGAACTGTATTACAAAACAGCATTTTAAAAGAAAGGGCTTACCCCAGTCAGCTGTAGATGCAGACATACAATGCTAAACATACAAAAACAGTTTATTCATTCTTTTTACTGCTGGTTTAAGAACAAATATTTTTTTTATCATTTTAGAACATTATAAGTGAACAAATATATACAGTACAGTACTAAGATGGTGTCGACAAGACTAAATCATAAATCCTTAGCAGTCAAGTTATCCTTTGTGTCTATGAGACTAACTGGGACATATATCAATATCTTCTGTTAAAATAACAAATAAATTGCATTGAATAAAAATAATAAGAACATTACTTACACTGATGCATGTGGCTTCTTTTTAGAAAAATCACAAGCTAGACCTAAATCTGATATCCTGACGTGACCATGTTCATCCAGGAGAATGTTAGCTGGTTTTAGGTCTCGATAAACAATGTATCGTCGGTGCATGTGTTCTAGTCCTGAAAGAGATTACTTATTTCAGCACAAGTCACTATTGATACACCAATCGTGATGCATAAAAGTTCTTGATCAGTACGTTCAGGTTAAAAATATATGAAGGCAACTGTAGTTGTGTTTATTCATTCTAACTGTCAAGCAACCTATTCACTAGGGAGAGTTCTGTGTTCAGTAGTTATAGTTAATAGCCAAGGGGAGGAGGCAATTGTCCTGTGATACCTTGACTATAGTCTCCAATACTGAGCCGACCCTCACAAGAGACCATGACATGCTCTGGCAGCAGTTCACACTGCCCTATCAGCAAGTGTCAAAAAAAAAAAATCAAACACACAACACCATGGTTACTTCATGAGCTATAGAGGTTTATGATTACTGGAATGAAACTCTGAGATAGGCTCATTTTTCCCCAAAATGGATTGGCTATAGACATGAATTATGCAGTCAATCTTTCACAGCTCTTGCCAACTTATAACCCCATCTATGGAGAAGGGTGGGAAGTCAAGTCATTGGTCTCTGTCCACTAGCTACAAAATGAGCTGCTGTACTTTAATTAAACATCCATGTGTATTCTGTGGGTCATTAGCAGCTGCCTGTGATACTCCAAGCCAGAAAAGAACTGGAATTGAGGTGAATTCGCAATTACAACAGGGGCCAAACACAGCACCTGAGCTATGAAGAGTAATCCTCAGATAAAGTGACTACCTGTATAATAATTTTCTAAAAGCTAACAATTTGGGTTTGACAACAATAACATTAAAATATTCAGACGAACATTCTGATGAATCACGTGAGAACTTGAGTAATGGAAAAGGCGTCTCATTACTGTAGTGGGTTTAACTCTTGGTGATTCTTCATTAGCAGACAGAAGAATATGTCTGCTGATGGCAGGTTTTACTTTGTGTATATAATATTGTACATAACTTCATACAGTACACGAAGTTGTACATTATTAAGACTCTTCAAACAAGTCTTGTGATGGAACAATGAAAGTTATCTTACCTCTGCATCATATATTGTAACTGTCGTACCAAACTACTCTACCATAGTCACAACACTAGAAACTGTTACAATAAAAACAATCCAACAGAATAATAAGTTTCAGTAAAAAATAATAAAATTAACTTAGGCGATAGTTTTCACATTTACCATAATTCAAATTCACATGTGAAAACAGTGTACATATACCTGTAATTATGACGGTTTGGAAGTAACATACATTTATGGGCAGCCAACCTTCAGTAGGTGGTTTTAATATAACAGGCTCAAGAGGCCTAAGATTATGCTGGGACTGATTTGAATGTTTAGTAACCTTCCTTATTGCAACTACAGCCCCAACAGAGGTATTGGAAGTAAAGCTTTCTACATCACAGGCACTTGATCTCATATAAGCTAGCATGCAACTCAATGTTCTTTCAGGCCAGCCATAAAGATCTTCCAGGCATTATACCCATTTATTTCTAGCCACACAATCCATAATTCACTTCACATACATCTTTAAAGTTAACTGCTTTGCCTCTAAATATTGTATTTAGTCCTACAGTATTTAGTTTTCTGGGAAGAATCAATTGTCCTCAGTGTTAGTTTTACCCAAAGTTCACTGTATTTTATGTTACAGGAGATGAAGGTGGTTTGTTATTGATCCAATCTGGGTACAACTGAAGAGCCAACCAGGAAATGGCAACACCTGCAGTGTGTCAAGATATCAGCTGAATTCACTGTGGATAATCCAGCCTGTCTTTTGGTGGTTTGTTATTCCTGGCCCTCCTGAGGTCAGACCCAGGGTTAGTAGGATATTCTCTGATGTGTGCTGAAAATGACTGACAGTTGGGGATCTCACAGAGGTATATGCTTCAGGATTTAATGGGTCTGCATTTAATACCTTCTTTCAAGACAATTTTAGATGCTCTTCCTTGTTCCAAGTCAGTTGATATCAGATTGGATCATTCACTGTGAGTAATTACATCACTTATTCAGGTTCCTTCTCTAACAGAGATATATATGTCACTCCACACCTACAGGAATCCTCCTTAGGTTGGACTAGTTTCTCAAACTCACCAGGTTTTATATGCAAGGCATATAGTCCTGGGTTAAGAAGTAAGCAAGATATGTGCATCACATGGATCTTGCAATTTTTTGGCAAGGAAAATTCTGCTTTCCTCAAATTAATTTTTAGGTCAACTTTTGGATTTTGTAGGCCACATGTTGGACCAGTCCTTTTCAGAAATTTATCTTTTAACTTTTGAGATTGATGATACATTTTACGGGAGATCTTGTAAATCTCTTGCATAATCTCTCTGTTCAATGGTTTTAAACTTCTTTAAACCTTTAGGGTTTCACTTTGAAAGCGATATACTTATGATGCCAACCCCTTCTCCGTCATGTATGACAAGACACAGTTGTATAAGTTATATCTTCTCCAAGGGTACAGTCCTTTAGGAGAAAGGTTCATGAAATAGAATCTCTTCGGAGGCAGGTCATTCTGTTCATGAATCTCATTATGTTCAACCCTCTCAGGCTTTTCATCCTTTGCATAGTGACTTTGAGAGTGGAAGAGGTTTTATTATGAGTTTCTCTCCTCTGGGAAGTATTCAAAATGTTGAGGAACTATTTCATTCCACCAAGTGATAGTTACTGCAAAAGTCAAGTAATCCTGAAGGGAGTATTGAGATGGAGTTCTCTGATCCTGCTTCTTCCTTATACAAAGTACACACAGAGGAACCTGCTGGTACACCTGGGTGTTGTAAAAGATTGAGGTGCTTTAGGGCCAGGATATACAGAGTATTCTTCCAATCTCTTCCTACTGGATTTAATCAACCTTTCTTGGCACTTTTTTTAAGAGTCTTGAGAAGGAAAGAGAAGAGGTACTTAGTTTGGTGTTGTTTTCTGCTATTCTGCAGAACTTTTATGAGAAATTTGTCACATATATTATCAAAAATGTTTTTTTTAATGGGGGTCTAAGCAATTTGAGTTATGAGAAGTACCAATATTCTTGAAATGCTTTTGTGAACATGTAGTACAACCTCCCATTTCTTGAGGGTTTCATACCAGTCACCTAATGATGGCCACTAATGGAGGACTGATCTTGAAATTCTATTTTATGGCTAAACCTGGAACTCTGCAACTCAGATACTTTCCCTCCTTTGATGGCTCGTGTGAAATTCCGCCAGAATGAGTGACAAACTGTTGCCTGGAAGAGCATTATGACTGACACAAAAGAATGGTGAGGTATGCACTAGCTTACATGTCATATGTTCATTCAGTGTTCTCCCTCTACTGTCTCTGACCAATGTTAGGGTCATAGTTGTATCAGGGTTGATTCTGTATCTATATTAAAGCTGCTCCATCCACTAATGTCAGGTCTCTTGTATACCAATGGTTTAGTGTGTGCTTTATACTCGTGTGATCTAGATTAAGGCTCGGTCATAAAACTGAATTTCAGGATAAATTTTTCATTTACATATCCAATAAATATGTAACAATGTTGTAAGAGTTTTCATCAGCAGACATTACCTAATATGACCTCTGCAGCATAGAACCTTAGCAGACATAACCTAATATAACCTCTGCAGCACAGAACCTCAGCAGACATTACCTAATATGACCTCTGCAGCACAGAACCTCAGCAGACATTACCTAATATGACCTCTGCAGCACAGAACCTTAGCAGACATAACCTAAAAAGACCTCTGCAGCACAGAACCTCAGCAGACATTACCTAATATGACTTCCGCAGCATAAAATCTCATTTCCTGTTCATTGAAGACACCATGTTGGGACAAGTGATAGTGTAGATCGCCTCCATTCATGAGGTCCAAGATGAAACACAGCTTGTCCGGAGTGTGGAAAGCATAAGTCATACAAACAATGAACGGACAATCCACCTGAAATCAGTATCTCTAGTTAAATCATAGTTAACTGCACTACATCTACTGTATAATGCATCATTCTTTATATCTAACATTTTTAGGTAAATATTAAAACAATACATTTTTACTCTGCCACATTATTCCTTCTTAGTTTTCATCTCACCAGGTCCCTCACTCATCCACCTGGCTACACAATGGAATTTTGTTTCTCATCAAGTGTAATAATCATATACAAGTTGTTACCATGAAGTGATAATTTTTATTCTAATTAAAAAAAAAAGATATGAAAATATATTAACAGGTAGTGTCATAAGTCTTGGTACTATTTCTGAAAAAGTGACAATAATCATATAATTCAGTATTTGTAACAATAATGTAAGATATCTGTCTTTTTAAGGTAATATAATTTGTAGTAAAAGTGAAAGAGAAACACGCAAGGCTCACCCCTGTGCTGACTAGTGAGAGCATAATCCGTTCATTGAGTGCTAGAGTTTCACCCTGTTTCATTTTTATTCGTTTTTTGTCGAGGCATTTCATGGCATACATCTTGCCAGTGTCAGCTTTGCGACACCCATACACCTCACCAAAGCCGCCACGACCAATGATCCTGTGTACACTGAAGTCGTTCATCGTCAGCTGAAAGATACGGTAGAAATAATTTTGTAAAGTTCTGTGATTCAAAACAACAGTATAATGACTCATGTAAACATCACCTGTAGAATTATGTGATTCAAAATACTGATATAAACATATACTGTAAACATTACCTACGGTTACTCAAAACAATGCCATTACTCAAAATTTTAAAAGCGATGTTTTACATACTAATACATCAATGTTATTAAACTATCAAGAATCATCCACAGCGACTGAATTATATTTTCTATATGACATGAATGAACCATTAATTAAAACACTTTGGAACATACACATTGCGTTGACTCAAAAATATTCACAACGTACCTTCACCCTCTGCTGCCGCTTCTGAACAAAATGTCTATTATCTCAAATGAATTCTACCTCGTTAACCTAGTGAGCGCCTCGGAATCAGTGTGTATGAAGTTCTCAAATTGTATATCAAGATATTATGCACTTTTACCTTCTCTGTACTTCTGTAATGTGGTTAAGAGGCAGAAACAGGTGGTAGAGGTTAAGGAGTCAACGAACCATTTGTGTTACTATGTATTTTACTCAAAAGTTTAAAGACGTCAGAGGAAAATTATAATTCTACAAGTGTTAATAAATAATCCTTGAAAGTTTAATAACCTAATGTTGGGTAACTATAAACAAATACCACCATTAAATATTCAAAACTATATAATAGAGAAATAAAATAGATAAGGGCGACTTTAATAGTAAATGAAACACGGGTGGCGGCGTCCGTAGAGTGTGGCGCAGCTCCCACCAACACAGTACAGAACTTCAGTTGACTCTCTTGTGTTTCTCGTAAATTCTAACTTGAAATTAGTGATACATTTGTTTATATAATCAGACGGTTTGTGTGTGTATTTAGATCGCTTCAAAATATAACTATAATAAAGGCTATGATAACAATAGAAACAGCATTTAGTGTTAAGAAGCGTTAACAAAATATCTTCAAGTACAGGAGGAGAGGCTGTTCCCCGCTCTTCCTGTACCTTTGATGGTGTCAAGTTTAAAGGACTTGTATCAAATTAGCAGGTGTGTGGCACGGCGCACGACACACACACACCTGCATTAAACCTCACAGCTCTCTATCACACACTTACCTGAATATTCAACTCTAGGTTTTTCCACTGGCAAAATCTGGTATATTTGTCACTGGAAAGAGATATAAACAATATATTAGTTGTCGAGACATAAATTCATTCTGTAATATAAAAAAAAGAAAGACTCATTATGGCTGTAAGAATATTGTGATGAGTTACAGTTCCCTCCACTGGTTCTTGTACAGTAGGAGGTGACATAGTGTGGACAGGCAGACAGACAGACAGACAGACAGACAGACAGACAGACAGACAGACACAGACAGACAGGCAGACAGACAGACAGACAGGCAGACAGACAGACAGACAGACAGACAGACAGACAGACAGACAGACAGACAGACAGACAGACAGACAGACAGACAAACCCCTCACTCAGCTTAATGTGGTCGCTATGTAGGCCACCATCTTTGTGTCTTATGTAGGTGTAATTGTCTCTCAGATCTCTAGCTAGGAAGAAAAAAAAATCTAGCGTATGAACCTTTGAGAATCCAGACCAAGCTGCAATGAAGAGCTTAACAAGGTGAGTATTCCCAGGAGGTCCGGGGAGTATAAGCCAACTGGTTAACACTAGAACATCACTATAACCGCATACATTCCTTCAATACATCTTTAAACATGTAACCTTCTACTCCAATCAATCATCTCTTATGTAAATGAACCTAACTTAACCTAACTATACGAGCTTCTATCTATTATACCGTATATGGAATAGTCACACGCCGCCCTTCATGTATTATCCGTGGGGGTCCTCAGTATACCCGGGGGTCCTCAGTATACCCGGGGGTCCTCAGTATACCCGGGGGTCTTCAGTATACCCGGGGGTCCTCAGTATACCCGGGGGTCCCCAGTATTTGTGGGGGTCCTCAGTATACCCAGGGGTCTTCAGTATACCCGGGGGTCCTCAGTATAGTATACCCAGGGTCTTCAGTATACCTGGGGTCTCATACCCGGGGTTCTCAGTATACCCGGGGTCCTCAGTATACCTGGGGTCCTCAGTATTCACAGAGTCAAGTATGTTTTAAGAGGTGGTTTACGGACGGTATCCACGACCTCTTTAAAGTTCACAGTATGCAGCCCCCCAGTGGTAATATTCTCTCTCTCTTTATATATAATAGCGGAGGACACACACACACACACACACACACACACACACACACACACACACACACACACACACACACACACACACACACACACACACACACACACACACACACACACACACACACACCAGTATGAACTTTAATACATCCTGAAACTGATTTGACTAATTGACTGACTGGATAACTGATTAGCTGACTGATTGGATTGATTAACTGAGTGACTAACTAACTGACTGTGGGTTCTAAGAGTCAGTCCAAGTCGTCAGCCCAGCACTCATTAGCAGCTGTGGCGGGACTAAAGACCAAGCAAGAGGTAGTGACGGAAATGGCAGGGGTCGTGGGTCGTCCGAGGCGGCAGGAGAAGGTCGTGGGTCGTTGAAGAGCTTGCGTGGGTGGTGGTGAGGGCGGTGTAAGGTGGTGAGGGCGGTGTAAGGTGGTGATAGGTGAGTGTGGAGGGGGGGGGGTAGGATGGTGTAAGTGAGTGGTGGTGTGAAGTGGTGAGGGTGGTGGGTTAGAGTGATGGGTGACGGTGATGGGTGAGGGTGGCCTTCCCGCGGGGCCACACTCCCTTACCTGTACACGCTGCCTCTCCTCCCCCCTCACCTTACCTACCTACTTCGCATACCTCTCCCTCTCACCAGAATCTCCCGTCGTTAATCAGTTCATTATTACGTACACTCTCTGGTAACTGTATATTAAAACACATGTCCTTGTTGAAAGAATAAATAAATAGGTAAATGAAAAACAAAAACAAATGACAAATAGGAAGAAAAAAAAATGCAATACATCTGAAAAACACAAAATCGAACCATCTTAAAATGACCTGACTGGAGTTGAGTCGTTCCAGGTAATCCCGCCAACATTCACAGGGTCTTGGCACATATAAGGATTCTACCCGCCTCGTGTGTGTGAGTGTGTGTGTGTGTGTGAGGTCATTGGACGCGAGGAGCTTTTGTTTCTATTCAGACATTCTCACACTGTGCACAGCTGACACACACTAATTAATGCAGGACGCTGATGGTATATTATAGAAGATGTACAGGATATAGACTTTATTAAACAGATACACCTTATTTAGCTACATAATTTAAGAAGTACAGTAGTAAATTTTTTAAATAGTTGTGTCTCGACGCGTCCTGAGTGAGGTGAAGCTCTTGTGGTCAGTGTGCGTAGTAAGAGCCAGCTTGATCACGTCGTGCTGGAGGTGGTCACAGGTAGGAGGACCCCCAGAGTCTATTCCAGATAATCTACAAGTGTGATTAAGAATATCTTGATGGTCGTCCCCATGTGTCAGTACAAAGCCACCACACCGCTACTGCCAGCATACACGAGTGTTCCTCTACAGATGAGTTGAAGAAAAAGTTTATATTTTTTCTTGTGGCTCCTCCTGTGTTGCCACACCGTCTGATGCTGAAGGTCACCATGATAACAACAACAAGATGGAGCGAGCGAGTCCTGCCGCCTCCAGCAACACCATTATTTCCTCACCTTCATATTGCCTCCTACAAAACATACCATAAATAAATAAATAAATAAATAAACTTAACCAGAAGTCGTGGGGCAGGACACAGAGTGGTGGAGGCGAGACAGACGGTGACAAACACTAGTGATGACACGACTCTGATTCCTAAAAGTTCCTGACGTTAAATCTTCCTCTCACCGCGACCAAATTGACGTCAAAAGTTCTCTACCTTTAACACGCGTCTCTTCATCACAGTTTAGTGGTAAATATAAAAATGAATCTGAGAACCAAGCCCTGGCCTGGCCACTGTGTTGATGGAGGAGGTGAGTCATGGCAGCTGAACACCGTCCTCCAGTCACAGTGTTCACTGCTCCGGGTAACAGTCTGTCGTACCACGTACTGTACCGTACAGGGGCGTCACTACTGCCAGGGGCCGGTCAACGAACCTCCTGCCTAACTTCTACGAGCGAGTCACTTCTTACGGGGAGGTGAACGGCAGGAGCTATTGGCTACTCGTGCTGGTTAAGACTTCATGGTAGGACCCTGCGTCACCAGCCACCATACTGGAAGCGCTGACGGTGTTGCTAGTACTGTGGCTACTGTCTAATATATCAGGGGGAGAGGGTGGGGGGGGGTAATTTCCCGGACACATATATAGACGGAGGGTGGGGACGGGGGTGATGTTGGTTGGTCAGTTGGTTCTTATAATTATGTGGCCACTGCCTGAGGTCACCTGCACTGCACCGTTAGTCACACAGGCAAACTTCCAGGTAGGCGAGCAAAGAAAATAACCTGGCTGACAGGTAGGAGCGGGTGGGAGGCAACAATATAGTGAGGAAGGCACAGACAAAAGGTGCCTGGGGGGCAGACTAGCAGGCGGGCAATGGGACACCTAACACACCTTCGAGGAAAAAATAATACACACACACACACACACACACACACACACACACACACACACACACACACACACACACACACACACACACACACACACACACACACACACACACACACACACACACACACATACACACACAGAACGCTCCTGATAGGTGGCCGGATCTGACCAACATCTCGTTAGCATATTAACAGCGGCGGTGCAATAAAGGTGCCACATAGGTCTGGCACAGGCACTGCTGGAGGGCGGAGTGCCACTAGTGATTACCACCATCACCACCACTACCAACCACCAACACTACCTCTACCACCACCACCACCACATCTTATAGACACCCCCAACACATCTCCAACACCATCTCCACACCCCCAACACATCTCCAACACCATCTCCACACCCCCAACACATCTCCAACACCATCTCCACACCCCCAACACATCTCCAACACCATCTCCACCCTCCACCACAACTTACATGCCACCCAGGAAAGCAATTACTGATCAATTCTCCGACAAATTTGTATTTTGATTGGTTACTGCGAGTCCCCTGCCTTCAGGACTACACACCTGCCTTCACGTCCACACACCTGCCTTCAGGATGATGGTCACACACACCTGCGACACACACACAGTCATCAACATGGTAACACTGTGTGGTAATCGGCATCCACTACACGATAACACTAAGATATCGGGACATAAACGACCGCGAGATAACAATAAAAGTCTGGTTGTTAGTTATCGTCACTGTTATCTTATATCCGAGTCATTCCGATATCGTAGACTCAACCAATTCGTGGAGAAGAGGAAACTGTTACGATATCGGAAACATTAAAGTCTCGGGTGGATAGCTATCCTATCCTAACCTAACCTGACCTGACCTGACCTGACCTGACCTGACCTGACCTAACACCAGCTAATTTAGTTATGAATGGTGGTTGGTGTTCCTTTAAACTATCCCGATAATGACATGGTTCTTGAAGTGACGTCATGATGGTGTTTTATGGTGGTAATGGTCCTTGTGTGGTGTTTACCTCCCTCACTCTCCCTCCTACCACCCCCACCCCCCTCAGTGTACCATAAACAGACCCATCTCTCTGATCACTGCAGCTCCACACCAGACAGCTGATGCGGTCAACACTCTCTCTCTCTCTCTCTCTCTCTCTCTCTCTCTCTTTCTCTCTCTCTCTCTCTCTCGTGGTCTTCTCAACACTCCTTTCCAACCCTAAACAGATCCGTCAGCTGGCTCAATGTATGCCAATCCTGACTGACGAACTGACTGACAGAGCTTCCTGACCGAGCCGCGCTGACACAACTCATGAGACAGATGGAGAAATATTAATTCTTGTTGTTATCTTTTATCACCTACTGCTGACGATGGTTGTAGTGGTAGTAGGTGGAGGTGGTGGTAGGTGGTGGTAGTAGGTGGAGGTGGTGGGTGGTAGGTGGTGGTAGTAGGTGGAGGTGGTAGTAGGTGGCTGTGATGGTGGTAGGTGGTGGTAGTAGGTGGAGGTGGTAGTAGGTGGTGGTAGAGATAATGGTGGAAGGCATAAGGGGAAGGAACAAGAGGTGAGAGACATTAAGGGGAACAAAGGGGGAGAAACAAAGGGGAAGAGGAACAAGGGAGGGAACAAAGAAGGAGACAAAGGGGAAGAGGAACAAGGAGGGGGAACAAAGGGAAGAGGAACAAAGGGGTAGGGACAAAGGGAAGAGGAACAAGGAGGGGGACAAAGGGAGAAGAGGAACAAGGGGTAGAGACAAAGGGAAGAGGAACAAGGGAGGGGACAAAGGGGAAAAGAAACAAGGGTGAGGGAACAAAGGGGAGGGGAACAAAGGGTGGGGAACAAGGGGAGAGGAACAAAGGGAAGATGAACAAGGAGGGAGGGAGGCAGTTAGCACAACAGCAAATACTTAAGACTAGAAGGCTTCTTTGTGGACATTAAGGGCGCTCCTGACCCACCCCTACCCACCTGACCCATCCTCACCTCCATGACCCATCCTCACCCTCCATGACCCACCACCCACTTGTTAACTTATCAAAAACTTAGTTAAAATATAATAACCTCACCTAATACCATGGCACTACCCCACCTGACACCTGATACCATGGCACTACCCCACCTGACACCTGATACCATGGCACTACCCCACCTGACACTTGATACCATGGCACTACCACCTGACACCTGATACCATGGCACTACCCCACCTGACATGATACCATGGCACTACCCACCTGACACCTGATACCATGGCACTACCCCACCTGACACTTGATACCATGGCACTACCCCACCTGACACCTGATACCATGGCACTACCCCACCTGACACTTGATACCATGGCTCCCCACCTGACACCTGATACCATGGCACTACCCCACCTGACACTTGATACCCTTGCACTACACCCACCTGACACCTGATATGGCACTACCCCACCTGACACCTGATACCATGGCACTACACCTGACACCTGACCCCATATGACACTAACAATATCTCAACGGACTGTCAACGAACACATCAGGACGTGTCAGGACGGGAACTAACCTAACCTAACACTAACCTAACCCCTAACACTAACCAAACACTAACCTAACAGTAACCTAACCTACACAACACACAAGATGAAATAAAACGAAAATCAAACCCACAAAATAACAAGACAATCAGGTCAACTTACCTTTCCACAAATTTGTTAAAGAGGTCCCCGCGTAAATGAGTGAATATTTCTTCTATGTAGGGCTGCAGGGAGAGACCAGCATTAGTGAGGGTCCGGGAAGAAGTGTGTGTGTGTGCGCGTGTGTGTGTGTGTGTGTGTGTGTGTGTGTGTGTGTGTGTGTGTGTGTGTGTGTGTGTGTGTGTGTGTGTGTGTGTGTGTGTGTGTGTGTATACTAACATAAACAAAACTCACCTCAAATAAGTCAGTAGGAACTTCGTTTTTCGTGAGGTGTTTTTGTACAAACGCCACAGACTCCTTGTTGTACGCCTGTTGGGGGAGACACACACACAGTATTAACACACTCATCAACAACACACCTTAAAACAATAATAAACACACTCTTATAAATAAACAAAAACCTATATCAACTTAGGAATCAATAATGAGGGTTGTAGGGAAGAAGCAAGGAATCAGCTATAATGTTTAGCTGTCAGGGTAAGTGGCACGTAAAGGAGTTAGTTAGAGGTGGTGGAAGACGTTGGCTAGTGGTGGTAGTGGAAGACATTGGCTAGTGGTGGTAGTGGTGGTAGAAGACGTTGGCTAGTGGTGGTAGTGGTGGTGGAAGACGTTGGCTAGTGGTGGTAGTGGAAGACCTTGGATAGTGGTGGTAGTGGTGGTGGAAGACGTTGGCTAGTGGTGGTAGTGAAGACGTTGGCTAGTGGTGGTAGTGGTGGTAGAAGACCTTGGCTAGTGGTGGTAGTAGAAGACCTTGGATAGTGGTGGTAGTGGTGGTGGAAGACGTTGGCTAGTGGTGGTAGTGGAAGACATTGGCTAGTGGTGGTAGTGGTGGTAGAAGACGTTGGCTAGTGGTGGTAGTGGAAGACATTGCTAGTGGTGGTAGTGGTGGTAGAAGACCTTGGCTAGTGGTGGTAGGAAGACCTGGATAGTGGTGGTAGTGGTGGTGGAAGACGTTGGCTAGTGGTGGTAGTGGAAGACATTGGCTAGTGGTGGTAGTGGTGGTAGAAGACCTGGCTAGTGGTGGTAGTGGAAGACCTTGGATAGTGGTGGTAGTGGTGGTGAAGACGTGGCTAGTGGTGGTAGTGGAAGACATTGGCTAGTGGTGGTAGTGGTGGTGAAGACCTTGGCTAGTGGTGGTAGTGAAGACCTTGGATAGTGGTGGTAGTGGTGGTGGAAGACGTTGCTAGTGGTGGTAGTGGAAGACATTGGCTATGGTGGTAGTGGTGGAAGACTTATTGGTATGGAAGACCTGATAGGGTGGTAGTGGTGGTGGAAGACGTTGGCTAGTGGTGGTAGTGAAGACGTTGGCTAGTGGTGGTATTGGTAAAGACCTGGTGGTGTGGAAACGTTGGCTAGTGGTGGTAGTGGTGGTAGAAGACCTTGCTAGTGGTGGTAGGGAAGACATTGGCTAGTGGTGGTAGTGGTGGTGGAAGACCTTGGCTATGGTGGTAGTGGTGGTGGAAGACGTTGGCTAGTGGTGGTAGTGGTGGTGGAAGACCTTGGCTAGTGGTGGTAGTGGTTGGAAGACGTTGGCTAGTGGTGGTAGGAAGACATTGGCTAGTGGTGGTAGTGGTGGTGGAAGACCTGGCTAGTGGTGGTAGTGGAAGACGTTGGCTAGTGGTGGTAGTGGTGGTGGAAGACCTTGGCTAGTGGTAGTGGTGGAAGACATTGGCTAGTGGTGGTAGTGGAAGACGTGGCAAGTGGTGGTAGTGGAAGACATTGGCTAGTGGTGGTAGGGAAGACATTGGCTAGTGGTGGTAGTGGTGGTGGAAGACCTTGGCTAGTGGTGGTAGTGGAAGACATTGGCTAGTGGTGGTAGTGGAAGACATTGACTAGTGGTGGTAGTGGTGGTGGAAGACCTTGGCTAGTGGTGGTAGTGGTGGTGGAAGACGTTGGCTAGTGGTGGTGATGAAGACATTGGCTAGTGGTGGTAGTGGTGGTGGAAGACCTGGCTAGTGGTGGTAGTGGAAGACGTTGGCTAGTGGTGGTAATGGTGGTAGAAGACCTTGGCTAGTGGTGTGGTAGTGGAAGACGTTGGCTAGTGGTGGTAGTGGAAGACATTGGCTAGTGGTGGTAGTGGTGGTGGAAGACCTTGGCTAGTGGTGGTAGTGGAAGACGTTGGCTAGTGGTGGTAGTGGTGGTGAAGACCTTGGCTAGTGGTGGTAGTGGAAGACGTTGGCTAGTGGTGGTAGGAAGACATTGGCTAGTGGTGGTAGTGGTGGTGGAAGACCTTGGCTATGGTGGTAGTGGAAGACGTTGGCTAGTGGTGGTAGTGGTGTAGAAGACCTTGGCTAGTGGTGGTAGTGGAAGACGTTGGCTAGTGGTGGTAGTGGTGGTAGAAGAGACCCTGATAATGCCCACAGTATCGTGAGAGGACTACAGTGGAGTCGAGAAGAGTGGCAGAGCAGCAGGGAGAGGAGAGGTAATGGATGGAGGGCCAGAAGTGCTGGAAACAGGCAGGAGAGTGCCAGGGGACGGGGTGGAGTGCCAGAAGTGTGCTAGGAGACGAGAAGGGAGTGTTAGGAGAGAGGGCCAGGGAGAATGTCTAGAGAGTGCCTAGAGTGGGCCAGTAAGAATGCCAGGGACAGTAAATGGTGAGGAGATGAGGGTCAGGTGTAAGGTGCCTCATACTACACCTACCATGATGACAGGTGCCACATACAACACTGAGGTGCGCAGTGTGCCACCTAACCACCTGCCCTCACCTACACCACCTGGAGCCCGGCTTCAACAGGTGAGGCGCGACATCTTTTTGATAACACCGCCGTTCTCCTCTCCCACGCTGACTCAGAAAATTGATTTCTGCACCAGCCCGTACCATGGAACGCGAGGCCACACTACCTCTCACGACCTCCAGCAGGATGTGGACCTCCAGGAGAACGTGGACCTATTTCAAGACCTCCACACACTATCACCTCCTTCAAATCATTATCATCTAAATCATCATGACCATCACAACAACCACCACCATAACACCATTATTATCACCACTACTACCACCACAACAATCATTACTACCAAACACACTAACGTGCCGACACACCCACCACCACCACCACCACCACCACAAGCAGCATCGCGACCACTTAATATCGGTTATCGATTCTGTGGCGTAGATATAGACGGGGAGGGGAGACAGGCACCAGCAGGAGGGGTGATAAGGCTACCTGTATACCACACCACCACACTCGCTACACCATCTACACCACCACACTTGCTACACCACCACGCTACGCAATCACGATACACCACCACTATACACATTCACTCTACATCACTATACTACAAAACACCACACGACACCACACCACTAACACCACACTACGCTACATTATACTATACCACACCACCGACACAACACATCAATACTACACTACACCTTTGTGGTATGGACAGCTCTGTGATAAGAAGCAGCACTGTGGTAGAGGGGTGCCACTGTGGTAGGGGTGCCACTGTGTGGGGGGTGCCACTGTGGTAGAGGCCACTGTGGTAGGGGTGCCACTGTGGTAGGGCCCTGGGGGGGTGTCACTGTGGGGGTGCCACTGTGACAGGTACCACTGTGGTAGAGTGCCACTGTGTAGGGGTGCCACTGTGTAGGGGTGCCACTGTGGTAGGGGTGCCACTGTGGTAGGGGTGCCACTGTGATAGGGGTGCCACTCTGGTAGGGGTGCCACTGTGGTAGGGGGTGCCACTGTGGTAGGGGGTGCCAGTAAGCCTCATCAGCCGTCGTTAAGCGTGATTCACCTCCCCGGCCTGACTTTAATGACAGTAGGCTGACTCTCGTTAACCTTGGCTACCGTCTCTTATTTGGTCACCAGCTTATTGGCGCCAACCACGGTGAAGTCAATGTCTGTGGTGAAGTCAATGTCTGTGGTGAAGTCAATGTCTGTGGTGAAGTCAATGTCTGTGGTGAAGTCAATGTCTGTGGTGAAGTCGATGTCTGTGGTGAAGTCAATGTCTGTGGTGAAGTCGATGTCTGTGGTGAAGTCGATGTCTGTGGTGAAGTCAATGTCTGTGGTGAAGTCGATGTCTGTGGTGAAGTCAATGTCTGTGGTGAAGTCGATGTCTGTGGTGAAGTCAATACCTTGGTGATCAATGTCTGTGGTGAAGTCAATGTCTGTGGTGAAGTCAATATTGCGGTGAAATCAATGTCAGGGTGAAGTCAAAAGACTGATGAATTTTATTTCGTGATGAAGTTAAAAGAACGATGACGTCAGGACCACGACTGGTTTAAAAATTAGTGGAAAACAGGTGTGTGGAGGATCAACAGGTGTGTGGAGGGTCAACAGGTGTGTGGAGGGTCAGCAGGTGTGTGGAGGGTAATAAGGTATGTGGAGGGTCAACAGGTGTGTGGAGGGTCAGCAGGTGTGTGGAGGTAATAAGGTGTGTGGAGGGTCAGCAGGTGTGTGGAGGGTAATAAGGTATGTGGAGGGTCAACTTGTGTGGAGTCAACAGGTGTGTGGAGGGTCAACAAGTATGTGGAGGGTTAACAGGTGTGTGGAGGGTCAACAGGTGTGCGGAGGTCAACAGGTGTGTGGAGGGTCAACAGGTGTGTGGAGGGTTAACAGGTGTAGCTAACAGGTGTGGCTATCAGGTGTGGCTAACAGATGTGTAGTCAACAGTTAAGGGTGGCTAAGAGGTGTGGTTAAGAGGTGTAGGCTGGCTAACAGATGTGTCTAACAGGTGTGTGGCTAACAGGTGTGGGTGGCTAACAGGTGTGGGTGGCTAACAGGTGTACTTACGTGAGTATTAGATAATAGTTCCTTCATAATAAAGTTGTCGTAGATCTCCCTGGCGACCTTTCTTCTCTCTTCCTTGTTCTCTATCTTCTCGTACGTCTTGATCTGTCAACAACAACAACATTAACATCTGTCAACAACAACAACAACAATAACATCTGTCAACAACAACAATAACATCTGTCAACAACAACAACAATATTAACACTTGTCATTTAATATAATAATAATAATAATAATAATAATAATAATAATAATAATAATAATAATAACAATAATAACAATAATAATAATAATAACACTTCTCATCTAATATAAAAGCAACAACAAATATAATGTGAAAAAAGTATAATTATAAACTTTCGCTAAAAAGAAATTAAAGTTCAGAGGGTTAATTAAATGTTTACTTTGGGAACTATTTAATTACCTCGCCCTCAAGGTCCAGTACTAACACTATACAGTACAACCCGTAGTAAACACTGTATGTATGTATAGATATAATTATGTATGTGTATGGTTGAGAATAATAACACTATGTACACAGCCACCACCACCATACCTCCCTCCTCCTCCCTCCTCTTCTCCCTTCCTCCCCTCCTCTTCTTCCCCTTCCTCCCCTCCTCCTCCCCCAGTACATGGCAGGCCTCCACGGGGCGGCTCCTGGCACACAAGAATCTTCCATTAAGGTCGACTTCACTCTGGGTAGTGCTCCCCCCCCCTCCCCCCCCCTCCCCTCTCCCTCTCATCACACTACAAAGAAGAGGGTGAGGGACGCGAGAATGAGAAGCGTGGGGAGTGAATGGAGACAGGGAGCCAATAGGGTCGGCGGAATATGAAATAAGGTCCTTAAAACACCATATATGGGACAGGGCAGGATGTCTAGTGCCTGTACCGACAGACAATAACTAACCCATGACACAACCCTAACACTATTAGCTTAGTCAGCCCGCCCTCTCTTACCTCCTCCTAAATTTCTTCAATTTCCGAACTATAACTTTTTTCCCCCACCTCTAATCTTCTTTCACCCTCCTCCTTTCTCTACAAAAAAAGAGAGGTGTGACAGGTTCACCTGTCTCCCCCCTCCACAACCCCATAGTAGGTTAGTGTCAGGCCTCCTCCTCCTTCCCCCTCGTTATACTAATTCCATTTAATTACCCTCTCCCCGACTCTCCTGTAGAGGTCGCCGTCGAGGGCCAGTAACAGTGTTAAGTGGTGATGGAGTCTCCGCGGCTCACGCCTGCAACAACTGGCCCAACACGACGGAGGCGAAGAAGGTGGGGTGAGGTTCTTGTACCGCGGGAAGACCTCTCCATCACTGGTGGCTGATGTGGAGGTGTGGGGGGTTACCTCTACTACTACTACTACTACTACTACTACTACTACTACTACTTTTTACGGTATATTACTGAGAGTTGGCAACATAGCCACGGATCCCATACTAAGTAAGTCCAGTGTAAACAAACACGGGTGAATACTGTGTCACTACATCTTCCATTAACAGTAAACTTATAAACCAAGAGTAAACATAAACCCGTGTTGGTGGTGGTGGTGGTGGTAGCAGTGGTGGTGGTGGTTGAGTATGGTGGTGGTTGGTGGTAGCAGGAGTGGTGGTGGTTGGTGGTGGTGGTGGTGGTAGTGGTGGTAGTGGTAGTGGTGCATTAGCAGTGTAGTGATGATGTAGCAGTCACGTCATCAGCCAATCAACACGTGGTAGCCTTTATTGTTTATTTACACTGAAGGTTATATAATGGACACGAGTATTGGGATTACTGTCAAAATATCACACCGGCCCTACACCACACCTGGCCCTACAAACCCGACCCTACCCCACCTGACCCCTACACACCTGACCCCCACACAGCCCCTACACCCCGGCCCCTACACCCACACCTGACCCTACACCCCGGCCCTACACACCTGACCCTACACCTGACCCTACACACACTGGCCCCACCCAACCCCTACACCCTGCCCCTACACACCAGCCCCTACACCCACACCTGACCTTACACCCGGCCCCTACACACACGCCCTACACACCTGCTACACCACAGTCCCTACACCCCACCCGACCCATGAAAACTACACCCCAGCCTCACACCCTCGTGACCTCTCATCCAGCACACACACACACACACACACACACACACACACACACACACACACACACACCAATACCTACCTAAATCACAGGTCTCCGCCCACTACCCCTCCCCAACACGGACCATCACCACTAACGCCCCGGGACTCTCCCATACTGGACCTAATGGAGCATCATTAACTAAGTTTAAGGAGGGAGGGAGGGAGGGAGGGAGGAGGGAGGGAGGAAAGAGGAGGAGTGGAAGAGAGGAGGGAGGGAATGGGGGAGGAGGAACGTCGAGCACCACTAAACCTCACCCATTCTAGACGACCTCCACCACCACGACCTGTACACCCACCACCACGACCTGTACACCCACCACCACGACCTGTACCGACCTGTGAAGACTTAAGAGAGAAATAGAGGAGGGGTAAGGAGTAAGGGGGTATCAAAGGGCATTACGTAAACCTTCACGAGGACTCATTACCACCACCGGGGATGTTGTTTAGTTCTTTACCCCCGACCAACCGACCGTGAGGTGAGGCTCTGAGCTGTGTGTGTGTGTGTGTGTGTGTGTGTGTGTGTGTGTGTGTGTGTGTGTGTGTGTGTGTGTGTGTGTCAGGCTAATACTTTACATGAGTCTAGATTCCGTTACATCGGAGGGAGGGGGAGGGTGGTAGGGGTGGGGGGGAGGTGGGGGCGTCAGTCTCTCGAAAAAAGACTCACGGGGCGGATACACAGGTGAGGTGGGCCAGGTATACACTGTCTGTCAGCTGTTTGCCTCACCCTCTACCCTCACCCCCTACCACCCCCACTTCTCTACCCTCACCCCTACCCCCACTTCTCTACCTCACCCCTACCACCCCCACTTCTCTACCCTCACCTTAATCTTGGCCTCTCGACTCAGCCTCCTCACCCTCCTTGCAGACCTCAAGTAATCCTCCTTGAGTTCTGCCTCTGCCTCCTCCCCACCATGGTCAACATTCCTACACCCTCATCCTACACACCTCACCACCCTACACACACCTCACCACCCCACACCTCACCACCCTACACACCTCCACCATCCTACACACCTCACCATCCTACACACACACCTCACCATCCCCTACACACACACACACACACTCCCCATCCCTACACACACACACACACCTCACCATCCCACACCTCACCATCCTCACACACACACCTCACCATCCTACACACACACACACACACACACACACCTCACCATCCTACACACACACACACACCTCACCATCCTACACACACACACACACACACCTCCCATCCTACACACACACACACACACACATACCTCACCATCCTACACACACACCTCACCATCCTCACACACACACACACACACACCTCACACCCATCCTACACACACACACACACCTCACCATCCTCACACACACACACACACACACCTCACCATCCACCACACACACACACACACACACCTCACCATCCCACACACACACCTCACCATCCTACACACACACACACACACACACACACCTCACCATCCTACACACACCTCACCATCCCACACACACACACACACACTCACCATCCTACACACACACACACCTCACCATCCTACACACACACCTCACCATCCTACACACACACACACACACACACCTCCATCCTACACACACACACACACACACCCTCACCATCCCACACACACACACACACACACCCCACCATCCCACACACACACACACACACACACACACACACACACACACACACACACACACACACACCCCACATCCTACACACACACACACACACCCTCACCATCCCACACACACAACATACCTCACCATCCTACACAAAGGTATTAAACCATCATTACATGAGCGAGGTGGTCAAGTGGATACAGCGCTCACCTCCTGTTCCGGGGTTCAATGGTTCGATTCACACACGACACACAGTATAAACTACCACCACACACACACTAGGTGGACAAGTAGCTACAGGTAACATTAGCAGTCGTCTCCTCTAGTAATGACCGGGCCGTGTTGAGACTTACATGGGGTATCTCTTAGGCATTTGCATTTAGCACACTGAGGTACAGTTGCCCCCAGCCTGACCATTTGGTATAAAATATGCAACAGCTGGGCACCGCGAGTGTTACATTACAGGCTGTGGCTCGGCTTAAGTCACCGAGATACTGAGCCGAGTCTTTAATGGTTCGTTCGTTAATGTTCTCGTCTTGTGAGGTGAGATGGTGTCTAAAGTGAACTGGACTCTTCCGTACTGTGATGTGGCTCTCTCCTCACACAGGGGGGGGTGAGACACACTACGTAATAAATAGGTTAGGTGAGGTAAATTAGGGTGGGATAGTGGTCAGTGAGAGCTAGGCAGTGTCCACCTCCCAGAGAGAGAGAGAGAGAGAGAGAGAGAGAGAGAGAGAGAGAGAGAGGAGAGAGGAGAGAGAGAAGGTCATAGGGCTCGCCTTACATGGCCAGTGTCTCCTCGCCACGAATTATGAATGAGTTGACTCTGGGATATATCAAGTGTGTCGCCCTGCCTTAAGGGGAGCTGGCCTCTGACCTGTACCACTATACCTCCACCCCGCACCTACCACACACACACACACACACACACACACACACACACACACACACACACACACACACACACACACACACACACACACACACACACACACACACACACACACACCCATATTAGGTCGTCCTGCACCAGAGCCAACTCAAAGGGTAGGCCTATACCAGCTCAACAGTGGACTCAGCCTGCACTAGATGGCCTGCAGCATATCTTAAGGGGGAGAGAGGAAGGGTGGACGGGATATGAACCAGCGTCTTTAAGTATAATAATCTCTAAGCAGAAGGAAGGAAGGAAGGAAGGAAGGAAGGAGGCCGATGGATTAATCACAGGACCTCCCTCAACACCTACACTCCCCATTCCCACACCCCTCCCCACACATCACAACACCCACACCTCTCCACACCCCGTCCCACACCTCCAAAACATCCCCACT